GGGCTCTAAAGGTGAAAGGACGTGATACATCGGAATTGACATTCGCTTCTCAACCGGGACTAATTGGTGCATACTGGGGTGTTGGTTTGGTTTTCGTTATTATTTGCTTGCAATTCTGGATTGCCGTTTTTCCGTTAAATGGAAAACCAAGTGTGGAGGTCTTTTTCAAGACTTTCCTTACCGTGCCGGTTATTTTCCTTTTCTACTTTGGTCATAAGATATACACGCGCAATTGGAGTTTCTATATCAGGGCCAAGGATATTGATGTTGACACCGGAAGACGAGAAACTGATTTGGATTTAGTTAGGCAGGAGCTTGCTGAAGAAAAGGCGTATCTCAAATCTTTGCCATTCTATAAGAGAGTATACAATTTCTGGTGCTAAGAATATTGTTTAGTTTTATAGCTTCTTCTCTAAGTTATGGTGTATTGTCTCAATGAAACATTTTATGTATTGACCACGTTGTAATTCGCCCAATTTACTATTGGTTCTACTCTGGATATTTGATTGGAATCTTCTTTGAAATAAATTTGTTGCGATATAATTGATATGAGAAATTTCCGTATGATGGCAGAAGTGCCATTCAAAAAACGTTGCAAATTTTACATCGAAATTCGCCAGGAAAAATTCACTTGATTCTTTTTGCAGCAAATCACTTGCTTTAAAATATTTGAATTGTACAGTATAACACTACATCCTTATCCAGACAAAAGAGATCATTATTTGAATCTTCAAAGCTATAATTTAATTGAAATACTGATCCCAAAGGTTGAAAAGAAACTCAACATGTAAATTTTCATATCCTTGATATTTTGCAGTAGTCTATGAAGCTCCTTAGAAAATTTGCAACCATTTCCCGAGTCATCATTATTTTTTTTGGAAGGTATAATCTATCAGAGTCATAACATATAATTTCTGAACAGAGTCAGATTACACCCACGATGGTGCCTAATAATACATACCAGGCCATGGATGCCGTTAGAATTCGATTTGTGCTTGGTTTTAAATGCATGACAATAGAATGGATGCCTTATGGACACTGGCAGCTCATACTCATATATGAATGTATAAATAGAGGTACAATTCCCCAAGTTCTTTATACAACTTGTTAATCTCAGAGTTAGAAATTCGTACAAATAATTTTGTCAAATCCAAAGAAAAAGATCGGGAATGTTTCATCTTCAACAAGATATGAATGTTTAGGACAATCAGTAGACGTTTTCAAAAATCAATGCTAGAGGGGAACGAAACTAGGCATCCACTTTTTTGCTTACTTGTTTTTTACGATCAAATTCATTCGCCTCATTGAATGTTAATAAAAAAGGTCCCCGCCTTGCCGTGGTTTTTAATCTTAGTTGAATTTTTTATAGATTGCGGCATTTTTTCAGAAATTCCGTCAACGGCGTTCGTTTAGGACTAATGGATATACAACACCGTTTTGGGGATCCGGGGAGTCGTAATTATTTCAGGGCTCTCCACTTGATAACCAGTTTACTCTGTAGGACACAAAGCCCCGACTCAAATTGCGATTCAAAAAAGAAATCGCTCCGAATTTCTGTTTTAAATTAAGGCAAAATTTGTGTAAGACCTTGTTATGAACCGAAATTACCTTCCGGCGGTGATAACGATACGAAATTATAAAGCTTGATTCGAGAGGTATGATAGGCGGACTGTAGGCGAAGATAAGTGTATGAAAACTTAAGCCAACCTAATACCTTGGACAACTAATTTAAAACAGTTCACGGATTTTCAATCTCTGGGATGATGTCATATTTACGAACTTGAGCTCTTGGGCAAATTTGTCTACAACTTTACAGAAAGCCTCTGACAAAGTAAGGGCATTCGATTGTTAAGCTGGCGTCATTAGTTTCTGTGGGGTCTTTGTTATATCATTGAGGAGACATTCTGCTTGTGGATAATTGGACCATGTAAGAAAATAATTTATTATCCATTTCTTCTTTCCAGTTTAGATTGCTTACGGCATTTTGAATTCTGAATTCGTTTTATCCGATATGCAAGATCTAAATTTATTTTTTATCTAATCAGGCAAGATGATTCATTTCGGGTTTATCATATCGCAAAAAAAAAAATGATATCGCAAAAAATAAAGCTTATAAATACGAAGATTTGATTTATAGGGCCGACCGTCTAATATGGTTCATCATGTAATTACAGTATCATAAAGTAAACTACCTTAGTGCTTTGCGCCAGACACTATAGGGATTCTGTAGAGATCAGATCACAGTATTTTTGTTACTAATCGCAAGAGCACCAGCTAAATGCGCTCTGGATATTCCTAATCTATATTAGGAGCCCAGGATCAGAACATTGGTTGTTCATAATTGTGAATTATATCCTTGGGCGAACTTCCGTTTACAATTCAATGAATATAGAAATTACAGTAGTGGTTTCTTATATCAAAATGAATAACGTAAAGCACATAGTTATCATTTCAAATCGGATTCAAGTATCTACATAGTTCTAAGAGTTTAATGATCCCTTTTGCAACCATTTTTGCCAAGCTTAGTATAATCTGACACATACTCTAATTGCTGCAAAGTTAATTAAAGAGCAGCAAATGATCTTAGGATCCACGCAAACACTCCTTCACAAGGTTTGATGTTTATATGAATCTGTAGAAATAATTCAGTTTCTGTCAGTAAAACTATAAATCAAAATGTGAAAAGCACTTCAATATCTAAACGCTTATAAAGATATGAGAGTCCTCTTTCGGGAACCATTTTTCCAAATCATACGTTGCCACGGAGACTTCTGACGTAATTAGGATACTACAAAATTCCGAAACCTGGAGGTTGTGAATGCCGTTCCACTTCCTATCTTTAGTTGGTCTCCTTAATCCTGTAGATAAAGGTCTCGGATTCTTTATCGCCTATTTGCAGCACTGATCTGTGGGGTTAGGTTTTTCTGTTGCAACCTATTGTTGGTAACATTTGATGTTGATTATACACGGCGTTTTGATGTCGGATTTGGCTTTACGCGAGGGATCAAACTGGTTTGCCTTTGTATCGACTAACTGGAAAACTACTCAACATAATGTTTTATTCTCTAGAGGCAAGGAATATAGTTGTCTCTGGGCTCTATGCATCAGCTCCCCGATCGCCACTGGTAATAGGTTGTGACACTTCTCTACAAAGTGCCATTGATCCGCCTGTATGTTTTTAGAGAATGCGCAGTTTTGGATGCAACGCGCAAAACAAAACTATGGGATAAAGCTTTTTTTTTTTGACTCCAGTGAAACAGACTAAAATTTGCAGTAATGGCTCTTTTACGAAGATACACAATGATAAATTGCCATGCAACTATAAGGGTTTTATGCAAATCCCTCCCTCTCCGCATCTGCATTTGCCAAATATAAATATCTGTAGTTATCGCTCATGTTAATATGATATCTAACCTTTCTTCATACAACATCATAAAAAATGCTGCAAAAAAAGGACACAACCAACATAACAATACAAGAAGATTCTTCAGCAGACGGTCTCTATCTTGACTCAAAACTTCCTCAGTCCCAACAAACAGAGTTAAAAGGTTTTGCCAAGTTTAAAGATGGGTTCAAGCGTGCAAATGTCGATGATTACGGAATTGACCCAAGTATGCCAGAAGCAGAGAAGATTGCTATCTTAACTGCAAATAGGGGTAATAGAGCAAGAGAATTCTTATCTGTGAATGTTTACTAGCGTTAGCCACGTTCAATTGGTACTGGTTTGTTTGTCGGCTCTGGTAAAGGTTTGGCCACGGGTGGTCCAGCTGGTTTATTGGTTGCATACATTTCTATTGGTACTATGATATACTGTACTGTTCAGTCATTAGGTGAATTGGCAGTTACCTTTCCTGTCTCTGGAGCTTTCGTTACCTATAATTCGAGATTCATTGATCCATCTTGGGGTTTTGCCATGGCTTGGAATTATGCCTTACAGTGGTTGATAATGTTACCTTTAGAATTGGTTGCCGCATCTTTGACAGTTAAATACTGGGACCCTCATACCAGTTCCGCTGCATATGTGGCATGTTTCTATACTTTAATCGTTATTATCAACTTCTTTGGTGTGAGAGGATATGGTGAAGCTGAGTTTATTTTCTCCTTCATCAAAGTTTTAGCTGTCTGTGGTTTTATAATTTTAGGCATAATCTTAATCGCAGGGGGAGGACCACAAGGGGGTTACTTAGGTGGACATTACTGGCACATCGATGGGGCACCTTTTCCAAATGGAGCCAAAGGTGTGGTTACTGTGTTTGTCGGGGCTGCTTTCGCCTTTACAGGAACTGAGTTATGTGGATTAGCGTCCGCCGAATCAGCAAATCCTAGAAAATCCATACCTAAAGCTTGTAAGCAAGTCTTCTGGAGAATCACTTTGTTTTATGTTATCTGTTTAACTTTGGTAGGAATGTTGGTTCCCTACAGCAGTCCAAGGCTCCTTGGTGCTTCCTCAGTGGATGCCACTGCATCGCCATTCGTCATTGCAATCCAAAATGGTGGTATCAAAGGTTTGCCTTCGGTTATGAATGTTGTTATAATGATCGCTGTCTTATCTGTTGCAAATTCCTCAGTCTATGCTTCTTCTCGTACCTTGGCAGCATTGGCGGCATCTAAGCAAGCTCCTCAAATTTTAGGCTACATTGATAAAAAGGGTCGTCCATTGGTGGGTATCATTGTACAATTACTTGTCGGTTTATTATGTTTCTTGGCGGCCTCTCCAAAGGAAGGTGAAGTTTTCAGTTGGTTATTGGCTTTGTCCGGATTATCTTCCATTTTCACGTGGGCGTCTATTAACATTTGTTTGATCCGGTTTAGACGTGCATTAAAGGTTCAAGGACGTGACACTTCTGAATTAACGTTTACTTCACAACCAGGTATTATTGGCGCCTATTGGGGAGTTATTTTGAATGTTGTTATTTTGGGCTTACAATTCTGGATCGCTATTTTCCCTTTGAAGGGTAATCCAAGTGCGGAAGTCTTCTTCAACAACTTCCTTACTGTTCCTGTGGTTTTTATCTTCTATGCCGGTCATAAGATTTATTCTCGTAATTGGAAGTTATATATTAGTTCTAAAGAAATTGATATTGACACTGGAAGAAGAGAGACAGATTTGGATTTGCTTAAACAAGAAATCCTTGAAGAAAAGGAACATTTGAGTTCGTTACCATTCTACAAGAGAGTTTACCATTTCTGGTGCTAATCTTGAGTTGCCAATTTATCCAGTTTGAGTTGTCTTTCTCTGGAGATACTTTTTGTTTATATTTATATATAATGAATGTGATACGTTTAAGAATTCTACTAGTCTGTAAGTCTCTGCCTCAAGATCTTGTTGCTCCCAATCCCGAACTCGCATGAACCTGCAGTGATCCTTTGCCAAGACTTCTGTGCTTTTGCAGCCATTCTGTCAAACGCGAATCATTATAATTCACTACGCTTAGTCTCACCTGTATTTGAACGGGTTTATCCGTGACTGATATGCCACCGTAAAGTAATTTCATCTGGGATTTCTTTTTCTGTTTAAGAGCTTCCGCATTTTAAGGCATTCTTTTCACTAGAGGCTGACAAATAATAAGTATCAAAATATACACCAGACCACAACTCTCGTAAATATACGCACGACAGGGCGAATCTACTATCTCCGGCCGTGGAAGTTTTCTGTTCTTTGTATATACAAATAGATCACCTCTGTTTCTTTGTACAAGCAAATATTGGTTGGTAAATTTTAACTCTACATTTTTTTTAAAAAAGAAATTACAAAACCATTTAGCTTAAAGTTAATGTATCAAGGCTTTTATTAGAGAAAAACTATGCGGAATTCGCAGGTGAAAAAATACTCCGTTTACAAAAGAATGGTAATCCAGACGAGATAATTGGTTTGTAAGGTCTATTGTATCATGTTGCATTGTCATCCCACCAAGGTGAACTGTGGATTTTCATTCCAGTTGCAACCACACTAGAGGCTTTGAACTGCGAGAGCATGGATTTCAGACAATATGTTTGGAGTTCTCTGATACGCATGCGACTGTCTGAATAGACAAGCGGCAAGAAAGCTACCAAGCAAATTTGGCTAGACAAAACTCAAATTCATTTTCTGGTTCTGTGCTTCAAATTATGAAAATTCCAGGATGTTGCAAATATAAAATATCATGTTCGCATCGCAATTACATAGTCATCCTCTCCAATTCTTTCACAAGATAAGCCTTTCGTGTGATATTGTTTTTTATTTCAACAAAGATACTGTGGGGATTTCTCTTATTGTCATCTATTAGTGTATTTTCATTTATCAATAAAATTAGATTAATTTAAAAATTTTCCATATTTGCAATTCATACGGCGTTTTTTGTCAAATCTCGTTTTGACTTACCTCCTAAATTTTTGACGTGGCTTAAAACTTTGTTCAATTTCCCTCGGCTGATTAGATTGACACAATTCTTATCAGTTAAAATCGAGATTGCTAGATTAGATTGCTATACTCTTGAGGTCACTGAAGTTGCTGCGTCGATTTGAAATAGTATTGATCTAGTCAATTATTGACTAAGTCTTGGGCAATCATAACTCCTGTTTTATTTTTTTTTTTCTGATATTTATTTTTTTTTAAGTTTTTTTTTTCTTTTTATCAGCGTCAATTAATTTAACTTTATTTTTGTGGCTAGGTGGGTAATTGATAACTAAAAATATTTGAATGCGTAAAAAATAATTTTTTTCGCTCCGGTTGACCCTTAAAAAATATTTTTGCAATCAGAAGATTTTTGAAGAGCAATTCCTATCTTCTGCTGTTTCATTATCCCCCCGTCAAATATAAATATAAGTTCCATTCCTGATATCTTTCAAACTTATCTTGAAATATCTCATACACTAGTTTGTTAAGCACATAATAACAAAAACATTCAAAATGCTGCAAGAAAAGGAAGTTTCTTACATCACATCAAGAGAACATGGTGATGCTGAAAAAACCGGTGGTGTTTACGTTGATTCATATTCTTCTGAACAAGATGAACCCAAATTAACTGGTTTTGCAAAATTTAAAGATGGATTTAAACGTGCAAATATGGAAGATTACGGTGTTACCGAAAACATGACTGAAGCTGAAAAGATTGCTGTCTTGACTGCCAATTCTCCATTATCTCGTTCCCTTAAAAATAGACATTTACAAATGATTGCTATCGGTGGTTCCATTGGTACTGGTTTGTTCGTTGGTTCCGGTTCAAGTTTATCAACCGGTGGTCCAGCTGGTTTATTAATTGCATATATCTTAATTGGTACTATGATCTATTGTACTGTCCAATCCTTAGGGGAATTGGCTGTTACTTTCCCTGTTTCAGGTGCTTTCGTTACTTATAATACTAGATTTATCGACCCATCTTGGGGATTTGCTATGGCTTGGAATTATGCTTTACAGTGGTTGGTTGTGTTACCTTTAGAATTAGTTGCTGCATCTTTGACAATAAAATATTGGGATGCAAGTACCAATCCAGCTGCATTTGTCGCATGTTTCTATGTTTTGATTGTCGTTATTAATTTCTTTGGTGTCAGAGGATATGGTGAAGCTGAGTTTGTTTTTTCTATAATCAAAGTCTTAGCAGTTTGTGGTTTTATCATTTTAGGTATCGTCTTAATCACTGGTGGTGGTCCACAAGGTGGTTACTTGGGTGCTCACTACTGGCACATTGATGGTGCTCCATTCCCTAATGGTGCGAAGGGTGTTGTCACTGTGTTTGTCGGTGCTGCTTTCGCATTCGCTGGTACTGAATTATGTGGTTTGGCTGCTGCTGAATCTGCCAACCCAAGAAAGACCTTACCAAAAGCTTGTAAGCAAGTCTTCTGGAGAATTACCTTATTCTACGTCATCAGTTTAACTTTGGTTGGTATGTTGGTTCCATACAACAATAAGAGATTACTTGGTGCTTCTTCAGTTGATGCCACTGCTTCTCCATTCGTCATTGCTATCGAAAACGGTGGTATCAAAGGTTTACCATCTGTCATGAATGTCGTCATTATGGTTGCTGTCTTATCCGTTGGTAACTCTTCAGTCTTCGCTTCTTCTCGTACCTTAGCCGCTTTAGCTGCTGCTAACCAAGCTCCAAAATTCTTAGGCTACATTGATAAGAAGGGTCGTCCATTGATGGGTATTATTGTACAATTAGTTGTCGGTTTATTATGTTTCTTAGCTGCTTCTTCAAAGGAAGGTGATGTCTTTGGTTGGTTATTGGCCTTATCGGGTTTATCTTCCATTTTCACCTGGGCTTCTATTAACATTTGTTTGATCCGTTTCAGACGTGCTTTAAGAGTCAAGGGTCGTGATACTTCTGAATTGACTTTCACGTCCCAACCAGGTCTTGTTGGTGCATACTGGGGTCTTATTTTAAATGTTGTTGTTGTTTGCTTACAATTCTGGATTGCTGTTTTCCCATTAGGTGGATCTCCAAGTGCTGAAGTTTTCTTTAACAACTTCCTTACTGTTCCTGTCATTATCGTCTTCTATGTTGGTCACAAATTATGGACCCGTAACTGGAAGTTATTCATTAGAGCCAAGGATATCGATATTGATACCGGTAGAAGAGAATTAGATTTAGACTTGGTCAAGCAAGAAGTTGCAGAAGAAAAGGCATACATCAGATCTTTACCTTTCTACAAGAGAGTCTACAGTTTCTGGTGTTAGGTTTCTGGGTATGGTGAATTTGTATAGTTCTTGTAGTTTTTAATTTTCAGTTGATTGACTCAATTGCTCGGTTTTATTTAATTATGTATAGTTAATTTATATGTTCATGTTTGACTAATCTCGTGTAGCATCGTATCGAATTGTAACAAGCTAAGAAATATTTGAATAGTTACAACTAATACAATGGAAAATTCATACAATAGATCTTCAAACTCGCTTTATGTATGATTTAAAAGTGCTTTGTGTCCGTCGGTTATGCACGGCCATAATATTTCAAATTCCGAAATCGCTTGCAATTCCGCTAGATCGTAACAATAGATTCAAGTTTTTATGAACAATCGACAGAATATACGGCTAGTTGTATACCAGCAAAGAATCCTGTGTGGAATGTATAGGATGTCTGCTAACTGTGAGAATAGAGCAGCCGTTGCGTTGGTTTTGATAGTCGTAGAGCAATCAATCTCAAAACTAAACGTTGCTTCAATTTCTTAGAAGTTTTCCCAATGTGATAGGATGAAACATGAAAAGATTCAGTTATCCCCATTGAGAATAAAACAATCTAGAACGCAAGTAACTACTGGAGGAAGAGATAATAAGACGGCCACCTCCAAAATATTTGTTTAAATTGGGCCAGGCCGCATCATCGCTGAGAACCAAGTAGAACCAAGTACCTTCTTACTTTTCCACTATAGTTGTTCATTGACATAACCGTCCCTCTTCTGGACTTTAGTTGTTGCATCCACTCCTGGAAGATATACCCTAGTATTGTATGGAGACGTGGCCGTGAGCTGGGGCACAAGCAAAAATTCCTTTAAGGTCTATTGAGATCATTTCTTGTGAAACTTAGGATTCACAATATGCATCTAGGGATCAAATTGAAGGGAGGTTTTGAATTATGGAACATCACCCGTACCGAACTAATTCGTGAACTTAAACTTTTACTGAACCAGTTATTGTCTAGGACTAAATTAACCCCTTTTCAAAAAATCGATTAGTCTCGGACTTCTGTATGTTGAAAATGCAGCAACAATCAGATTTTAGTCAGTTGCAAAAAACAATTGAATCAGCCGGGCATGATACTTCCGCTTATTTTCTACCACATATTGGCATAACCACAAAGGATAAGAGAAGAAACAAAGAAGAATATGCGGATTTACAAGTGTCGGAGTTTTGTATAATTCTCCGGCAACGAAATCCGAAACCATTGTGGGGTAGCCTCACGTTCTCCACTGAAAAATATATTTGACATGTCCAAGGGGCTGGAGCAAGTCAAGGAATCGGAAATAGGATAAACCGTTAAGTGACAATAGGGAGACGGAAATTCACGGGTTGACTCATTCGTTGTGTAAGTTATTCGAAATGTAAAACAAATGATTAACGATGCGCTGTTGGTTCCAAAAAAAGGGGTTAAAGTTTCGAATTGCAATAACCAAGAAAATCTTCCCATACGAATTGGAGAAATTCGTTAGTGTCGCGACCGGTGTAGAATGGTTGCAATTGTACCAAAACGAAAGAATTGCCTCCTACTGGCTTGCAATTTCTTTTACTTCTGCTCTAGCTCTGCGATGTTGTTTTATATTATAGGGGCACTGATCCAAACAAGGGGTTCACAGGGCTCATTAGATGCGTCTGGATCGATTACAGGATAACTATTCATACAGTCACAGAAGATATTTGTTCCATGCAGATACATGCATCGACTATGCTCGATCTAATGCAATATTGCAGTATGATTCCAATTTTCAGATTTCCAGGATTATTACTACTTGGGAGCGAACATTGGAACAAGGGTATTCTGAGGGTGTATTCCAGGATCCATCGGATACGTCAACTTGACCAATACGTGGTCAGTTAATGGACAGTAATACTGCAACCAAAGTGTAAGCTTTATTATAGCATTGCTTTACGAATAAACTGATTTTATCTGATTATCTTTTTTTTTTTCTGTATCTTTCAGCCCAACGTCGGTTGTAAAAGATCGGCTGTTAAGAATAATTTTTTTTTTCTTTCGTTTTTAGATCTACCCCTCGGGTAAAACTTCTCTATAAGAAAAAAGCATTTTCTTTCATCCAACAACGGAAATTCCCACTCCATATTTTCTAGGTAGCAAAAAGTGATAATGTGCGGTATTATACCAAAGCCCGAACCAAATCCTCGAGATTTCCCTAGAGACCTTTGTTCCTTTATGTAAAACAGGAATAGGAAATTTAATCTGAGGCGCATAATGTAAAAAAAAAATTCATTATGTCTTGGCTTGCATTTGACAGGTCTGGGGTTTTTCTTTGGGAGTATTACATTAAGCCCAAATTGTAAATGTAAAATCGGTCATTGGTTAAAGACCCCTCCGAGTTTACAAGGGAATGAGTTCTTTGTGCTCGGAGTTCTTAATATAAAATATTGCACCTCGGGGAAAGGTGGACCTTTTTGTGTCGCCTTGCACTAAGACAATACTTCCGCAATCCAGGCGATGTAGATACACAATATACGAGACACATATAAATTTCCAATTTGTGAAACTTGGCCTTCTCCAAAATTATTTGGAGGGATGAATGCAAAGAAAAAGAGAAACGTTTTTGATTCTTCTTTGACAGGATGAGCCAAAAAATCACAAATTTCTTTTCTCCGCGGATAATCCTAATTGGGACAGACTCAGATCGGGACACTTCACACCCAAAATGTATAACCTACAATATCATCTATCATGATGACTCTATAAGACGCAAGATGCTTCTCCTCTCTGAGACACTGTGCCACAGTGGAGATTCATCTAGCTTTCATTTTTTCCCTACATTTCTTGTGTCTTGGCTTATCTGGTATATAACTCCGCTGCACTCCGAATTTGGAATTTCCGCGACAAGTGGGGACCTAATATCTAGAACAATAGGAATGCTGCGAAAAAAATAATTTGAATTTATTGTCTTCAAAGGCTTTACGATCAAATTGAACGGAAGTATGCGCCTTTTGCACCTTCAATATGAAAAAAGTTTTCTTTTTAACTCGTTATTGGGCAAGCCTAACACACATTTTGCATCTATATAAAAACAGCAAAAGTATCATCGAAAATATGCTAAGTTTTTAATTTAATCCTTTGTCTGCCTTTCATATAATCAATATAGAATATCATAAAAGACAATAAAACATCATGGCCGATATCTCAGACTCAGAATCCATCTCTTCTTATGCCAAACTGCCAATAGAAATGAGATCAGAAGAAGTGGTCCCTTTCAAGACTTGTACAGTCGCTGGTGATAATGGTGAATACGTCGTTATTGGTGAACATAAATACTTTAGACATGAGTTAATGCAAGCCTTTGGTGGTACTTTTAACCCAGGTTTAACTCCATATCCGAAAAGACAATTCGGTAATGCTGCTGCTATTGGTTTAGTTGCAACCCATATGAATATTTTCGTTTTAGGTCTTTATTTTATTGGTGTTGGTGGTATCACAGCTCCAAACATGGCCGTTGGATTGTTTATATTCATGGGAGGTTTAACTCAATTTTTAGCAGGTGTTATGTGTTTGATTGCTGGTAGTGATTTTGGTGCTCTTGCTTTCACTAGTTATGGAGCATTCTGGTTAAGTTTTGGTGTTATATTTATTCCTGGTTTCGGTATTCAAGCCGCCTATGCAGAGGATCCACAACAATTAAACACGGCTATTGGATTAGTTTCAGTTGGATGGGCAATTTTCACCTTTGGGGTCTTGATGTGTGTCATTAAGGCTACTTTATCTTTCTTCTGGACCGTTTTAACTTTGGAATTAACTATTATTTTATTAGCAGCTGGATTCTTATCTGGTAGTCCTCATGTCATGAAAGCTGGTGGTGCCATGGGTGTCATCAACGCTGCTGCCGGATGGTTTGAAGCATTTGCTGGTATTGCCACTAGACAAAATTCATACTTAGTACCAAAGGAAATTCCACTTCAAAAGATCTATGCCATGTTCTCAAGAAAGAAGTAAGTATGAAATATTTTTGGACATGTTTATTTGAAACTTGATCAGGTAATCGGGGGACTACTAAAGCGTTTCTGTAAACCAAGTCATAATAGATTAATAATACTTTCAATTCTTGTTATACATACAATATCATACATGACTACAAGATACAAATTTTTAGTTTAGGGGTTGGGCTGGAACCAATCTGTTTACCTCTCTCTATATATACTTTTCTATATCTATTACATTACTACAGTTACAATACATATTTATTTATTACAGAACGAAGAATCTTCTATTATAATAAGTATAGGTTTACTAGCAAGCAGCATGCAAGATCAATAAAATTTGATTGGGTTTTGTTGAACTACAAGTGCGCTCGCGCTGTGAAACTGCGGCTATCCAAGAACAATTAATTACGTATCAGAGTTCTATTTATAGATAATAAACCCGGAAGAGTCAATATTTCAATCTAATATCGATATACTGCTGTTCAGGAACCGTTATTTGAGAGGTCGCAAATTGACGGCAGAGGTCCAACAATTTTCTGCATTCGAGAAACCTCTGAAGCTTGCAACGTGAAGTGACAACCAGTAAGAGAAATCATGGTGTAGGTCGAGATATAGTGGATGTGGATCTTATGAGTTTCCAAGGGATCAGGACTTTTCAGTTCGAGACTCCCGAGTTATGTAAGTCCCGCTAAAAAAGGGCGTGCACAATCGAACAGCAGTGGCTCTTACTCCACAATGAGCACATTCCGGCTATTTAAACTCCGCAATTGTTCCTTCCTTTTCATTTATTCAAGAAAGCAGCATATACGCCTCCAACTATCAAATATGACTGGACCTGTGATTCCATTCGGTAAACAATTTCGTAAGAAATACTTCAAATTACTTGATCCAAAAGTTCTGCCCCCCCCCCCCACCAAATCAAGGATCTTTTGGTTTATTACCAACTCCAATATATGAGAAAGTCATAGAAGCAATCGCTAGACATTATAATTATTAAGAAAGTCATAGAAGCAATTGCTAGACATTATAATTATCCTGATCAAGTCTATATGTTTATCAACGTGAAACATATATATTAAAATATTCAAGGAAGTGAATTGGTGATTATAAAAATGTTTTGGGAATACTGTGAAGTTCTTGCGGCATGAATTTAGAATTGAAGGTATTCAAGTTCCATTGACCCTATTTCTGATAAACAGATATTAGATAAATTTTGAAGAGATATTCAAGAAAAAGTCACCTAATGTTTGATACCACATTTCTTCAATGCCAGGAGTCATTTTTCCATTTAAACAATTAACTCAATTATGCAGAAGATATAATGACCTTTCATTAATTGATGCACCTCATGGAACTGGATGTATTCCTCAAGATTTATCAGAAATTGATCCTGATTATTATGATACTAATTTACATAAATGATATTTTGTTCCATTTGGATGTGTTGTATTATGCATCGCTTACCGAACTTCATAATAATATTCATACTTTCCCAATTAGTCATTCTTACGTTTCTGATGAAACTGTGCTCGAAGAAGAAGATCAACTCAATCTTTAGTTGATAGATTTTTCTTTGTTGGAACCAAAAATGTTTCTTCAATTGCTGTGATTCCTGATGCAATCAGGGTAAGAGAGAATGAATGTGGTGGAGAACAAGTCATTTTTGATTATTGCCATGGATTGACATAATGGCAACTACAATTTCATCTAAATGCTTCATAGTCAAAACAGGAAACGGTCCAACATTAATTACTACAATAGTAACTGTTGAAGTACCAACAAGACCCATTGGTCTTGATGGGGACACATTGAAGAAGAATTGGAATCATTGAAGTAGTTTGTACAAAGATGTCAGCTGAATATAAAGCATATACACCATGTGTCATTCATAATGATAAATTATATGCTCATTATTCCTGTCAAATCAGACCCCTCAAATCAGACCTTCCCTAGAGTACATTTGAACAGTGTATTGTTTATTTAAATTAAAGAGTTGGACAAGAGGGGATAAATAGTGATAACCAAAATTAGACCTTAGAATTTAGAAATTGACTATTTGTCTGTCATAGAGTATAATTCTAGAAAAATTTACAGTTCCTTAATGCAACTGTGGCTGATTTATTTGAATTGATATCTTGCTTATTAGAGACTACTATTGGTATCCAATCAAGATCCCCCCCTTATTGGATTTTAGATTTAGGTTGGAACAAACAAGTTGCAGTTTGTGTTCCAGTTCTACTCAGTAAAATCTAATTGATAAAATATGTTGAAATAAATAAGTTAAGCCAATTCTTTATGAACAAAGAAATAGCACGTGATAACAAAGTCGGGTAACACCCACCTGAATACTAAATTGAACAACAAAACAAAAGTGGACAACGTCCATAAAATTAACCAATGTATAGTCTTATATAGTTAACGAACGTAATTAATACATCAAGTGAACAAGGTTTTATAATATTGATTATACTAGTGAATTATATTAGTTACACATCTGAACTTATTTGTAGTGTTTCTGGTCTCGAATTTCAACTAAATATTCTTAGCGGGCAAAAAAAAAAAACTAATTGGTCGCAATTTTGGAACTATAAATTCTCTGATTGCAAAAAAACATAAATTAAATCTTGTTTGTACTCCTTTCTTGTCCACTTTATATACAAATAATATCCAAAACAAATACCCAAAACAAATATGTCTACTTCAAACCATTGTCAAGAATCTTCTGATTCTTTATTGTCCTTTAAAGAATTCACCCATCTCAAATTGAAGACGCAAACATGGTACGTCATTGGATTATTCCAGACTGATAGGCTTGGCGCTAAACACATCGCCAAACATTACCAATCAACAAGTAATTCATCCGACCCTACTCCAACATTTGATTATCTAAAGACGTGTTATGTCGAAGATAAAAGGATACCAAAAGGAGTTCACAACTTGCTTGTGGATCTCGCTACGAATGAGTTGAAAAGCGTCGGAAATACCAATGAACAATCAATTGATTTACCTGTCACTACCGCTACTGAAGAAGAAGAACAACAAGCACAACAAGAACAACAAGAACAACAAGAACAAGAACAAGAACAAGAAGAAGAACAACAAGAGCAACCAGAACAAGAACAACCAGAAGAACAACAACAAGAACAACAACAAGAACAACAACAAGAACAACAACAAGAACAACAACAACAAGAAGAAGAACAACAACAAGAAGAAGAAGAAGAAGAACAACAACAACAAGAAGAAGAACAACAACAAGAAGAAGAACAAGAACAAGAAGAAGAACAACAGCAACCAGAAGAACAAGAACAACAAGAAGAACAAGAACAAAAGAACAACAACAACAACAACAACAACAAGTTGTTGTTGTTGTTGTTGTTGTTGTTGTATAAGAAGAAGAAGAACAACAAGAACAACAAGAACAAGAAGAACAAGACGAACCAAAGCAACAACAAATTCAAGAACAAGAAGAAGGAGAAGACAAAGAACCAAAACAAGGACAAGAACCAGAACAAGAAGAGCAAGGCTATGAAAGAGTTGGAAAGCATCAATAATACCAATGAACAAACAATTGATTTACCTGTCACTACCGCAACGGAAGGTGAACGACAACAAGCACAACAACAGCAAGCACAACAACAAACACAACAACAGCAGCAAGAAGAAGAAGGAGAAGAAGAAGAAGAAGAAGAAGAAGAACTAATTATCAAGCCATCGTTGCGAACTAAAATTCATATTAAGTTGCACAATTCGAAGTTGAATTGCAAAACGATCCGAAAAAATTGTGCCAAAGAAATGAAGAAATTTTGGAGGTTCATAGCTAGAAAGCCTGTACCAGATAATGTGGAGACTGACGAATTAGCCAGTCAAGAAGAAAGTTGTGGTGATGTCTCGGGGAGTCAGAACCCGCTTGAAGATATAAGTATTGGGTATATATATCCTCTCCAACATCCTATTAGAAAGAAGAAAAAGTTGAATGGAAACGTCATTGGTATTGATCCAATTAGTGTATCCCCTTCCACCGCTCCTACTGTTGCTAACAAAAAAACATCCAAATTGGGTTTTTTTAAAAAATTATTTACTAAGACTAAAGCCGACCGTTCTTTCAAGTTGTTGAGGGTTAGGGTACATGTGGTCGATCAAAGCAAGGGTATTGATGAGTATATCGAAGTATATAACCATGGTGAAACTACTCCCCCACCCCCACGTCCACCAATACCAGGATTTTTGAAGGCTGCTGCTGGATCAGCTCCTCCTCCACCTCCTCCACCTCCTCCACCTCCACCAACACCTCCATTGCGTGCTGGAGATTGCACCACCACTGAACTCCTCCAGCTGCTCCGTCGCATCGAACGCCACCGTCAACGCCAAGATTTACGGAACTGACACCACAGGGTCCACCACTACCCCCTCCTCCACTAGCTCCTCCAATGCCTGGATTTTTGAACGGTGCTGGTGGACATTGCTCCAGGTTAAAATTGTAGGGGATTTAAGCAAGAGCATGTTATTTATTTATTCCCAGCTTATAGATTTGTATACATTTTTAATATTTTTAAACAAAAATTTCTCTTTAGTAAAATTTCATGACTCTGGCTACGTTATGGCGACCCGACTCTTGATAGTTCATCTTTATTTTGTAAGCTTCAACGCATAAAATTTCTTTTAGATTGAAATGGAACCGAATTGAAAATGTGTAAGTTGCAGCCAAATTATAATCATGAGACTCCCTCTTTGAAATTCTCCTAATTTTTTACACAGGGTATTTATTTATTTAGACCAGAAGCACTAAAAATAAGCATATACTACTATAGATAGCTCAATTTAATGGATGTTATTCACTTTGAGTTTGTGAGTTCAGTTTAGCATTCAAAAGAGTGGGCAGTACAAATTGGTGGTCCCTAGTTTGTACGAACAATTGATCAACCAATTAATCTTTAAAATATTAACATAGGTGGGCATTTCATTGTTATGCAAGAGTAAAATGTTTTTACAGTTTGGTTACATACAGAGTGTATGATGACAAAAATAACAATTCACTGAAAATAAATAATTAGTTGCTAAAGTCGATTGTTACGAAATGGTTAAATGCAAATGTGGAGAAACTAGATTAAATCATCACTGTTATTAGCTACTACAAAAGGGTGGACAATAAATAAAGGGTGGTCAAATGTACCTACTATTATCAGTTTAGATTACCATTACAATAGACCTATTCATGTTATATTAATTGGTGAGAGTGTCACATGGGTCCATACAATAAGAATAGTCCAAGGGCGTACATAATTTGGTTATCCCAATCAATCTACTATTTGCAAATAATAATTAATTAGATTATTATTATTGTTGTTATTTGTTTTTTATTGAAATAATACAGTTTACAGAGTTATTATTGAAATAATATCATTAATTACTAATCAAATGTTTCCAGAAGCTGACTTAACCCAAGTCCAGATAGTTGCAGAGGAATTTAGTCTGGATGTACAAATCATTGAAAATTGAATTAGAAAGGATCCCCCCCTTATTGTTAATCCTACAAAATAAAATTATTAACTGAATCGGAAGGCTTTACAACAATAATTGTAAATTTTATCAATAAATTGAGATAATATCAAAAAATTTGCAACCAAATTTTAAAATCCCTCAAAAGCTGTAAATTTAAAACATCAAGAATCATAATATGTAAATCAATCATAAATGACTTTCTAAAATTAGAATCAAGGGGCATTCATCAATCTTTTAAAATGGTTGCCAAAAAACAAAATTAGAATTAAAGGAATATAAATAATCATCTAAATCCTCCAGGAAAGAAAATTAATAAAGTTTAACTATCCAGTCTCTCATCATCATCTTTAACTCCTTGACTAAGGGACCTGTGATAGCCATCAATAAATTAAAGGCAAATTCCGCCCAACAGGAGCCAATATCTTATTTTGGAATTCAGATACACTATTGATGAATCCCTGGGGTAGAACAGCATATTTCAACAAACAAACCCAATGGTGACATAAAACTAGGTGGGTCACTTTCATCTTTTCAATATTTGCTACACATTCAGGAATATTATGAATAATGAGATGATGGTAGAGGAATTGTATCTTAAGTATGTTTCTAGGTACTTTAAGTTTTCCTTTAATCGGTCCAACATTGATATTTTTACCACCAAGGTTTTTTGCAACAACCATACAACATTTCTCATTTCATGTATCAATAAATACACGATATTTTGGAGTTCAGATTCACATTATTGATGAATCCCTTTGATGAATTGAATGGCAATGCGAGGTGCAGTCAGCTTATGGGTAATGGGCGAGGAGTCCGGTTCAGAGTATATGTTCCATTTAATGACAGGAAGTCGGTACCCAAAATTGAACCTAGTACTAAGACAATAGATCGAGAATGTGAAGGATTGACCAAACGCTTAGCACCCAAGCTCAACCAACTTCTGAACAGTCCCAAGTTACTAATGCTAGGAAATACTCAAGAAGTACGAATATTGCCGGACGTGTTGGTGAAATTATACATCATGATGTTTATGTGGGGTTTCCTGCCCAACCCACAAAGGTAGAATTCCTGCTGCTACTATTACTATTGCTTCTGTTGCTAAAAAGAGAAAATTGTATTCCATGGAAAAGTTCACAGTATTATATTACCGAACTTATCTTCGGTGGAATACAGTTTTCTCTTCTTGGTGATATGAGGAAACACCACAAATATTGCAGCGGATACACCTTTTGTGGGTATTCTTCAATTGGATAAGCTACTATTCCTGCTGCTGCTAACAATAGACGGTTAAAATTGTATTCCATCGAAGATAAGTTGGGTAATTCATCTTAGTGAACTTATTTTGGTGGGAATCCAAATTTGATTTTCTATTGTTAGCAACAGATGTCAGATGGAAACACCACAAATATTGCAGCGGATATATCTTTTATGGGTATTCTTCAATTGGAGAAGCTAAAACTAAAGAAGAAAGTCAAATAGTTATAAATTTCACTCGGGAAGTGATTGGATATTTTGAAAATCTTGGGGATGTATAGATGGCTGAGTTTGATTATACGAATCATGAACTAATGGAAGTTGAAGCACGAGCATCAGTAGGTCAAGAGAAGGGCGGCAGTTAGATGAGTGCTGATGAATCTAATGAACAAAATGGAGGAGATAATTAACCAGTAGTCGGACGACTGTCTTTCTGAGACAGCATTTATCTTTCGATTTGTATAGAGTACTTTTAGATAGAATATAGTGATGTGCAAGATGTACAACTTCTTGTAGTATGTACTAGTAAGTCTAGTCTAACAGCCAAGAGGAGAAACACAACAAATGCCCACAACTCGAGTTCTGAAATAGTTTTAATTCGTAACAGAAAATTATTTCTATAACATAATTTTGGGTGGAAGGCTGGCCAAGGCCTTGTGGGGTCAGAGTACTCAGAGTACTCCACAATGGACAATGGTCCAGAAGGCGTCGCTTAAATTGACGACAGGTCTTTCTTCTTATTCAATTAAACCGAGTGATAATTGCCAGCAAAGTATATCGATTATAATTAATATCGTTATTGTACTTCAAATAATGTAATCCTCGTATCCCCCCTTTGTTCCTGCAATACTAATTGTAAGACAATAGGACAAGATAATAGCACAAAACAATATACATGTTCCGAATCTATCTTTTCCAAACGTAAGTGTCCCCGCGTCGTAGTAGATGATGAAAGAAGATGACTATGGCTTAAGCGACTTTGCATTCATCAGCCAATGAAGTACAGTACAATTTTCATCAAATGTGTAAATGGGGAATAAAATCACTCAAATCCATAACGGTTGATACACGACACCAACAAAAATATTCAGTTGACTCAAAAAATAGAAATCGGATTATTAATTTTCCGAAAAATATGTTTTTAAGGTTGAGACGAGTAAATGTAACAATCTTGACAGGTACACGGAACCACGTTGTACATGCATCATCTTACATAAGACTAAAGTAAATTACTGAAATGTCTTTCTAATGTTTCTCATTACTTTCTTTCATTCTTTTAATAAATTAATGAATTAGGTTGAATCTATAGAAAGAAGCTACAACATTTCCCTTTATAAATCACAAGCAAGCAAGCAAGCACACCCTTTTTTTTCTTTTTTTTTTACATAATAATACCCTAAAAGGATTCCAGACCCAGACCTATTATTTATTTCTTTGTTAAGAATATTTTTTAACAGTGAAAAATATTTAATTATTGTTTTAATTGAAAAAAAAAAATATTTTATTTTATTTTTAATTGTCTTGTTTTACTATTTGTTATTCTAATTATTCTGATTTTAAAAATCAAAGCCAAAAGACAACTTTCTTAAAATAGTCACACCCATCCGCCCCCCCTAAAACCAACTAATTAAACTAATTTGCTATTTAAAAGGAAGAGTAAGTGAAAACTGAGTGTGCTGATATTTCTTCAAGGGTAAGGGTATGGTGGTGGACCATCACCGCCCGCCTTTAACCAACCTAACTAAAGAATATCACCCACACAGAGTAAACTCCAAACAAACAAACAAACAAACACATACAGTTTACAAATGATGATCACGAATCCCAATAGAAGATTGTCTGATGAGAATTAGTTCCAAAGTACACATAACGAGTATAAACCTAATACCGCAAGGCTGGAAGTAACAGATTTTACGTTTTCATTTCTACTTGAACAACTTCCCAGTATTAATAATGACCGGTTTAAACAAATTGTCAATGAACATTACCCTCAATATTTCAATATTCATTCCAAAGAGAATCATAAACAATTTCAACCTATAAATTCATTGGTTTATCATGATATCTTACAAAATTATACCGATGCTAATCATCTTATAAATGGTAATTTATTCTATGTGATCAAAAATCTAAACCTTCGTCAAAGATGTCAATTATACTTTAATCAAAATCCATCAGTGGATCCCACTCATGATATACCTTTTGATAGAATGGAATTACAAGATTGGGAAGGATATAAAGAAGAAGCCATTTCTAGACTTAAACGAGAAAGAAGGGATAAGTTACAAGAAGAAAAGGGCGATGGTGTGGAGATTTCTGATGATGATATAGAAATCACAACTGAAGACATAGACAAGATTTTGGATAAATATAATGAAGCAAAACGAAGAATAGAGCTTGATGAACAATTAATTCATGATTATTTAACTCATGTTAAAGTTTTTAATCGGTGTTTTTTAAATGAAGATGATGAAACATTCTTTACTCAGCAACAAAAGCTAGTGGCTGGTGTGAGGCACCGTTCCTCTAGACGGAGGCCTTATTCCCAACCATCTAGTTCTTCTTAATCCTTCTATCTCGTTTTGTATAAGGGTTGGTTGACACAAAAATCGCCAATATATGAACCTTGTTTAGATGAAACATATACATTATTCGATTCATGTTATTCCAAGGGGTTTTTGAGAACATTTAGACAAAATGTTCAAGGGAAGGGGATAGTTTTAACAATCAAAGATTCTCATCGTGAAGTTGTTATTAGATTGATTCATTTATTAAGATATTTGAAAAATGATCTTCCAATTCAAATCATTTATCAACAAGAATCTATCTCATATGAAACAAAATATCAAATTATTCAAGCTTGTAGTTCGAGATTCGACAATTTACCAATTCAAAAAGTCACTTTTGTTAACGTGACCCCAGCAATTCATCCCGATTATGCTCATAAATTTGAATCCTTCGCTAATAAAATCTTGGCAGTCTTATTCAACACTTTTGAGGAAATTATCTTAATCGATGCTGATACTGTATTAACCCAACCTCCAAGATCATTTTTCAACTTATCGAAATATCAATCATTTGGGACATTATTCTTCCGTGATCGAACCACAGTAGAATATAGACCAAAGGATGATATTGAATTCTTTAAGAAATTAATGAATAATCAACTTGATGAAATTTTATTTAATCTCCCACAAAATACTGATTTCACATTTTCCAATCCATTCTTTGAACAAAATTTAAGTCATATAATGGAATCAGGATTAGTTTTAATTAATAGAAAGATGCATTTCGATCAAGCTTTAATTATGGCTACCATGAATTTCTTCGCACCGGTTGGATTTAGAATGTATGGAGAAAAAGAATTATTTTGGTTATCGTTAGCTATAACTGGAAATGAAAATTATCAATTCAATGAACACCCCGCGGCTGCAATTGGTGAATACACACCTGATTGGATAAGATCGAAAGATTTTGGCGATGGTAAAGAACATAAATTCTTATCGAAAGAGATTTGTGCCAATCATCCCGCCCATATTTCTGACGAAGATAATCATACTTTATTATGGTTCAATTCCGGGTTTAAATTTTGTAATCAAGAAAACGCCAATTTGGATGACGAATTCGGCCATAAGAATCGATATATGAACCTCAAAACATTAGAAGCATTCAAGACATTTATGAATAATAAAATCCGAATCAAGAGTGCAATTGTTCCACCAAAACAAAAAATACATGCTCCTAATGATATCGGAGAAGCCGATCGTTCTTGGGCCCATTTTGGACAATATTGTGGAGGATATACTTGGTGTGCATATTCTTCAATTGGTGAAGCTAAAACTAAAGAAGAACGGGGGTTGGTTATAAATTTCACTCCGGCGGAAGTTAAACATTTTGAAAAGATTGGTGATGTATGGATGGGTGAGTTTGATTATAGGAGTGGTGATGAAATAGAATCTCAGGCAAGAATATTGGTGGATTTAGATAAGGGAGATCGTGAGATGAGTGACAATGAGTATAAGGAACGGGTGGAAGTGGAGATAGCGAAAATGATTAGACGTCAACAGGAGTTACATCCACACTCCGTACCACACTCCGTACCACCCTTCGTACCACGAATCAGAATTGTTCTGTTTTCTGATATAGGACTCGTTTTAGATACTGTGTATGTATCAGTTTTAATTTATAACGACATTTGTACTTTTGGATAGTTTTAGTAGAAGAGGAGACGTAACAGTAAATCTACTCTCGTGTTTTGTTTCCCTTATAACTAGGAACATTATACCGATCTCTCATAAGTGAATCAATGCCCTGCGGAGGAGCGGTTGGTTCGGTTAGATGATTATCGGTATAAAATTTCGCAGCAAAAAATTAGCCTAGGAAGAATTGGTCTCGGAAACAACTTCCTAATTCAAGGGCCAAGCGCATTTTCTTCGAGAACGCGTAGAGATAATCAATAGAATAGCATCGATTTCGTGCTATCGTTTAGTATCAGATATTTATAATTAACAAATGTAGTCCATATCTAACCATGCTGATTCAACTTAGATTGTTCACTGTCAAGTAGAAGGGGGGACAATTAATAATTTACCGAGAGTTCTTTGTATTTAACCCCCCACCTAGAGCCAACTTGTTAGGCGCACCGCCAAGCCATGCTTTTCTCACCCTTTTTTTATCCGAGCGGGGCTATCGTGCCCGCCCAAGCAGTGTATAAAAAAAAGAAGAGAGAATCAGATCGTGTAGATCTATTTCTCCACATTGTTTTGACTTTTCATTCCAATGTCAACCGTGGGAACATTTGAACTGTAAAGACTCGATAAGTTCAATAAGTTGAGTTTTGTATTCTATGTAGATGACTGTGAATCTATGTGTTTGGTTTTGTCTCTCTATAAAAATTTATCGCGTCATATCTCTGGGATATTTCTCATTCTGTAACATCATGAGAGATCTATAAATGCTTCACGTAGATTGAAAGTAAGAGCACGAAGAATAACGCGTTTATTTCGGAAATACTAAATGTTAATCCGCGATTATTAGATTTGATTTACAGCAGATTTTTTGGGAATATTTTCTTGGTTTTCTTTTCTCTTTATTGTCTTTGTTGATTGTGGAGTTAAATAATAAAACTTTTCAAACAAATATATAGACACCACTAACTTCCCATCTTTCTTTCTCCAGAAAACCACGTCGCTTCAAGAGTAATATCCATTTAAAAATTAAAATGACCAATCTTAAACAATTGAATGCTCAATATTTGGGTTACCTTGTGAAATACCCACTTTTAACCAAAGCTATTACTGCTGGTTGTCTTGCTGGTTTGAATGAAACTATTGCTTCAATAATCACTTCTGAATTCAATGAATCCAAAGTCTGTGGAGTTAGAATTAAACATGTTTTCAGTCAAAAATTAGTGAAGATGATGTTTTATGGAGGTTTGATTTCTACTCCATTATCTCATTATATGTATCATATCATTAATAATAAGATCTTTAAAGGGAAATTAAGTAAATTGGGTAAGATTTTACAAATATTAACATCTTTATTTACTGTTACTCCAACCATTACTTGTGTTTTTGTTAGTTGGATTTCAATCATTAATAATTATAAGATTTCAGAAGGGTCATTCGATTTGTGTCAAGAAATTAAGAAGATTGGTACTGTTGTTAAGAATGGTTTGAAAGGTGGATATAAACCTACTTTAAAGACTGCATTGGGAACTTCATTCTGTTCGTTAGTTATTGCTCAGAATTTCATTGCACCTGAATTATGGGTTGTTTTCTTTAATATTGTTTATTTCTTCTTAGGAACTTATCAAAATACTAAATTAAAAACTTTACAAAAGAAGTTAAGATTACAAAAATTAAAAGAACAATCTGAAGAAGAAGAAAAGAAGCAAGAATAAATAAGATGATAACTTAGATAGATAATGTGTTATTCTATTTTAGATATTTTTTAAATGGGGCGGTTTAGAACCTCTCCCTTATTCAAGGAAATTTTGTTGGCCCTGGGGTCGTCACTAATTATGTACTATTGTTACCAGCGTATGCAAAATCTCTACCCCTACTCAAAAGAAATATGACATATAAAGTATAGATAAGACCAAACTACAGGCCACTTTGCCTAGGGTTCATTGTAGCATAGGGGAATTTAAATTTGTGTCAACAAAACTGCTGTACGAACGCAATTGCCGGGGATAAATCAACAGTAAGGGGAACTGAAAAATTAAAATAAAAATTGCTTGTCCCCATTTAATTTCCTTTCTCTCCCCCCCCACCAACTTTTTGAGCTTCGACAACTTTCAAGCTAAAATTGTCATCATACAAATGTATCGCTCATTGCTTAACAACACAACAACCAAGACACCTCAATTGTTTACTCAATTCAAAAGAACCATGATCACTGCTCAAGCTGTATTATACGAACAACATGGTGAACCAAAAGACGTTTTATTCACCCATGAATTTCAAATTGATGATAACAATTTAGCCAACAATCAAGTCTTAGTCAAAACCTTAGCCTCTCCCGTCAATCCTTCCGACATCAACCAAATCCAAGGTGTATATCCTTCCAAACCTGAGAAATCCACAGTTTGGGGTACTGAACATCCAGCTGCTCCATGTGGTAATGAAGGTTTATTTGAAGTTATCAAAGTTGGTAATGAAGTTTCTGGACTTCATGCTGGTGATTGGGTTATTCCTGCTCATGTCAATTTTGGGACTTGGAGAACTCATGCATTGGCAACTGAAGCTGATTTTGTTAAGATTCCTAATCCGGTTCAATCGGTTGAAAATGGTAAGAAACAAGGATTGAGTGTTAATCAAGCAGCTACTATTAGTGTTAATCCAATGACGGCATATCTTATGTTAACTCATTATGTGAAATTGAATCCTGAACGTGATTGGTTTATTCAAAATGGTGGGACTTCTGCTGTTGGACAATATGCGGTTCAAATGGGAAAATTATTAGGAATTAATTCCCTTTCTGTTATTAGAGATAGACCAAATCTTGAAGAAGTTGTTGCTAATTTGAAGAATTTAGGTGCAACTGAAGTTATTACTGAAGAACAAAATAATTCTCGTGAATTTGGTCCAACTATTAAAGAATGGGTTAAAAATACTGGTGGTCAAATTAAATTAGCTTTGAATTGTGTTGGTGGTAAGAGTTCAACTGGAATTGCTAGAAAATTAAATAATAATGGTTTAATGTTGACGTATGGTGGTATGTCAATGCAACCAGTTATGATTCCAACTTCATTACATATTTTTAAAAATATGACAAGTGCTGGATTTTGGGTAACTGAATTATTAAAGAATAATGCTGAATTGAAAGCAAAGACTTTGAATCAAATTGTTGAATGGTATGAAAACGGTGATTTGGTTGATGCTCCATCTATCAAAACTCATTTTGATGGAAGTAAATCCTTACATGAATTATATCAAGATGGTGTTGCCAATTCTAAACAAGGTAAACAATTAATCGCTTATGAAGAGCCATAAGTTTCAGCTTATATAAATTTCAGTTAAATATTGTATATACAGAATGTTAAATCTTTTCGAAAGATAACCATTCAGTGATCTTGTCATTGGCATCACTGTCTGTGACACCCTCTTTCCCAAATAATTTCTTATCATATGTTAAATGTATGCAGTTTATTTTGTTGAAGGCTCGTCTACTGACTGTCGCAAATGTAATCCGGTTAGCAGGGGTGTGTGCTTCGCTCTTAACTTATAACTAAGAGGGTTGCGACATTTTTTGCAGCTTTGGAAGGTGCTCAAGTTCAATTGAACATTAGCCACTAATTTGCCCACAACTAACAACATTGTGATAATTATTTATGTGAGTTACGGAGTTAATGCAAAGACTGCAGCTTTTATTTATGCATGTATTACATGCGAGTTATGCATGAAGCATATAACTGACCGGATGTGGAGGTTTGTGGTTCAAACCAAAATATGTAGTGGAAAAGGCATAAATCGATTCGTCCTACAAAAGAATCTGGTTACCCATTTTAACAATCAGAAGTATTTTTTGCTGCAAATTTCATTATTCTTTAATCAAATTGTGTTAAAATCACCTTAACTCATTGTAGGATTAATACAACCTCCTGTTTGTACCAATTATACTTTATTCATGCCGTTGAAGTGCATTCTTGCATCGACCAATATACGAACTGACAAAAACACAATTGGCACCAAAAAAGGTCATATGCATTGATTCACAGCACCTTCGAATATTTCTACAAATCTCCATCTGAGTAATCAACTGCACCTGAAAACAATCTAGTCATCAATTGATCCCCCGAATGACATGCATAATTCCGTTGGGTGGAGGCACTCACTGAGTTTGGATCCCCCTTTGTTGGAGGATCAATGGACCTCCACTTCATGCAAGAAGACCTCGTACCTCCAAAGATTTAGAATGGGGGGATCGGGGGAGTTGATGGGGTGGGAGGTGGGGGGGGATGGGGGATCCATCATCCAAGGGGGACTACGTATAAGAATTGATGTCCATTCATATTGTACTGGTTGGCAAAAGGTAGTTCTTATGAGTTTATACAGAAGAAGACACAACATAATCAATGAAACAACGTTGTGTGATATCTATTAAATTATTTGATTAGACTAGTCATTGTTCTAGATTAATTACTGATTTTACTCTACATTCTTGACTTATGAAGGTTTTTTTTTTTTGCAGCAATTTTTATGAATCGTTTTGGTGAAAATATGAACGTGAATATTATCTATCCCTTTGCTTTCTTGTTTACATTTACAATAAGCAACAGAACAACTCTTATCCCATTTTCTAAACTAAATGTTATCAATTCAACAATAATAGTTATGTCATTAATAGCATCTTAGTTTGACTCACCACGTGTATGAATTCTGATTTTATTATCTTTCGTTTTAGTTAATCAAAAAGTTTTGCAACCAAATCAAGTTTCAAATTTATAATCAGTGCTACAGTTATTAATCAATTAATTATAGTTGGTGTAGGTTCAACTCTTTGTTAAAATTTATATTTCATATACAAACATCAATTTAACTGAGCAAGAGGACTTTAGGAGCCACTCGATATTCGATTACGATGCGGGATTAAGGGAGACCGATGAACAGAATTTTGTTACTATTACATGCTCCAGGTCTACAAAGGGACACGATTGTTCTGATAGAAGATTCCTCATGTCTAAATAGCACGTTTCTTAATCTATAAAGACTCATCTCATCTCATTCATGTACTCTAAGGAGAACAAATAATAATAGAACAATAGAAATAAACGGCTGCAATAAATTCCCCATTGTTATCAGATTTTCCATATGTGAAAAAAATATTACAATTAAGATTAATTATTTTTCAGAACTGTCAAGACAAGAATTTCAAGAACTTATTATTCCATGTCAAAATTGACAACCACTAGTGGCCAATGCATATATATCTCATCTCATCTCATCTCATCATAATATAAATCAAGATGGGGAGGGGCGTGTTCTTAATGGTTTTCTATAATAATAATAATTGTATTATATTATAACTTCTTAACACAAAAGTTATCAACAGAAATCCTAATCAAGTAAATCCCCACGTGCGCTCAAAATTTTTAAATAATTTGTTATTTAATTGGTAGTCATGTGATGGAAAATTATTAAAAACTTCAACTTTCATATTTATATACTTGAACATTTACATCCTTGTCTCTATCGTTTTCTATCCAATTCAATCATCAAATCTTTAATCTTTAATTGGGAATTAAGTCCAATCAGACATCTTAATAGAACTTGTTCATACACACATACCTACTACTACCTACTCATACAAACTAAGAGTTAATTCACAACCATCATGTCATCCACACAAAAGAGAATTGCATTACCAGCAAGAGTAGAACCAAAAGTTTTCTTTGCCAATGAAAGAACATTTCTTTCTTGGTTAAATTTCACAGTTATATTAGGTTCATTGGGAGTTGGTTTATTAAATTTTGGTGATTATATTGGTAGAATATCTGCTGGATTATTTACTTTTATTGCTATGTTAACTATGATATATGCTTTAATTACTTATCATTGGAGAGCTAAGGCTATTAGAATGAGAGGATCTGGTCCTTATGATGATAGATTTGGTCCTACTATGTTATGTTTCTTCTTATTGGTTGCTGTTATTATTAACTTTATCTTAAGAATAAGGGCTTAAGAGAACCTATTGATTTCAAGTGTATTGAAATCNACTTTATCTTAAGAATAAGGGCTTAAGAGAACCTATTGATTTCAAGTGTATTGAAATCAGCTAACATTTTTATGATTACGTTTAGAATATTTACTTAATTGTTATTAAGTAAAGAAAGAGAAAAAGTATAGTTTAATAAATACGTTTAGTTTGTATAGTAAAATTGTGTTTTTAAAGATATTAGGGTGATAGTCTACAAATATAATTGTACAAATACAGTTATACGAGGCTTAAGTTCAATCTTTAATTTGTCTTTGTAGTTTAAACAATCAAATTGAAAGTAATTCAAAAAGTTATCTATCTCTATTTGATCATTACATAAGTATTGAAAGATACAGCTAGTCTATTTCTTAAATATAAATTTTTATCTTTAAGCCCAAGGCTCTTATCATTTTGACATTTATAATTTACACAACAACAACAATCATATCACTATTTTTAAATTTCTCTTAATTTAAGTGGAGAAACGAAAAAAAGAATAATTTAAATTAAACTTAACGAATTTAATTCATTATCCCATTTATTCCATATAATTACTAATACTGTATTAATAACCCCTTAGATAACTTACTTTATAAGATAATAAAACATATATAGAAACATAGAATCATAGAAATTATGTCATATACTCCATCAAATGTAATCGCACTATTCTTAACAGAATTTGATGTTAAATCCGGCTATAAATTAATTTGGACAAAATCAACCATACCATCATTTGATTTCTCGGGATTAGATTATAAAGTATTACCATCGGGTATTCATGAATATAATCAATCTACAGTATTGATAAGTCATAAGTTTGATAATCAGTTATATTATGGATTAAGTAGATTTAGACAATATATTATTGGTGATGATTCTGATGATAGAAATAATGTAAAGATGTATTCTCTTGGGTTGTTATGTGACCCGGGGAGTAGTGGAAGTGGTGGCAGTAGTGGTAGATGGAAGCCGAATGAATTTATAAATAATGGATGGGAATTTGTTGATGTTTTGGATAGGAAATTATTGAAATATATTCAAGGAATGAAATATAATGAGGTTGATATTTTTGAAAAGTTATTTGATGAGTTGACAAATAGTAATAATTTATTGAATGTTCCTGGAAGTTCTGGTATTCCAAATGTTAATAATCATTTGTTGACGAAATTACCTCAATTATTCAAGACATTAGGACCATTGGTATTTGTATTATATAAACAAAGTTTATTAAGAAGAAAGATTCTCTTCTTTAATCAACATCATATCTTTAAAGACAATCAAGATTTATTACCGGATGATGAATATGATTCATTACTTAACGTATCGGCATTTTGTTATTTAATTTCATTATTATCAATCATCCCTAAAGATATTGAAACGGTTGCAAATACGAATACTTTAACCTATTCTCAACCAATTTATAATATTGGATTACATGATTTATCAGATAATGAATTATTAACTCAACAAGCAACAATAGCAACTACAAATGATGATATATTAAAAAATCATAATATTTATGATATTGGAGTCATGATTGATGATAAAGTATCAATCTTCCCCCAACAACATTCCAACGACATTGAACAATATAAAATTCGGGCTACAACTAGAGATTATCATAAATTTAAACTCATATATCAAGATCTTCCACTCACCAATAAAAAATTCAAATTCACTAATCATACAAATATCTCAACTGATGATTTAAATTCTATAACAACTACCAATTCTTCTACTATTCGTGATTTCGGTGATCTGTTGCTAGTCAAACCCGATCATCCAATGGGTGAACCAACCTGGTGGAAAACCGATGCTATTGAACCCATATCATGGCGAGAATCAATCTGGTCGGCATTTTCATGGTTTGCAACCGCCGGTTATCAAACTGATGAATCCTTGAGTGGAACTACAACAGCAACAGCTGGTGATAAGCTCTCCCTAATTGATGAAGACCCCCGTCATACTAGTTTGGATAAAGTTGATTTACTCGATTTAATCAATATCGTGGGATATTTCCATAAATTAACTAAGAAATGGTTTTATTTAATTAATGAAATTGTATTGGAAGTATTAGAAGAACAAGTCCCTCAAGGGGAGACGATTGAAGAAAATACGTTATTAACTAGTGTAGGTATTGAATTGACATATCAAGATATTGTTGATATGGAATTAGATCCATATTCTCAACAAGATTTAGATTTTGTTAAGGAATTTGTATTGTTATATTGGGGCGCTATTGTTGATGAAGTGGAAATTGGCATTGGACTTAATAGTATTTGTTGTTAGAGTGTTTATTAAGTATTGTATATATAACATTAATGTATAAGTCATTTTATATAGAGTCGAATTACTTATCGGTTATGAGCGGGAAATATTTCCTGTTTCGGGGTTTGAGTGTAGAATTGCGAGTGGCTAGTTATGTATACTGTGCCCTCTCACTTATCTATTAATAGTAATAGTATATCTCATTATAAATTGGAAAGAGACGGGAAATGTGGAAATTGGGTTAAATATTCTTCCAGTGACAACTGCTCGTACGACAACGAAACTGCAAAGTAATTAATTCGTTAGAGATAAGTCAGGACATAGCCATTCTTCGACACGGAAGAAGTAAAATAAAATCAAACGAAGGGAAACAAAAAAATCAAAACAAAACTTGAGTTAAACTTTTCTTGGGAGAGACTAAAGGGCACTCACCCAAAAATAATAAAAAAAAAAAAAAATTAAACCACCACATGCTCAACTTAGAAAAACTTTACAACCCAACTAATTCTTAGTTAGCTATTTCTGTACTTACTTACTTTAGCTATACTACTAAGCATATCACAGCTTACCCTCCTGCTCATACCCATCAACCTCCAGGAAATAAAGGAGCTGTTATTTATACTTTACACGCCCTCAGACACAACCAGAGAGAGAAACAGAGGAATTCTAAATCAAATCACATAAATTGCTTTTCAAAAATGAAAGGACAAATCAATCGTACAATCAATCCCAAGAACGGTGGTGGAGGACATCGTCGTTCTAATTCTCGTTATAATGGAAGCCCCAATGAAGATTCTACTACCAGTACTAGTCCAACTACTGGGGGCAACAACAAAGGTAATGATAGATTATTATATTTATTATCAAAATCAACTGGTAAAAAATGTATTGCCACTATAACTGATGGATCACGTTATCAAGGTCTCTTAGTTGCCAGTGATTTATCTGCCAATGGATCAGCCCCATTATCCATTGTATTATATAAACCTCAATTGATTAGTAAACCTTTAATCAATGAAAAAAATAATCTTGATGATGATAATGAATTACCTGAAAATTTAATAATTCAAGCTAAGAATTTAATTGATCTTGAAGTCAATGATATTAATTTAAATGAACCTATTATTGATTCTGCTGCTACTGTTGCTGGTGCTGTTACTACTAATGGTAAAGAACCAGTTAAGGAAGGAGTTGTTGTCGCTCCTGTTAAGACCACTACTCCTACCCCTGCAACTAGTACTACTACTTCCCCTCCAGTTGCAAAGGCTGTAACTCCTACTCCTATTGAACAACAACCAGCCGAACCAAAGAAGGTCACATTGAAGGAAGAACCAAAGAAAGTCACCTTGAAGGAAGAACCAAAATTCAAAACGGATTCTGATATTTCTGGAAAATTCGCAATTAAAGAACGTGAATTACAAAGATGGGTTCCTGATGAAGATATTGCTCATCATCCTGCGTTAACATTAGAATCTGGTTCAACTGGTGGTGCATGGGATCAATTCAAAGTCAATGAAGAAAGATTCGGAGTTGAATCAACCTATGATGAACATTTATACACTACTAGAATTGATACTTCTGCTCCTGATTATCATGAACGGGTTGCTAGAGCTGATAGGATCGCCAGAGAAATTGAAACTCAAGCTACTTCAGATCGCCACATTTTGGAAGAAAGAGGTATTATTGTCGATGATAGTGGAATCGATGAAGAAGATAAATATTCAGGGGTTGATAGAAGAGGGGATGAATTAATGGCGGCATTAAGAAATGCTACCTTGTCTCAAGAATCTTTGACAAGTCCAACTAGGGGGGATGTCCCAAAGCTGTCCCCGGGGAAATATGTTATTCCTAGACATAGAGCTGCTCAATATCATAATGATCCTGCTATTGTTTCTAGTTCGGCAGTTAAGGCCGTTGCTTCTACTCCACCTCAACAGACTCAAGCATCACCTGCACCAGTTTCAACTTCAGTTCCTGCGCCAGCTCCTGTTAAGGAACAAGCTGTTCCAGTACCAGTTCCAACAATCCCAGCAAAACCTCAAGTTAGTCAATCGGTTCAAGCAACAGCTTCTTCAACTAGTCTTAGTTCACCAAAACCAGAAGTCAAACCCGTGGTACTTCCAAAGAAACAACCAGATTCAATTCCACCAAAACCACAAATTCCAGCTGGTCAGCATAATGAATCATTTAGATTAAATGCCCAGAGTGAGATCAATTCTTTACGTGAATTTAGTGCCAATTTCAAAATCCCTCATAAGATGCCTCAAGATTTATTACCAATATTGGCAAAAGATAAATTGAAACAAGATGAGATTTTAAAGAAACAACGTGAACAACAACAACAAAAGGCAAAGAAGGAAGCTGAAATTGCTGCAGCAGCTGCTCAAAAGAAGAAAGATTCTACTGCTTCGGTTGCTGCTAGTGCTTCTACTACCACTGTGGCTGCCGCTCCTCCTAGTATCCCGGCTACACCTGTGGTTGCTGGTACTAGTGCTGCTGCTACTCCTACCACTGGAACTTCGAAAACATTCAAATTGAATCCAAAGGCTGCGGTATTTACTCCGTCTACTAAACATGCTCAATTAACGTCGCCAAAACAACCAAAGGTTAATTATCATAGATCTCCAAGTAATGTTTCCCCAAGAATGGCACATTCAAGACCATATTCATCAAATGGCTCAATTAGTTCTCAAGGTTCGACAAAGAGACATCATCAAATCTCAGCAGCTGATTTCTTTGGAGGTGTTGATAAAATCCCCAGCAAAGAGAGTCAAGAGAAAAAGATTAATGCATTTAAGTTTGGATTTAGTTTATTTGTTACAACCAGAAACAAACATGATTTTGAAAAAGATGGTCCGGTAGTTTATTATGAACGTACTTTCCAAACTCCACCAACTTGGGATTCAACCATTGATGAAACTCATGATAAATTATTCCCAATGCTTTCACCATCTCCAACAAATACCATGAAACCAATACCTGGCATGATGATCCCAACTGCATCCCCATTCATACCAAACCCCATGATGGCAGCTGCTGCAGGTGGACCAGGTGGCGCACCAATAGCGACAGGATATCACCCTCATCATCATCAACAACATCCATCCGCCAATCCTAATAAGTTCCCCATGTCTCCTCAACAACAACAAGCCGCGGCAGCTGCTGCGGCCATGGCCATGCAATTCCAACAACAACAACAACAATTCCATGCCGCCATGTTTCAATATCAACAACAACAACAGCATCATCCACAACAGCATCAATTTGTGAGTCCGCCAGGCGCAGGACAGCCACCGATGGGGATGTATCCCGCCATGGGTGATCCTGGGGCATTTTTGCCTCCGGGAGCCGTTTCTGGTGCTGGGTTTATTCCAGGCATGCCGGTAGCGTTTGGGTCGGGTGTGAGTAGTCCTGTGAATGGAAATATTATGATGGCGGGTGCGACGCCTCCATATTCGTCTGCGAGTGGTCAGGGGGGACAAGGTGGACAAGGACAGCATGGTGGATATGGTGGTGGACATCATGGGAGACGATATGGTAGTCATTCAAAAAGAGGTGGTGGTGGAGGTGGACAACATAATTGAGAAAATAATGGAAAAGAAGCAAGGAAATAGTGACTAGGTAGAGGTATGTTTGCGGAGTGTGTAGATGAGAAGTTTGAAGTTAGTAAGTAGTGAAATTTACAAATTTTTTTGTATGTAATCAGTCTCTTGTAGATAAGCGTAGTTCGTTGAACCATTGAAGAATGGTTGGTCGGAAATCCTAGCTTGAAGTGGTAGCGCGTGTTCTGTGATTTTTTCCAGGCACATTTTTCTACGGCCACTGCTGTTTTTAATAACCGAGATACGACACACACATCAGTAAAGACATTCCTCTAATCAAAAGCAAAAATTGAAACAACATGGCAGATGCTGCTACTTTAGCTAAGATAAGTGAGCTTATCAAGTCCGAAGATGATTTGGGCAAGATCAGTTCACTTCAACAACAATTCATGAAGGAGAAAGCATCAGTTGATATCAAACTCTCCGCTGGAACTCAACGACAAATTGAATCGATTATGGATAATCTAAAACAATTGAACAACACTGCCAAGCGACTTGGGTCCATTAAATCAAACATGGCGAAAGTGAATACTTTGTATGAAGATTCTATCATTTCGGTTGAGAATTATGAATTGATAAGAAAGATGACAACTGTGAATCAATTTTTAAGTCAAGTTGCTAATTTATATGAAGATATTTCAGGATATAAAGATTATCTTGAGATCTTAGAAAAACAGATTGATTATGAATTGGGCAAAATGAAGCAAGATTTGACTTATTCTTTACCTCATATATTTGAAATTCATTATGTTTTTAATCAAGCGAGAAATTTCCAGGATTATTTGGAAGATTATTCCAAAGATTTATCGGATGATTTGCAATCGATTATATTCAAGATTGTGGCTCCAGTGAAGAAAACGATTAAGATGTATGAGGAATTATTGACCGAAGTTATAATTGGATTGACTGAGGCTGCGAAGGAGAAGAATCATGAATGTATATTTAGGTTAATTAAAGTGATTGAATATGAAGATAAAGAAGATATGAAGTTTTCATTAATGGAGAATCTTAAATTGAATTCAGCCCGAGATGTTAGAACGGTGAATTATGCACAATTTAGAAGATCAAGAAGAAATTACAAAAAGTTCTTTTATCAGAAATTGGAAGCATCGTTTGAAGAAACGTTTGAAGCATGTGTTGAACATTATCAAGATGATAAGATGTTGGTATATGACCATTTGGATTGGTTGGAAGATGAATTGTCCTATGTTTATAATGATTTAGAACAGCTTTTCCCTCCCAATTGGAAGATTAGTTCATTTATTCTGGGAGTTTATTATAACCTATTACATAAATTCACATTAGGAATTATTAATAGCGATCCTACTGCTGAGGATTTATTAAGGATTTTATCCTATGATTCCCATTATACTAAATTCTTAGCATCATTACCTCCACCACCATCTGAACAAAAGGCAAAGACACCAATTGAAAAATCGATCATGGGAGAAGAATTAAAGAACGTCGTGTTGGAAGATTATATGAAGATGATTATGGCCAAGATGAACGAATGGAATGAAAATTTAATGAAACAAGAGACTGAATCATTTAAACAAAGAACAGTCTCACCTGATATTTATCCATATCGTCAAATTATCGAAGATGAAGATGCCAATAATCAACTCATAACCTATCAAATAGAAACCGATGTCTATGTCTTGCCTGATTTCAAGACCCCATTGACTTTACTTAAGGAACAGGCTGAAGTAGCTGCTGGATCGGGATATTCCAAGATTATGGTTGGTGTTATTGAAAACTGGGCAAAATGTTATACTCAACGTACGGCAAATTTTCTGAAATTGGTAGATGATGAAATAGCGAGATATTTGTCGATTAATAGTAATGAGAAGTTTTTACTTAAAGAAAGTAAGACCTCTCGATTGTTTAGAAAGAAAAATACGCCTGAAGTTCTTGATGTTGAGAATATGACGCCTGAAGAACTTGATGAGGTTTCGAGACCGGGGTTGCTTGAATATTTGACAGCTTTGGGGAATACTTATGAACTTAATACAAGTCGACTTGTGGAAAAGTTTTTGCCCATGTATAAAGAAAAGGTACATACTAATTATCAGGTTCGTCTCACGCAAGCTTTTGATGATTTACTTGGTCCAGCCACGGACTTAAATATTCAAATTGTGGTTACTATTGTTGGCATTATCATGAACGATTTGTATCCTGCTTTATCACAACTTTTCACTAAGAAATGGTATGAAGGGTCCACCCAGACTTCTGATGAAACAGAAATGTCCCATTTAATCGTGGAGACAATTGCTGAGTACATGGAAGAGCTTAGAGGGTATTCGACTTATGATATGTATCTGATTACATTTGCTGTGTTATTGGATTCATTTATTACTAATTATTTACGGATTGGATATGAGAATATTCTTCATGGTGATGCTAAAAAAATCGATCCAAACGCGACAAAGAAATATAAATCATTCACAGAAGCCATTGGACGTGATGTCACGGCCTTTTACAAGGGTCTAGAACACTTGTTTACCCGAAAGGATCAAGCATATCTTGCAAACACATTAAGAGCACTTGAATATCTTGGTGATTTGGGTACTTGCGAGAATCCAATGAAGATAATTCCCGAAATCTGGGAGCATGAAATTTTGAGTATATTCCCTAATTGTTCAGTTGAATATGTGAGGGGAGTATGTTTGTGTAGGAAGGATATGGATAAGGCACAGGTGAATGAGTTGATTGGGGTTTTGGAACAGATCAAAAAGGAATATCATGCAAGTGTTCCTCCCCCAGACACATCGAATACATTCTTGAATGACTTTGGGTTTAAGATTTAGATATGGATTATAGAATTGTATAACTTTTATGTATCGTTTTTAATTATTCGCTATCTGAAGATGACGAGTATCCCAAATTAATTTCGTTCTTGGGTTGTAGTATTGGTTTTCTCTTTATTGATATAGCTGACGGTATGACAGGACGCTTTCTTAAATGTACTTTCTTGCTGGGCGGCGGGATGCCTTGTAGAGCCTCCTTTTCTACTTCCTCGGATTGTTCAGGTGCTGGTCGCTTTTTGTTTTCAAATGCTAATTTCGCCAATTCTGCGTCATCTAGTTCAGCTTTCAATTGATTCTCACGTTGCAATTCAAGCTCACGTTCTACTTTTTCTTTGGCCAATTCTGCCACTTTATCCGACCCCCCTTTTGATTCCACGTCATCTAATCGATTCTGTAGTTCTTCCAAATGTTCATTTATCTCCTGTTGCTTCTGTTGTTCCTTCAACCTCTTTTCCAAATTCTCCATCACATCGCCATCCCCGGCATTCAATGCCTCTCGTTCAGACCAGAACGGATTCCGTTTCCTCTTTTCTTTCAATAATTGAAATTTCTTATTCTCTTCTTCTTCTCTTTCCAATCTCTTCAACAATTCGTCCTCAGTTTCGACAACTTTGGCATCAGAAGTCACTTTTCGTGTTGGTTCATAGTTTCGTACTGCACCTTGTTCAGGCACATATCCGGAAGTTTGAGGATTGGTTCGAAATGTGATTGTATTATTACATCCAGGACAAGTAATGTAGAATCGAATGATTTTTATATTAAGATATCGTTCATTGGTTGTTTCTTTTCTTGCATTGAAGGAACGTCGTTCAGCGATGTATTCGTTACAATTTGTGCATCGCATGGAATAAGGTGCCATCATTCTGATCTTGATGGTTTGATTGGCGGTTTTCTTTTTCTGTTTGGGGAGTTTGGAAGGGTCATAGTCGGGTGGATAGTATTTGTTTATAGCCTTTCTCTCTGACATAATGATTTATGGGGGAGGCAGAGCGTGTTGTTGTGATGATAGATCGCTAGCGAGATGGCGCAAAATTAAATATTTCTCGTACCGGAAAAACGTCGCGCCAGATCGATTGAGTTTACAACGGGATGACTTGCCAGCCCCGTTTCAGTACAACAGACGTACAGGGTAATGATTTAGAGAACAGATAATACTACAGGTTAATGGTTTATAACATCAAATTTTCCTTGATAATATACAGAATAAGGTTGGGGGGGTCTTTATTAAATAAGTAGTAAAGATTGTGTGAAAAGAAGAACCTGAAAATAAAAGGAATCCAAAACGAAAATATTTATATTATTATGTTTCTTATTTATATTAATGCATTTTAAATCTCTTTCCTCATCAAGTTTAATCTTGTTGTCTTCTAGCAGCCTTCTTGGCAGCCTTTCTTTGAGTACCAAAGATCTTCTTGTCTCTGTTCTTCTTTTGTTTTCTTTGTTGTCTAGAGGCCTTTTCAACCTTTTCAGCTAAACCGTATCTGACCAATCTGTAAGCTGGTTCGAATTTCTTAGCATCGGCAACGGATTGGTAGATTAAACCGAAACCGGTAGATTTACCACCACCAAATTGAGTTCTGAAACCGAAAACGGAAACAGCATCCTTTTCAGCCTTGTAGATTTCAGCTAATTTGTCTCTTAATTCATCCTTGGAGACGTTAGCTCTGTTTGGGTGTAAGACATCAATGACGAATTGTCTTCTGGCTAATAATGGGTTGGAGATAACCTTTCTAGTTCTGATGGTAACGGCGTCACTCTATATTAGAAATGTTAGTAATTCGTTCATTTGTTTATGTATCCTACTACTCGGAGGGAAGGTGTTTAGTTGATGATCTATCCCATTTGCATTTGAATAATATAATATCATCTGACTTGATGACTAGTTACGTCTTTCTTGCTTGCAGGTCCTTGGTACAAATTCTTTTTATATATAGTTGTGTCATTCTCTGGTTTACAACTACCATGGACATTCGGTAGTCATTTCGTATTCCTCTGCACTATAGTTGACCCTTGTGTATAAATTGTTGAAAAATTTTCACATAGTTTGCTGCTGATATTCGAGTATAAATTTTCAGATCTTGAAAGTCTTGTGGTTATTTCGTGTGGTAGTAAGCATATGCTATCTATATGTCTCTCCTTCTCCTCTCTTCAGATGTAGTGATTTGCAGTATGTTCATAGGTTTATTACATACCATATTGATGATATTATTCCTATAGTATTATTACAATTCAAATAGATGGAATAAAATTTTCTATCACTGAATTTTTTTTCTGTTAGATTGAAATTGGTAGACCAAAATTCCCACTGTAAGTTTTTGGTGAGTGAAAGAAGGAAAAAAAGTTAACTATGTGACTGCATATAGTTCTCTAATGAGGTACAAAATAGAGGTTGTCTTTACTATTGAATTTTTTTGTTAGGCACTACTAAAGTGAGCATAGTAGTAATTATTAATCCTGCAGATAACAATGAGATTTTTTTTTCAGAAAAAAAGCAGTCACAACTTCACGTGATCAGATAAAAATGATTCTCTTCAAGAAAAAATGCAAGCTTCAGGACGGGACGCTACCAAATCTACAAAGTTTGTAGACCCAGTTTTACTTGCTGCTGATGTCTCGATATCTCGCGATGAGAACACTGATCCCAAGGCTTTCTACATCGAATTTTCTCGTTATTTTCTGTTCGAGTTCAGATAATCTTAAGTGCTTGTCAATGTAGAGTTTTACTAGAGATTCATTTGTAGCTTTAAGAGAGCATAGACTCTTACGAACCAAAGAGATAATTAGATCTCAATTGGTATTCATTTCAGGGCCCTTGCAGCACAATGAATTCTTACAAAGTATCTATTTATTAGTTTGAATTATATTTTATTAAGGTATTAACAACAAACTCGCTCCAATCAATTAAATCAACAGCCAAACTACATCTCTCATCTACACACAATCTCTCACTCTCCTTACTTCTTATATCTCAAAACGAGATAACTGGCAGCTCTGTAAAAGAAAATAATGGCAATCAAAACGCCAACCCAAAGCCCCTTGTCATATTTCCCATATCCAAGTGCTTGCAAAACAGCTTTACCATCGATTTGACATTGGCCCTCTAATGGAGAACTATACATACAGTGGCAATTGGAATCACAATCAAAGTTTCTGTCATTAAACTCGTTAAACATCATTCCTTGGAACACATATCTTTGATAATCAATCCAATAGAAGGTGTAATACCAGAAAACATTCAAGATGTTTGCAGACACCAAGAACCCACCAACTGCCATCCATAAACCATTAGCAAACGCAACTAATGCCAATGAAATGACGAAATTAGGGAAGACCGACACAAAGAAAATAGTCATGGATTCGGCCGCAACAAGATCAAGGAATAACCACATCAAGTAATAGAAAAACCCAATAGCTCTTTGATTAAAGTTTGCCATGAAGAATGTAATAATACTGAATATGAGTGCAATGAGGAATAAGAACGGAAGCCCGACTAGGAAGTTGGAAAGACAAAATGATAAGGGACCATATAACCCGTTCAATCTTTCCTTCTTAAAACTGGAGTAATCTTCAAGATAAGATGGGATATAAGCAACTGACATAAATGACATGAATGCACCTGAGAAGAAGATAGCATTGATGAATGGTTGAATATTCTCTTGACCAGCACCTAATCTAAGCCAAACTGTACCCATTAAAATGGCCAAACCTAAATACATGACCAATCTGACATAATATGTCAAAACATCTCTTCTGGCTTTGGTAAGCACTCTGTGGAGAAGAATGAATGTGTTTCTTATTTCTTTCTTTACGTCGACTTTTTCGAGTTCGATTGGTTGGTTTGAGTCATAATCAGAATTGTCGTCGTCTTTTTCCCATTCGTGACATGTAACACATTCTTCCCATTTCGTACGAAGGTCATCCAAGATTTTGAATTTTTCTTCTTTTGGAGCATCACCAGTGAAATCAGTATTAATCAAATCTAAAACATGTTCTGAAGGATTGACGTATGGTGGAATAGGATATCCGGCCTTATCGAAGTATTTGACAACATTATCAACTTTACCGTGATAGATTGTCTTACCTTTAGATAAGAAATGCACTTTGTCAAACAATTCAAAAGTATGGGTAGAAGGTTGATGGATTGAACAAATAACAATCATGTTTTCTTCAGTAGCAAGCTTCTTAATGGTCGTTATAACTTCTCTGGAAGCAACAGAATCTAAACCAGAAGTAGGTTCATCCAAGAACAATATTGAAGGAGTAGTAATGATTTGGGAAGCTATACTTACTCTTCTCTTTTGACCACCAGAGATCCCTTTTTGAATCGGACTACCGATCTTAACATCTCTTTGCTCTTCCAACCCCAATACAGCAATAGTCTTGTCAACTAAATGTTTTCTATAATTAGAGTCGATACCAGCGAATTTAGCAGCAAAATCAACAGTTTCCTTAACTGTCAATGAACCGATCAATGAATCTTCTTGTTCAACATAACTTGACAATTGTTTAATTTTACTTAAAGTTGCATGTTCTTTATTAACCAAGATTTCTCCAGTTTGGGTCATATTACCTGAAATAGAACGATGAGCTAATATGTTTAATAATGTGGATTTACCAGAACCTGAAGGACCCATAAGTGCCAATAATTCTCCAGCATTTACGGTTCCGCTAACATCATCGATAAGGAGTTGTTTTTCACCTGTATTTAATTGTAATTTGATGTTTGACCAAGTAAGGACGTCTACTCTGCTTGTCATGATGTTTATATATGATGTTTATAATTTGCAGCCAATTTTTTTAGTAAATGGATAAACAATAGAACTGTGGCTCTTATGGAAAAAGATAAACGAAATAATTCGTGATCAGCTGCTGTATCGTCCTTTTAAACGAAAACGGAAAAACGGAGAATTTAATCTTTAGTTTTGTGTATTTTTTTAAATTGTTGCAAAGGCCGCGCCAACCATTTTTTTAACTCATTCTACGTCAAAATCAACGGGGTCTGCCCGATATAAGGGTAAATTTTCGGTCGAAAATGGGCGAAGTCGGGCGAAAATGGGCGTATCGGGGCAAACATTTATTGATATTAATAATCAAACACATACAAAATTAGCACACTTAAGTTACTTGGCACTATTTCTAGTGGGTATGGATGACGAATCAACTGATCTATACCACGTTGGATAGATACCGCCATCACATGTAATCTTCGAGAAGGTTCTAATTGTAATTCTTCACACGAAATTTCACCTGAGTTTTTGCAAGAGGAGGGAAATAGCCAAGGTTTACATTTCCAATCAAGAAGGTTGGTGAGGAGTTTAGTATGCCTCTATTTGTCATGTAGATAAATCTACTTGTACTTTTATCAGCTCAAGGGTTCCCGTTTGTGAACGCAATGTTACTAACCACTCGCGTTCTGCTGATTTTTCAATCGCCTCATTTCTCGTTTGAACAGAGGCAAAAATCGGTATCTTTGACGATTCCAGAAAAGAACTGGATTGTGACTAAAAAAGGTTTTCAGTCATGACAATGCTTCAGCTGGTTGGATTGATTGTTTTTTAAAAAATCCTCGGGTCAAAATCGTTCAGTATGTTAGCGATTGATCGTATCTACATTCAGTTTGAGATCAAAATCGCAGAAAGAATTTGTAATCCCAAACTGTCAAGGTGCTCTTGGGGCCCAAGATCGATTATCTCTAGTTGTAGATCATAGTAGATGTGGTTGCTTCGTAATCAGCTTCGCTTGCTTTTGATGCTTAAAATATTTTTTTAGTTGTTCGGTTTTGTGTAATCTTTTGCAACAATTCTTAAAGTGAACCAAAAGAGTGCTAAAAAAAAATGTTCTTCAGATTGCTTGCATCTCCTGGACAAGTTTTGTGTAGGTGGACACAGAGGAATAGCAGCTAGAGAAACTAAAGTAAAATGTGTTCAAGCCTAACAAGTTCACCACCAAATATCAGCTTGCAAAGTTGCACAAGGATGTTCCAGGTAAAGCTAAATCCAACTCGCATTATGCTAGTCCTGAGTAACCGACTTATTAGTGAAGATTCCACTACTACAGTATGTTTTCAGAGCTATGTTTTGCTTCTGCTTTCTTCCGTTTCTAGCAAGCGCCTTATAATACTGACTACGATTGTTTGGGGAATGGGCTGTATATTCTAACGTGGGACACGTTATCTGGGGTTTCTTGTCAGCAAGCTTGCTCAGGGAGGTTCCTGCCTGCAGTCCATGAGATGAGTATAATCTAAGGTATTAATCGCCAGATTTTAAAACTTTACACCTATACTCTGAACTTCTGGGGTTAGGTTAACGGTGGGATTAATTCGAGAAGGAATGTGAGACTAGATTGAAGTGGGTTGCTGTGTATATCTCAACTTTCGTTTGGTTATGGTATTATGGCTTATGTGATTGTCCTGCGATAAATTTTGAAATTTTCCAAAGGAAATTCTCAAATTTTGAGATCGTTCCAAATTGAATGGGTGGTTTGGTCAGGCTACTTCATCAAACTTGCCGTGGATAATTTTAAAAAATAATAAACCACTCGATCCATACACTTGGCGAAATTTAATGGCCCGAGGAAAACTCATCTTGAGGAAAATTCGTAACCGTTGAATCAAGGCATTGGCAGGCATTCAATCACCCGGGTAACAAATAAAGTTTGCTTTCTTTATCGGAGGGTATGTATTGTCTTGCCTCCTATCAGACATTTTAAAATGCATCCAAATAGTCATTGTTGCGGTTTTCCAAACCGACAAGCACTAAATTAAATTAATCTGGAACAGAATCATTTTGTGAAGGTGCCCCTTTTCACCTCATTACTCAGTGATATACCGGTCCTTTGGTAACCGTTGGTGGTAAACCAACCAAACTTGCTTTTCTCTGATTTTGTGACCATTCGGAATCATCTTCCTATGGCGAGTCAGTTGCATCAAAACAATATCACAAGTGAATAAAATCGTTTTGTGTGGGATTATGTGGGATCTATTTGTAATATTGTGTCCAAGGAAGTTCATTCCCTCGGGAATGTAATTGCTAACTAAAGATACACAAATACTCTTAAAGGAAGAATCTACCCCGAAAGAGCCCAGGCATTCCTCTAAACCTCAGAAGTTTTCCTACGAAATCAAGGAAATTTCCTTGTGCCGAGAAGATAACAGTTGACGGGTCAACCGCCTCATCGAATAACCGTTAGCCGTCAAACTTGAAATATTATTTGACGGTTGAAGATTTAGGGCGTTGGATACAAACGGAATATTGCATTTAAAGAGTTGAAAAATAAATTAATTCGGAGTGATAGTCCGATTAATAATTACACAAACGTTTTTCTTGCATAAAAAATAAATTAAAAAAACTAATATACATACACATGCAGACTGACCCGAGTCTACTTACTTAAACATCTACATACTGAGAATTAGTTTTTACGTCTCAATCCTCTAAAATGAGCTAAAGCGGAAGGTAAGAAGGCAAATAACAAAAGAAGCCCACACATCAATCCTGCACTACCACCAAATCCTAATCTTTCGAACATTTGTGGGAAATAGAATGGACCAAGGAATCCATAGATGTTTCTCGCAAAGTTCAAATATAAACCAACATCAGGAGCCTTCTCTGGCACACAATCAATAGCAAATGTAGTCATGACTGTAGCAACAATATTATTACCTGCTGCAGCAATAGCAGCTCCGATCAATGGTCTGATATTCCAATGACCCATTTTTGCTTCTTGAAGGAATACACCCCAAATAATCAATCCGACAATACAAAGAAGATAACCATTGTAGGAAACCCAAATTCTATCAGCAATTACTCTTTGACCATTACGTTTTTCAACACATTTCTTCATCCACCAGTCAGATAATGGACCACCAAGGGCTTCCCCAATGACAGACCCGATGATAATGGAGATATATTGGAGAGAAAGTTGTTGTGCGTTAAGTTGGAAATAAGGAATCATAACTTGAGGCATTTCCACGACAAGGACAATGTTGGCATAACAGAATGTAAATGAAAGTGCAATAACAGCCAAGGTGACATCAATGTTAGCAGCTTGGATGAAAGGGGTGTAGAAGACACTCCAGTTGAATTCTCTAGCTTTTGATTTACGAAGACCCAAGGCTTTCATAACTCCGTGTGATTCATAGGTTGGATCGTGACGAGTGTAAACAGTTTCTTTTGCAAATAAATATAATACGAATTGAATAAAGTTCATAATTGCGAACACAAACAAGATCCATTTTGTACCAGCATGGTATTGAATAAACCCAGTAAAGAATGGACCAGCAGGAGTACCGACAATCAATCCCAATGACCACCAACCATTTTTCTTTCCTCTTTCATGGGCAAATGCTAAGTCACCAACCACGGAAGAACCAGCAGCGGCGGCTGTAGAAACAAAAGCAGCAACTAATACTCTAGTAGCCATTTGTTGTCCATATGTCTTAGCAAATCCACCACCAATGTTCAAAATACAACATGCAAGCGCTCCATATGTTAAAAAGAATTTTCTACCATATGTGTTCATCAATGGGACCCATAATAAAGGTAATACACCGAAAACAGCAATTTGTGCAGAAGTGAAGTATGCTGCAGTAGGTAAATCAACACCATATTCTTCAGCCATGGTTTCAAAAGCAGGAGTCATACCGGCAGCCATGAAAGTAGATGAGAATGTTCCGAAAGCAATCAATACTATTTCGTAATTCTTCTTCCAGTCTGGCCAGTTTAATGGATCTTCAGGATCAGCAGATGGTAATGGATCTAATTGAACAGAACCATGTCTTGAAATAAGATATTGTTCATGATCTTCATCAAGTACGTAAGCAACTGGGTCGAGTTGATTTTCTACGTGGGTGCCAGAACCCTTTTCGATGTCACTAGCTATGGATTTGTTTGACATTTTCTAATGTTTAATATAATTTATTGAAGCATAAGAAGAGATTGTTAAAATTTTAGAGATGGAGTTTTGCATCCATTATATATGACTAATTGTCTGAATGAGGTGTACTAAAAAATAATTGCAAAAAATGTGATAAAGGCTCCTTTCCGGAAAAAGACACAAAAAGAAATCTGATTTGGAGTCTCCGAGGAGATGGACGCGTTGATTTGGGGAGGGGGGTGGGGGGCAGCGTAACACAAACTGATTACGTCAATCTTTGACGTCTTTCTTTTTCTCCGTTTTTCTTGGGCCTTCACTTCGGCATAGAGATTCAGAAAATAGAACAAAATCGAATCTTTAGCTAAACTTGGCTGATCAAGCTTACAAATCCAATTGGCGGAAATCAAATAACCAATCCTAACCTATCTTGAATGTTAGTCTCCCTTCACTTCGTTGTTCGCCTCAGTAGAATGCCCCGCTGGAAAAGCAATTCAAAAGAAACAAGATGGTGAGAAGCATTATTGTATCTTCAAGATAAGATCTTGGTCCCCTCTTTGATCAGTATCATTCGGTCCGAGTTAAGAAACTAACATTAGACCCTTCTCTTGCGTATATTTACAAGACCAATTTTGGATCTCGGAGTTTTCCATAAAAAAAGAAATTCATAATAGAATGAATAAAAATTACAAATTGCAGCCCTCCAAAAAAATAAATTATTTTTTACGGAATTTGATTCCGGAAATTAGAAAAATGACTGGGTGGGGTAAATTGACACAATATTTCACCATAGTAAAGTATACCCAATTGCCCCACTCACCGTTAATTTTAAAAAATAAATCTCAGTTATATGTCAAATTAGGTGACAGTGACTTGGCTTTTGGGTTGGGCTGCTAGCAACAGAGCTTGACTTAATAGTGAAAGAACAAGAATCGAGGTTCTAATTTAGTGACTCAAAATGGCGTAGTAGAATGAATTATTTTGTGTCACTATTTCTAGAAGAATGTTCGTACCTACCAATTATTATTTAGAACGGGCCCCCTCAATTTAATTGTCAAATCATTAGTCATCGGAAAATGACATATGTCAAGAATATACATTCTATTTCTAACTGCAAAGATGATTGTATCGGAAATGCATGAAAATATATTGCGGTTCTAGTGGCTTTACGTTAGGCTTTACGTACCCTTCTGGAAACAATAGGCGTCAATTCAGTATCGTGAACCTAGAATGACTATTTCTAATAGAACGTGATTTGACTTTATATTTACATGTAGAGTTTCGAGGTGCCCTGTAGTGCATATAATGAGAACTGGAGCATGTGAATGAAGCACGACATGAAGATACTGAAAGGTCTCCGGCAGAACTGCGTGAGACTTCCGCGGGAATAAAGCGTCTTTAATGCAGGTACTCAATACAATGGACCTGATAATAAAGAATTACAATTGTCATTGTCCAAATACTCCTCTAGTCGAATCTGGAGGAGCGCTAATAGAAATTACGTCTCACACAAATGTGGGATTCAACATTGTCTACAGTACATATGTATATCCGCTAACAACCTCCGTACCCCTTGCCTTAACTTGCCTGTGGCTAATATCTAAGACAATGTACACCACACGGAAATAGACACGATTCGTATCTGACGTTGCCTGTCCTTGTGGGGCGACCGAATCAGAGGTGTCGGAGAACAGGGGTTCACAAGCTTGCGAGACGCCACGGCTTGCAGACACGGAAATGTGAGAGAATACTCCCAGCTACATGAAATTTACTAGCATACAAAAATTTACGGAACTCCTTACTTCTTACGCCTTATCTAAGTTACTAACAAGATCTAATCAACCCACTTTTCCCCAGTCAAACATTCATAAGCCTCAATATACTTTTCCTTTGACTTAATTGCGATTTCTTCATCCATCTTTACTCCGTCTTTTCCAGCAAGTCCATTTGAAGTCAACCAATCTCTTAAGAATTGTTTATCATAGGAATCTTGAGATTTTCCCAATTCGAAAGTTTTCGCATTCCAGAATCTTGAAGAATCTGGGGTAAGTACTTCATCCACAAGAACGATATTGTCATTTTCGTCCAATCCGAATTCGAACTTTGTGTCTGCGATTATGATTCCTCTGGTTTTGGCATATTCTTTAGCTTTAGAATAGAGTTCAATGGCTTTGGCAGCTAAGTTATCACATAATTCTTGACCAACAATTTCGGCAGCTTGTTCAGGTGAAATGTTTTCGTCGTGTTCTCCTTGTTCAGCCTTGGTTGAAGGAGTGAAGATTGGGGTAGTGAATTCTTGGGATTCGATTAATTCTTGATCGACCTTTAATCCATGGACAGTTTTGGTCTTCTTGTATTCTTTCCAAGCGGATCCGGTGATGTACCCTCTGACAATTACTTCCAAAGGAATCAATTTCAATTTTCTAACTAATAATGCTCTACCTGATAATTGTGATTTATATTTCTCATTTGATAATTCTTTAGGCAATTTAGCAAATAAAGATTCATCATCACAAGAATCTAGGATTAAGTGATTAGGAATTGAATCCTTTAAGAATCTAAACCAGAATTCAGATAATTTGGTTAAGATTTTCCCCTTGTTAGGAATACCATTTTCCATTATAACATCATAGGCAGAGATACGATCAGTAGCAACGAATAATAAAGTTTCTGGGTCAACTTGGTAAATGTCTCTAACTTTCCCTCTAGCAATGAGTGGTAAGATTCCGTCTAAGTTGGTGGTAGTTAAAGAGTCAGTCATTTCTCAATTGTATAATTGATGATTACTTATTAGTAGTAGACTCTTGCGTGGAATGATGGGTGTGAAAAATTCCTGATATTTTTGAGATGCGATTGAGATTGATTGATTAGGGGGCGATGACTCGTTTTTATTTTTTCTGACTCTGATTGAAAAATTAATCTAATTTTGCTGGGGTAATTAATTAGCTAATTAAGAGGACTATGACTATTCCAATTAAGCTAAACCCCCAAACCTTAACATCATTACTACAAAAGCGTTTGAGTCCTTATATTTGAATCTCTATCGGGATGCTAAATCAGCAGAGTTCTCTAAAGAAGTTGTATGGATTATGCACAAAATTTCGCATCTTTTTGGGTGCAAAAAAGGATGACCTATCTTACAATGTACTTCTGTACTTACAAATGAATCAGATCTAGTGTAAAATTAGTTATTCTATTTATAGAGGTATATATCATAATCAAACTTCTCTTACAATAATCGAACCGTCCGTGGAAGACGACACCATAATAGGCTCCAGTGGATGATACGCAACATCAATCACTGTTCCTTGATGTCCAGCATATTTCCCAACTATTCGCCTCGTGCCCAAATCCCATATCGTCACTGTAGCATCTTCAGACCCGGAAACGATCTTAATATTGTCATTTGAGAAACAGGTTCTAATTAGCAAATTCTCCTTGCCAGAAGGCGCTCCTTCATACACATATGGATTCATTCTATTAACACCTTCAGGAACAAATTGATTTGCATTATATGTTTTGACAGTTCCGTCCAATGATCGACTAACCAACATAGTGTCGTCTGGACTTATGCCAATTGAAGATATGCCCAGTACAAGTCCGCCACCTTCACTTGACCATAATACTTTATCCAACACTCGTACGTCATATGCCAAAATTTTGGACTCAATCCCTGAAATAAAGAAATTTGTACCCAGATGACTAAACTTTCCTGTCAATAAAGGCAATTCTGTATCTATCTTATCTACAGGATTACGTTGTCGTTGATCCCAAAATACGACACTTCCATCATCTCCCACAGACATTGCAATATCGTCACAAGAAGTATCCACTTCGTTCACTACACTTCCTGCCTCGTGTCCGGTACATTTTCGCACTCTGTTCCCAGTAGTCGTATCCCAGAACCCAACACTCGAATCCGCACTGGCACTCACAATAATGGAATTATCATGTGTCCAGTTAGCACATACCACTGCACCCTTGTGTCCTGTTAAACATGCATAGTTGGGTTGTTCATCATGCTGCGAGCTCGGAAGATTCCATAGGAGGATCAGTTTGTCCATTCCCGATGAGGCTATTTTGGTACCATCGTGGCTGAATTTAGTCGAGAAAACTGGTCCACCTGTGTGGCCCTCGAGGACTACGGCTGGGGAGTATAGTATTCGACCAGATTCGTTGCTGTCGTGTTCGGTGGTGAATTTTGATGAATGAATTAAGCTGGAATGGGTGCCATTGTCGCTTTTATGACGTTTTGCAAGTGACATCGTTGTTTGATTGTGAGTTTGTGTGGGATCTCATCGAATTCAGGAAGCGGAATTTTTTACCTGAAGACGCGCAAAAAAAGGTATCGAATTCTACGTATAATTGTATGGTATCAATTGCAGTAAATATAGTAGGCAGCTGTTCAGCTATTATTTATAAACTTTTAATTTCTAAACATTATTTATTTTATATTTTATACTAATACTATATAGTAGCTAAATATACTCACACACTTTCCGAAACGAAGGCTAACCCCTCATGTCAAATATTCATAACTATTGTTATCAATACGCTTGATATACTTTTTGTCTATCAAATGATCAATAACTCTCTTAACATCAATGATCTTAGCCGTGAATCTTGATAAAGTTTGAGGTAAAACTTCATTAATCAAGTCATTATGCTTGCATTGTTTTCTTGATTTCATGATACGCACAATACAAGCAGAAAGATAATTCTTACGAGATTCTTCAATTTCTTTACTTGCTTCATCTTCTTCTTGTTTAGGTTCACTGGTTTTGATTGCACTAATGAAATTAACCCTTAATTTCTTGGATTTATATTCTTCAACCATAGTGAATGTAGTTGAATCGGTAACAGGTCCAGCTGGGGATTGGTCGATTAATTTGTATTTGGTAAATGGTAACAAATGGGCTTCAAAGATTTGTCTTGCAGTTCCGACAATTCCATGCAATTCAGCAAACGTATAATTATTCTTCTTGTTAAACGCCATCAAGATCATTAATTGAACTTGGGATACGGTGAATAAGAAAGGTGGTTTTCCCTTTCTTGATAAATTAGCCTTCAATTCTGCCCTACCATGATTCCATAACCATTTCAATTGTCTTCCGGAATGCTTGGAACCATAAGTCTCGACAACTTTTTCAAATGGACCTTGTAATTCTGGAGGAACGTTTAAATTATAATCATCGAGATGTTTGAATGGCCACATACTTTGAGCAAGAATCAATGGAATGAATTCTTTGACCATACTTTCAGATGCGAGATGTTCTTTAACATTTGCCTTCAAATCTTCTGAAGCTTTCATATCGGAAAACATCTTTGTCATCTTTGAAGTATATTCAAGTGAGTTTTCTTCTTGAAGTCTATGAAGTAATCCTTCTTCCAATTCTTCCGATTTACAATTTCCATTAATTAATCTCTTGGCTAACAGACGACGGTAATATTCTTCAAATGCATCACGATCATTTAAGAACTTAAACACGATGATCAAATTATCGACATTCATATCAGCAATATCGGCATCTTTACTGGTTCCTTTCAAGAAACTATCGGCATATTTGGCCAAAATTTCCGGAGTCTTACAATTACTTCTTGGAGTTGGGGTGGCTATTGGGTTCTTATTAACGAAATGACGACAAGCATTGTCAAGAGATCTGATGAATCTCGTATCCTTGTTAAATGCTTGGATAACAACGTCATTAAATTGGTTGTAGATTTCAATCAAGGTATTGATATAAGTTTTTGGGTCGACAGCACTTGCAGATCCGGCCTTTCTTGAGGATCTTGTAGGTGCTGCACCAGGAGCTTCTGGAGTTTTGTTTTCTGCTTGTGCATCTGCTGCTTTTTTGATTTCTTCGATTGCCTTGAGAGCTTCACCTTTGATATATTCTTCTAAGGTATCAGCTAAGGGGTCTAAGGTTCTAGGAACTCTAGCGAGTAATTTATACATTCTTTGAATGTGCTCAATTTGATTCTGTTGTAATAAAATAAGGAATTGACTATACATTTCCTCAGCATGATTTTCAATCAATGAAGCATTCAAAGCATCCAATAATGGTTTCTTGGTATGTTCTTCTAAATAATTATTAGATCTAGAAATTTCTTCAGCAAGTCTAGTTTCACATTTTTTCATATAATCAACCACATTATGTTCGGAAAGATATTTACTGCTTTCTTTGATATAATATTCACTAGTAACCTGTAAGAATGGAGTTTCAAATGAATTAACATAAATAATTAAATTTGGTTTTTTCAAATCTTGAGTATCAATACTTAAAAATACTAAAGATTTAATAGCAGTGGAAATTAAAGAAGTATCAACAACCATATTATTTCTTTGCTTTTCAATTAAATCCAAAACCTCTTTTATCAAAGTATCAGCATTTGGTTCAAACATTTCTTCTTTCCATTTAATTAATGATAAAGTATTAACATCAAATATATCCCTTCTACCATCGGCCCTTTCCTTTTGAACCCAATATCTATTCATATAATCAAACACGTTATTCATATATACTGCACCAATAGTGAATCTTGTCCATTTTCTAACATAAAACTCCAAAAAGGTCTCATTGGCTTCTTTATGTAAACCTCTAATATATTGATTCAAGTAGTTAACCAATTTATTATAAATGTCAGCCCCAGCTAAAGAATAACTATTGTTTTCATTGCCACCTGAAGAAATTACACCTGAACCGTGTCGAGATTTGTTGATACAGTAATTGTAGATTGCGGTATAACAATTCATATACATATTAGGGGTAACACCTTCATCGGCTGCTGAACCTAAGATACATTCTAATCCTGGCTGGACAAAGTTCCAAGTCGCGTTTAAATCTGAGTAATGTGGAAGTGACATATGGGAGGGATGATCTAACTTAGGGGTGTAGTGTGAACGTGTCAATTGTGATTTTGAGTTGTTGATTCAGAGATTCTGGTACTACGTAAGATGATTATGTTAATTATAGTTTAAACTGATGATGACGAAGTTGTTGTTGGTTTTGAAGGGATTTTGGTCAATTGGGTGAAACTTTAAAAAGTTGTTGTAAAAAATGAAAAATGTCTCGAATCATAAAAAAGGAGACATTTATTTACGACATTTGCTACTAATTATTTGCAATTTGCTACAAACTATTGTACTACAGTTATTCATAAATAAGTGTATACTAAAAGCATCATTACGCAATATCTAAATCAGTCCTTGGTCCTGACGTACTAACTCTATCCACTACCCTCAACAAACTAATAGTAAACGTAATAACCCATAAACTTAATATTGTAAATAAAAACGCAGCCAATGCTCGTTGTCTATTACAAATAGTCCCAACTACTGGAAATAAATCAGTAACTCCTGGTCTTGTATCCTTTTGACAAACCCATTCTTGTTCATACAAGGTATTAAATGTTAATGAAAGATTTGCTGATGAAAATATAATAAATAGTAAATCCAACATGATTAATCTCATTTTACTCATTGGTTCTCTTAATCCTAATGGTTTACCAGAATATTCATCATAGGCAATATATATCACATATAGCAATGCTACTGCCTGCACAACTACTGCCATGATTGTACTAGGTTCTTGTGGTATTGGTTGTCCATCCCAGTCTTGTCTTGAAAGTTTATATATTGATCCAGCCAATGCTAAGGCACAAATACAAAGTATTAAGGTTAAAATACGAAGGATTAAAGGTACCAAAGGATTAAACAAGAAGATCTTTTTGATGCTTGGTAATACTTGTTTTCTATTCTCTCCCATCCAATATCCTGCTGTTGATCTCACTCGAGTATCATTTTCATCTTTACTACTTCCACTACTACTTGGACGAAACCATCGTAATATTCCTCCCTTTTTGTTCAAAAGGGTTCCACCACTACTTGAAGACTCAACAAATTCCGATTTTAATCTCTCATCCCCACCCCAGGGACTATCTAAATCATATTCCTTTAAATAATCATCTCCATATGATATTTTGTCACTTGTATATGCTATTTGATTACGTATGGATGATATAAAATTATGCCAATTTCCATCCAATGCACGTAGGTATGGATCATGGTTGGTAAAACTTGCATATTGATCTTCATCCTGATTAATGTTAGGATTATTACTGTTGATGTTTGGGTTGCTATTAACATGAACTATACTTGCGCTTGTGATTGATCGTGAATGAGTTCCTCGTACTGATAATCCTCCTTGGTCTAATGAAATACTGTTTGAATGGAAATTGTCTTGTTGTTGGTTCTTGTAGTGGGCTTTTGCGATTGTTTCTAGTACAAAGGGTGGTACACGGTTAGGTACATGAGCATAGGTGTTTATATTGATATCATCGAATGGATTGGCTGGTGCTTCTGGAGATGAGCTGTTATTTATGGTAGCTGACCGACTTCTACTATTGTTGCGACTATTGTTATTATTTGATTTATTGTTGTTGTTGTGACTGTTGTTAGTGTTGTTGGGTATGCTCCCGTCTGGTTTAGTCATTTTCTATAATGTATGTTTCTGATTACAATTGAAATGGTATTGAAATGAGGCAGTGTCCACTGTATTCTTTTCTAACAGTAATAAATTGCTTTATATTTCGTAATGACGTTTAATTGGAAATGGCTTTGATTTCCCCTATGTGCCACAAATCAAAGAAAATAAATACAAATGGTTAAACGATTTTTCTAACCAATAAAATTTAGATCACGTGTTTTTTTTAAAATGGGTGCAAAATTTTATTTATTCCACTTGATTTAAAACTAGATTTATCCCTTGGCATCCATTTTTATTCGATTGGCTTAATTGCTTCTTAGTTAAGCAAGCAAGTAGTAAAATCTGTCTGTTGTTAGGTATCTGACCCAAGAACATACATGGTTTACCTATTGCAATTCTTGTTTATTCCAAAGATTTCTTTAATACGTTATAATCCAGCAATCCCATGTCAATTATATACAAAGATATTATTAGTATGTATAGACCGAAGGTACAAGTACAAGTGAATATTGTTTCATTTGATCTTCAAGGTAAGCTTCTAGTATGGAAATCTTAATTACATTCCAGAATCGGGAAATTACATGTTCAGTGAAGAAAAACTGCAGATTGTTCTCTTTTTCACAGGTTATTAACCAGTAACCCCCCTCATTTCTTAAAAAATAAATAACCTCCCAAATTCCAATTTAAAGTTCCATCTCACGAACAAAGTCCTTTCGCTTCATTCAAGTTAATTACTTAAAACTTGTTACTATATCCTGTTGACTTTCCTTTTTCCCATAGAACATCTCTCCGAGCACACAAGAATTAAAACATCGCAAAGAATCAAATGAGAATAAGTGTTTCGGGGAAAACCACCAGTCTTGCCACTCCACTCCGCAGCAATCAATATGTCGGGGTTGGTATTATGATGATATGTGCCAAAAGATTCCAATCAACTCAACCCGTAATCAACAAGAATTCAATCCATGTCATTTCTATTCCAATTACAACGTCAAAATCCTATATTTATTGTAATCATCGACCTAGCATGTTGGGAAAATCCCAGACGCATACCGTCCCTAGTATAGTGAAGATGGAAAGTAAATTAACCCAATTAGCAAGCAAAGGATGGAATAAGTTATCTCATTCGAAAAAGCCTATCAATGTCAAGATTACTAAATTTGTTAAGAAATTATTGGCTACTATTCCATATGAAGAAAATTGTTTAAGATCATTCCCAAGCAAGCAGGCTATGATTAGAGAAGTGAATGAAGAGTCAATCGAATCGGTGAATTCTAAAATAAACAACCCCGCTATCTCCTCCAATTCTTCATCATCCATAAATACAGCTGAATCAAGTATGATTCAATCAGAGATTGAAAACTTGAAAATCCCAACTAATCAATTAAAACCAATTCCATTATTTCATCCATCTTTTCAAAAGCCAACCACTATTTTGAATCAGATATATAGTTTCCGTGAAGAGACTCAATCCAGACATCAAAAATATGCATTATTGTGTTCAATAGGGATGGTTGCTGCTTTGCCATTGGGATTAATTCCTTTATTACCCAATGTTCCTGCGTTTTATCTTGCATATAGAGCATATTGTAATGTTAAGGCCTTACTTGGAATTCAACATCTTGATTATTTGTTAGAGACTGAACCAAAAGTGAAACAAGCCCCAGTGGTTGCAAAAGAGGAAGCGGAAGAAATTTCAGAAGAAGGTGAGAAGGAAATGGCAAGTGATTTGACTGTAAATGATACTACACATTTAGCATTTAAACCAATTAGCCAAATAGATGAAATATATGTACGTGATAATGAGAGAGCCAATTTGGATGAATTTGTTCAACGAGAAGAATGCGTGATTATTACTGAGGGTATTATTGAACTGTTAGTTAATGAATTGGGTTTAGAACATTTACGTGAAGATTTGCATAGAGCATTACTGCAAGAAACTGCTCGATTAAATAAACATATTAAAGTGGAAGATCCTGTTAATTAGAGAAAGTGTGTAATCAAAATTGTATATATTATTATAAGAATAAAATTAAAAGTCAGATAATGTATGTTTAGGGTTCTGGGGAAGAAGCCCTAATCGACTGCACGTGATACATATAAAAAAATAATCCGTTGGTGAAATTTTTTGTTACGCAAGCGGCGGGTAACCAGTTTCTAGGTCTCGCACAGCAAGAAAACAAAATGTAACAATACTAACAATTACCCTCCCCCCTTGTACCTAGTCTCCCTCCCTCCCAATTCCAGCGCGAATCAATTTACTGGGAGGGTCACGCTTTAAAAAAAACTTTTCTTTAATAACTTCTTTCTTCTTTCTTACTTCTTTTCTCTTAGTATACAATTTATCGTTCAATATGAGAGATAAGTGGAGAAAAAAGAGAGTTAGAAGACTTAAGAGAAAGAGACGGAAGGTTAGAGCTAGATCCAAGTAATCGGACAGCTAAAGGGTTTAATGGTATGAAATTTTTAATGATTGTATAATTTTTTTTCAATTGACTTTTGAAGAATTGAATAAAATGGTTGCAATGTCAATTGCAATTGATTGAATATATGAAGTTGGTTCAGTTGGTAATGGTTATATTGTTGTTAATGGTTTAGTACTTGTTATTATCTTTTATTGGTTATTTTCTAGTTCGTCATAAAACACCGTCATTTTACACTAAATGATTTATGTCCGTATATATAAAAAATATAATAAATGAATAGCAGCATTCTTTTATGCTGGTTTGGATTTTATAAATAAGTTTCATATCTTCTTGTAGGCTCTACCATTCCGACTCTCTTGTATGTTTGATTCGCCACCTTTTCTTAGGGTGTAATGAAATCGATCCCCCATATTTTTTGGTTGTCCTGCAACTGAAATTCTTCAGATTTTTTTAGAGGGAATTTGTTTGGTTGCCCTGCAGCCATAAGATCTTTTTCGCAGCCGATTTGCACCCTATTTGTGCCACCACCCTAGGTTTTAGTTATCACACTCCAATACACGAAAGATACAATACAATGATACACAATATACCTTCGCCAATACAAGAACTTACTCTACCAGCACGAATTCAGAGAAATAAACAACATCAACTACGACGTACAGAAAATGCAACCAATGATCATTCTTTTGAATCACCACCAAGCAGAACAAACACGATTCATCAATATCGTTCACTTCCATTACCTACTACTTTTCCACTCATGATAAATCAAGAAAATGAAAGTGGTAGTGGCAGTTCTGGGATTGTTAGTGGTGGTATTGTTGGGGGACATGTTAATCATAGTGCAGACATAGATGGGTTCTCCTATATACAAACTGCCCCAATCAAATTACACGACCAGAACATGGAAGAAAAGTTAAAGAGTTTAGATGTCAGTTTAAACAATCATCCGAGTCCAGGTGATCGATTCCCATTAATCAAGAATATAAATTTAGAAAATGCAGCTGCAATTGCAGCTATCATAGGTTCCAACACAAGTGAAACTACCATCACAAACTCAGTCATCAACCCTTTGTTTTCATCGTCAACAATCACACCAGCAATAGACAACACTAATCATCACCATCCACTAAGTAGTCCAATGTTCTCCTTCGACAAACCATCCCCAGTTCTTGAACTTGCCCGTACATCAAACAATATAGCCCTATCTTCCAGCTCATTTGAAATAGAATCCCTGGGATCTGTTTCCAGTCCAGTTCCATATTCCGATTTAGAAATGTCGATCCTTTCCCCCCACCAACCTCCCTTCGATCCATTAATCCACCCGTCTGATCATCCTCACAGATTGTCAAAACGAGAACTAAATGCTAGGAGACACCTGCTGCTATCCCAAACTGGACAGTTGGAAAATAGACTATTTCCTCATTATGATCAATTTCTGGAATTTATGGAGGAGAGATATATAAGATATAGACCTTCCGAATCACAACATAACAATGAAGCAATCCTATCTGGAAAACATCCATTTCAACAAGATGATTATGGACGACCCAAAAGTTCAACATCGTTTGTTAGGTCATTCACTGGATGGTTCAAGAATCTCAACAAACCGGAATCCATCAGCGGAAGCCAGAATCAGAGTCAGGCAATAAGAATGCCACCGGATTTAGAAAATCAATTATCAGAAGGTATAAATCGTTCCCAATTGGATTTCATCAGAAACCTAAAACCAAACAGTTCTAGATCAATTATAAATCCCAGTCCAATTCATAATCTGGGGATAAGTGGTGTAGTTGCCTCACAGGTGATATCTCAAGAACCTAGTCTTCTGACTCCCGTGCCGTTATATACACCCAAAGCGATTCCGATAATTGAATATCCGTTGAATTTCGAAAAAGGTGGTGGTGTTGGAGAGAATGAGGATCTGGAGAGACGGAATGCGATTATTAATTCGTTGGATGATGATGTGAGGGATTTGATTGATGGGGTGGATAATTTCTTGACATCGTGTTTTGAAGGGATTTGGTCGGTATTTGTGACCATTGGTGATTTCTTTGCTGGGTTGTACTAAATAAGACAGAATAATGTTCTTTGTTTTTATTATATAAGATATGTAAAAGATCAATAAAAGTAAACTATAAAAAATTGAAGAATGATATGACAAAACGTTAATGTGTAGGTGTTTATTTATGAATCTATTCGGAAGCTTCGGCAAATCTTTCAGAGATAGTAGTCAACAATCCACTGAATTCCTTTTCACCTTCAGCTTGACCTCTAGATGGTTCAAAGAACTTAGCTGAAGAAACGGCATGTTTGACATCACTAGTAGCTTCTGCCAATTTTGACCACTGAGCACCATTAGAAACTGCTTTTTGAGCTTCATCATAGTAAGAAATAAATGCTCTCATCATATCAAAAGTTTTCCAAATAGGACAGAAAGCATCATAACTTGAATAACCATTTTGTTGTAAGAAATCTTCCTTGATCAAAGTAGCAACATCTAAAGTAATCTTATCGGAATCAGATAATGCTGATTTCCCGACTAATTGAACAACTTGTTCTAATTCTTCGGCATTGGATAAGATTTCTCTAATTTTATCTCTTAATGCAGGAAATTCAGGATAATTAGAATCATAATATTTACTTAAAACATTATTATATTTGGAGTATGACACACTGGTGTTAATACTTGGGAAATGTTTTCTTTGTGCTAATTTTTTATCTAAACCCCAGAAAACTTGAGTAATACCTAAGGTGGAAGTCGTAACTGGATCCGAGAAATCACCACCAGCTGGAGAAACAGCAGCAACGATAGAAACAGACCCAACTCTTTCTGGTGAACCCAATGCAATCGATTTTCCGGCTCTTTCATAGAAAGAAGCTAATTTGGCACCCAAATAAGCAGGGAAACCTTGATCAGCAGGCATTTCACCCAATCTACCGGAAATTTCTCTCAATGCTTCAGCCCAACGAGAAGAAGAATCAGCAATCATAGAAACATTCTTACCTTGGTCTCGGAAATATTCTGCTAACGTAATACCAGTATAAATAGAAGCTTCACGAGCAGCGACAGGCATATTGGAAGTATTGGCGACTAAAGTAGTTCTCTTCATGATTGGTTCCTTTCTACCTGAGATTTCAGTAAACAATTCTGGGAATTCCATTAAGACTTCGGCCATTTCATTACCACGTTCACCACAACCGACATAGATAATAACATCTGAATTAGAGAATTTGGATAAGGATTGGGAAATAACAGTCTTACCACAACCAAAAGCCCCTGGGATACAGGTAGTACCACCTTGAACACATGGGAATAAGGAATCCAACACTCTTTGTCCGGTTAATAATGGATAATCGGCAGTTAATTTTTCAGCTACTGGACGAGGAACTCTGACTGGCCAAGTATGCATCATAGAATAACTATGTTTCTTACCATCGAATTCAACTTCCAAAACGGTATCATCTACATTATATGATCCCGCTTCCGCAATGGAAACAATTGTACCTCTTGCTCTTGGGGGTAATAAAATCTTATGATCATCCAATAATGAATTTTCATAAATAGACCCAAAGATATCCCCACCAGTGATATGATCACCAACTTTCAATTTTGCAGGATTAAAATCATAATTCACACTTCTTGATAAAGCAGGAACATCAATCCCTCTAGGAATATAAATCGATTGACTTTGTTCTTTAATTGCCTTTAAAGGTCTTTGAATCCCATCATAAATCGTTTCCATCAACCCTGGACCCAATTCCACTGACAATGGTTTCCCAGTTCTTAATACCGGGTCTCCAATGGTGACACCTGCAGTTTCTTCATAAACTTGAATAGTAGCCTTATCGGCATTGATACGAATAACTTCCCCAACTAAATTGTCGTGACCGACTTTAACTAATTCGTACATCGCACATCCAATCATATTTTCTGCAACGACGACAGGACCAGAAACTGAGTAGATTTGTCCATATTGTGATTCGTCATCGTCATCATTGATTGAAAGACGTTTGATTTCCTTTCTTGCGTTTTCTAATGCACCAGCCTAAAAAGAGGGTTAGTAATCAATTCAATTGGGTGAGTGTGCAATTGATGTTTGATGAGACATACCATTGTGATATAAGTATATATATATATAACTCGTAGTTGTTTGGTTGGTTGTTAAAGATTGTTTCTTATCAGAAATTTCAATATGGAAAACGTTTCCCTTGAATTTCCTCATTCTTCCGTTTTCAACACTGCGACCTTTTCTTAAAAGGGGAGGGAAAAAACAGTAAGAGTTACCCGGATATTCTACACTTGGTAGCATCCTTGTACTATAAGGAGTGTTGCAAAAAATGTTGATATTTATCTTCTTGTTCTTAACGGATGGACTTCTTTTATCAAATTATTTAGTATTTAGATGGTAATTGATCTCATTCAATTGTCATGGTTGTCAATTCCTTTTACAGTACCTGCAATATATACGTTTTTACGACAGAGGCTAGAGCTCTGGAGTTATTCCTAGTATCAGAGTTATATTTGAAAAAGCATGCTTAAGGCAATGCACATGCTTCTTGCAAAGATGATCCAAATGAGATTTTTCATTTATTTTATATTGTCTACCCTATAGTTCCATGTAGTTGAACAGTGTGGAGTAAGGTTCGTTTGCTTACTGTTGACTATGTGTCTCACTCCTCGTTTACAAATCTTATGCACTTTGAATCCACAATACCCTCGGCTTGATATTAGTCTCTGAGAGATGATACACAATGACTAACAATTCGAGAAATAGCACCCCTGATTTAAGAATAAGTGCCAACTTGGGAACTAAATAGAGAACTTGATACAATTGAATCCACTGTCCTGGGATTATATGACAAATTGAAAGAAACCAATTTCTTTTTTATTTTACAAACTTTAAAAACTATCAAAAAAAGAATAATATGCAACAAACCATCGTTAAGATGAAAACGAATAAATAAAAAACAATTTAAAAAGGCATTATTAATGAGTAAAATGTTCAATTTCTCTTAATCTTTCAATTTCCTTTGAACTTGGAGCTCCTCGTTGAGCAATCAAAGGATGTCTCCAATCCTTAGCATAAGTAAACAAGACATCTGCCAATACGGTCAAATCCTCGTCTTTCAATCCTAAATCCTTAAAAGTCTTTGCATTTGGATCAACCACTTGATCAATCAAATGTCTTTGAATCTGGTCACTATTGGTGGTTTTGAAATAAGTATATTTCCACTTCAAATCAGCTATAAACTTCAAGAAAGGTAATGGCAATTCATAATCACCAAATTCATAAGGGATTGGACCAGCTTGGGTGTAATCTTCAGTTATGCCATGAATCATTTGTCTAATTTCTCTATATGAAAGTTCTTGAGGTCCATAAAGTTCATAAGTTTGGCCCGCGGTACTGTCATCAAATGCAATATGTTCAATAGCTTTAGCAACATCCAAGACATGTACAGGACGAATAAGTTTGGCATTACGATTTGGAGTCCACATTTTAATCTTTGGACCTAAATAATTCAAAAGTCTATCTTCACGGCCATACATTTGTGAAGGTCTAACAATAGTGGTTGAAGGAAGAACATTACGGACAACTTCTTCACCTATCCCCTTGGTGGCATAAAAAACTGATTCGGAACGAGGGTTGGCATTATAGGATGAAACATGGATATATCTAGGGACATTTGCATCCTTAACGGCTTGAGTGATACGTTCGGCAAGACCAATGTTGATATCAGCCATCGAGAAGTTTTTGGTACTATAATCGGTCCCAATACAATTAATAACAATGTCTGAATGAGCAACTGAATCTTGAATTGATTGTAAATTACGGGCATCAATTTCAACAAAATTAACTACACCTAAATCACCGGTTACTTTTAAAAATTTCTTCTTTTCAGCATCACGGAAAGGAACCATGGTGATGGTTCCATGTCTGGCCAATTTTGATGTAACATAACGACCTAAGAACCCAGTAGCACCAAAGACAGTGGCAACATATCCATTTCTGGAAGAACGACCACCTGGACCTACTGAGATATTTACCTTACCATTCTTGGTGATGTTGATATCTTGTTCCAAGACAGAAGTATAGACAGTCCTAATTGATCTGGTGACACCCCTTGCTACTTGTTTAGATGTGGTGGTTCTTAACATTTTTTGGTGGTTTCCCGTGGTTGGTTAATGGATATTGTTGTATAAAGATTTTGGATGATTTTATTTTTCTGACTGTCTGTCTGGTTAGAGTGAAAAATTACAAAATTGTTGCTTCTGGTTGGTTAGATTTTATTTTGTATGGTGAGTGTCGCGACGACATTTATTTGTGACATTCAGGAGTTTTTTTTTGTGTTTATTGTGACAAAGAAAATTTGCAGCAAACTAAACTAGTCGCCAGATTGCAAAAAAAAATTAGAATTGTAAACTTTCATTTATTCTTCTTTTCTTCTTTACTTTCCACAAAGAGATAAAATTAGAGCTTCTTCCACTATTGATCTATCAATAATTCAATAATACTACTACAATTTCCATAAATCATGTCACCCGTACAGCAGTGAAGTTAGGTAAGAAGCGTCCTTCCTATCAAGAGTTTAAAAGTCCTATTTCCACAAAGAGATAAAATTAGAGCTTCTTCCATCATCGATCGATCAATACTTCAATAATACTACTACATTTTCAATAAACCATGCCACTGATGAGGCACTGAAGTTAAGTATGAAGCGTCCTTCCTATCAAGATTATAAAAGTCCTATTTCCACAAAAGGCTGCGGGTTTGCTAGTCATTTCATTGCTAAGTTTTTGGTATTCATTCATTACTTGGATTTTCCTATTCATTCATTGCTAGATTTCCAAAATCAAGAGTTGGTAATGTTCCAATTTGGAGAGAGTATGACTGGATTTCCGAGGATCGGTGTAATCCTTTCATACTGAATTAGCCAGGTTTTAGTCGCTAGCATGTTTGAATGAGTTTTCATCTGAATTCAAGGGAAGAAGGTTGTACTTAATCCAAGTTGGTCATCTGGGGAACTAAAGTTTCCATTTCATTCTTGATTTTTGCTATTCATCCATTGCTAGGTTTTTGGTGTTCAGTTCATTGGTTGGTTTTTTGTTCAGTTCATTGGTTTTGTTATTCAGTTCATTGGTTCCGTTTATTAGTACGCTTTTGTTATTCAGTTCATTGGTTTTGTTATTCAGTTCATTGGTTCCGTTTATTAGTACGCTTTTGTTATTCAGTTCATTGGTTTTGTTATTCAGTTCATTGGTTCCGTTTATTAGTACGCTTTTGTTATTCAGTTCATTGGTTTTGTTATTCAGTTCATTGGTTCAGTTTATTAGTACGCTTTTGCTATTCAGTTCATTGGTTCAGTTCATTGGTTCGTTTTTGTTGTTCATCCATTGCAAGATTTCCAAAATAAAGAGTTGGTGATGATCCAATTTGGAGAGGGTATGACTGGATTTCCAAGAATCGATCTAATCCTTTCATACTGAATTAGCCAGGTTTTAGTCGCTAGCATGTTTGAATGAGTTTTCATCTGACTTCGAGGGAAGAAGGTTGTACTTAAACCAAGTTGGTCATTTGGGGAATTAAAGTTTCCATCCATTCTTGATTTTTATTCATTGGTATTTTTTGGTGTTCATTCATTGGTTCGTTTTTGTTATTCATTTCTTTCGTTGGTTTTTGTTATTTCAGTTCATGGGTTGGTTTTTTTATTCATTCATTGTGTGTGTTTTGTTATTCAGTTCATTGGTTCATTTTTGTTGTTCAGTTCATTGGTTGGTTTGTGTTGATTATTAATTAGTTGGCTTTTATCATTTATCCATTCCTAGGTTTTTGCTATTCATCCATTGCTAGATTTCCAAAATGAAGAGTTGTTGATGATCCAATTTGGAGAGGGTTTGACTGGATTTCCAAGGATCGATCTAATCCTTTCATACTGAATTAGCCAGGTTTCTAGTCGCTAGCATGTTTGAATGAGTTTTTATCTGATTTCAAGGGAAGAAGGTTTTACCTAATCCAAGTTGGTCATCTGGGGGATTAAAGTTTCCATTCATTCTGAAATTAACCACCCGGCACCAGTTGGGGTAATGGTTAGTTTTAAATGATGGATTCTAATGAGTTAAAATTTCCATTCATTCTGAATTGGCCGCTTGACCACCGGTTAGTTTGTTTGATGGATCTTATCTTAAGGGGGTTTTAGTGGGTATTACCAATTGGTCGAGTCCCACACTGTTAACTCGTGCGTAAATGCATTTCCCCCTTCAACGAGTGTTACTCGTTGAGAAACAAAAAAAAAAAAATCTTATGAATTGACCAGCTCTTTATAGTAGTGTATATGATTGTGTATAACAAATAATTTTAACCATTTCTTGTTAAAAAAAAAAGCCTGGCTAACTAGCTGGGTAATGGCTAGTTTTGTATGCTAGATGTGTTATCTGATTTAAATGGAAGAAGGATTGGTTTAATCTAGACTTTGGATGAGCTGTGGTTCATTTTCAGGTCAATCCTTAGATGATATTGGATGGTTTTGCTAGAATGCGAAATACACTTGCATTGACATGGGTGTCTCGAGGTTACCTTTGAGTTCTCATGTTTGTAGTAGCTTAGCTCTCTTTGTAGTAATTGTTATAATACTCTTACCGACATTGATCTTTATTCTTCATATAGTTCATAATCAAGCAAGGCTAGAACAGTGTAGATTCCCGCACTTTGGAAGTTCTTGATTCTTAAAAACCCCTACTTTTGATGACTGTAGGTCCGACATCCCAATTAACCAGCAAAAAGGACCTTCGGCAATCTACTCTCTTTCGACCGACTGGCGTCCGACATAAATTCATCACTCTTTAAAGTAGAACTTATATTAAATGATATTTGGAGGAATTACGGGTGAATAAATTAATATGAGATGCATGGCATTAATAATTTTAACCCAAACATTTTCGTTTAATGGTTCATCACCTGGGCAATGGTAAGTTTGTATGCTGGGTGTTTTATCTGATTTAAATGGAAGAATGATTGGATTGATCTAGACATCGGGTGGCTTGGGAGTCTCATTTAGCCATCTAATATAGGTTATATTGGATGGCTTTTCTAGGATAGGAAACTCACTTGCCTTAACATTGGGTGGGTGTCCCAAGTATGTTTATTTTGATATAATAAAGAAGATGAATACTGTTTTGCTATTTGCTCTATGTAGTTGCCTTGGGTATTGGTACGATGTGGTTGCTCTTAAGGCCAGATGTTTGTATAATAGTTTATTATTCTTTGAAATTATTACAATACTCTAACAGAAATTATTTGATCTTTATTCTCTTTACCATGTGGTTCATAATCAAGCAAGGCTAAAGAGTAATCTGGATTCCGCCACATTGGAAGTTCTTGTTTAACCCCCCGAAACCCCCCTATTTTTGATGACCATGGGTCCATTATCCCAGCTACCTAGCAAAAAGGATCTTCGGTAATTCATCTACTCTCTTTCGACTAATTGAAGAACTGATATAAAGTCGTCACTCCTTAAATTAGATCTTGATTTGTTTAATGAAGGAATTGCGGAGGATAACGAATATAATGAAGCACGGCAATAATTTCAATCCAAAGACTCTTGTTTAATGTTTCCACTTGAATCTATCCAGATATGAGAACTTCTGGAACTTGGATCTTACAAGATCTTTCTTGGACCATCGTTCCTGTATGTTGGGTGGTTTTCTTTATCAAAACTATCTTGACTCATAATGGCAAATTTGGTTGCCAAAAACCGGAGACAACATAGCAACTAGTGAAACTGGCAATTGGATCTCTTTTAAACTGGGAAAAGGGGGATGTAGAAGTATTCTTCTAAATGATACTCAATGAAACGGTAACCATCATATCAATGACATTTCCTTCGCAATTTCAGTATTGATTTTATTGAAAGAAATGTTGCTTTGGCAGCATTTATTTGATTGACTAAAAAAGTAGTAAATAAAATGAAACAAACATTTAATCAGTAAGTATACCCCCCCTGGGGAGGAATCCATCTACACATACCCACACAAGTATTACTTATAAAATGTACTTTAAAAAAATATAAAACACTACTAAAAAGACGATTATGTAAACTATGTATATAATAAAAGAAGAAACAAAACTTTCATGAAAAACTCTCAAAAATAAACATTAACCATCAAAATAATAATAACAATAAAAAGAAGAATGGGAAAGCAAATAAACGGAATGGAAAAGGAGGCATGATATGTGTTGTAAAAAAAAAATCGTTAACCAAAACAAAAACAAAATAATAATAATAATTGCAATATAACATGAAACAAAAAAAAAACAATTCTGATCCAATGGGTGGGGAGGGAGTATGAAAAGAGATATTATGAATATAATACTCCCCCAGTAGGGGGGAAAGTATACTCCCCGGTAGGGGGGGGAAGTATACTCCCCGTAGGGGAGTATTAAATATAAAACCAACCTATTTCAAAACCCCCTTCGGGAGAAATATACTCCCCTACGGGGAGTATGAAATATAAAACCAACTTATTCAAAATCCCCTTCGGGAGAAATATATCCCTTCGGGGAGTAAGAAATATAACAAAACCAACGTATCATCTCCCCTTCGGGGAGTATATGCCCCTTCGGGGAAGGAGTGCCCTTCGGAGAAGGAGTGCCCTTCGGGCACTATAAGAAATAATCAGGAGTTTTCCTAGTAACAGTAGGTTCACCTGGCCTTACCGATGGATCATATTGTAAAAATTGTCTATTATGTTGTTCATCAACTTCCATAATTGCTGCTTGATTACCACATCTATAACAATAATTAGGAGCCGAAAATATTGTAACCACAGATTCTTGATGACTCCAACTAAAACCTTCCATTACCAATTGATGGGCTCTTGCAATAAGACTTAAATCATTAGTATGATTGAATTGTTCCGATATATCTTGACCAAATGTGAACCCGGCTCCTCTGGGGGAAATACCCCAACCACCTCTATCATCAGGATCTGACCATAATAAATCACACATGGGACCTTCATGAGGAACTTCTTGGATTCTATTTAATTCACGAACTTGATCAATTGTTTCAATCATGGGTGATAATCCACCATGTAAACAAAATACTTTGTTGTCAACTAATGCAGTAATGGGGAAATAATCAAATAAATCAGTAAATAATTTCCAAACGGTTGCAGAACCATATTTTCTTAAACATTCATCATAAAATCCATAAACTTGAGTAATTTGTCTTGATTCATGATTGCCTCGTAAGATTGTTATACGATTAGGATATCTAACCTTCATACAAACTAAATAGGAAACAGTTTCAACTGAATAATACCCTCTATCCACATAATCACCCATGAATAAATAATTTGTATCAGGACATGGACCACCAATTTTAAATAATTCCATTAAATCATGAAATTGACCATGAACATCACCACATATTGTTACTGGTACTTGAACTGGTTGAACATTTTCTTCAAATTGTAATACTTCAATTGCCATATCACATAATTTCTTAACATCTGATTCTGCAAGTGGTTCACATTTAGATAATTTATCAATCCATTCATCTAATTGATTTACTGTTGATAAATTTAATTGTGATCTTTTATTATCACCAGTAGCAGTTGTAGTTGTAGATGCATTTGTTAATTTGTCAGTGATTGATGTTGGTGTTGTTGTCTTGTTGGTGGTGGTATCTTGTTTTAAATCTTCAACATCTTCCATTGGTACGTCTGTATCTAAGTCCATGATAAAATTAAGTCTGTGTTATATGTGAAAGGTATGGGGAGGGTGAACAAAATGTAGTCTGTGTTTTGTAATTGGCAGTTGTAATTGGTAGTGTATTAATCAATTTATTGATAGATAGATGATAATGGTAATAAAATGAATGCTAACCTATAAAATGTGTGTATATATAGTTTTTAATTAAGTTGTTTAATTAATTAAATGTAAAAAGTACACACCACTCAGTCTCTCTTTCAATTTCAATTCGATTGCTGGGTGGTTGTTTTTGTTTTTTTGGTTGAATGATTTCTCACTCACTTTACAGTTTTTTTTTTTTTTTCGTTCGTTCGTTGGAAAGTTTTCTGGTTCTCCGTTTAATTAATTAATTTATTAATTACTTACAACAGGAGGAAAAACTTAAAATTCTTCATCAACGACGACATCATTCAATTTCTGATTTTTCTTAGAGCCCTTATTTTTTTCTGGTGGTTGTAAAAATTTCAACTAGTCAACACCACATTTTCATTCCATTACTGTCCTGTTTGTAGCACTGGTAGTTATAAAACTATAGTAGCTAAACACTCAATTGATGATTAACAAGTTCTCCGTATTAATTTCCGGCACCCTAATCAGATTCTTTAGATAAATAATACGAATATATTGTTTTTTTAAGAGGAATAGTGTATGGTGTAAAATTATCGATTAATATTCGATTATTTATTTATATTCTATCTTTCTTAAAGAAACTATTCGTATTAAGTATTTAAATGAACTGATTATTATCATTTTAGAAGTTATTACAGAACCCGGTTAATTGATTTATTGGCTATTACTTTATTATTATAGTCAATAGAATATACGTAACAATAACCAGTACTACAATGTATTACAGGAAACGCTACCAAAGAGGTATGACGGCACATGACTTGGGTTACTATTAAATTACTTTACCCAATTAATATTCATAAATAAATTATTTTATCTTTTAAATACTTACTATGCAATTTGTATAAACTTACAACACACATCTTTCATTCATCTCTACTAGAACTCTCAATATTATTAAATGGAAATAATCGAAGAAAACTCCCTCCACTACCTCCCCCTCCACCACCATTGGCTCCTCCATTGACTCCTCCAGCTCCACTTGTATCGTCAAAATTATTATTATTATTCCCACTACTATTATTATTCGCCCCAGGTGTAGTAGTCAACAAATTGAAGAAATTCTTAGTACTTGCGCTAATACCCAACATAGTCAAATTACTCATCGAATTACCAAAATTATTCCCACCTCCTCCAACACCAACTCCTGCTCCACTGCTCTCATTCGGTGTATATCCAGTATACGACTTCCCTTCTTCTTCTCTCTTTGCCTGCTCCCCTTGGTCAGTCAGTACTGCAGCAGCTAACGAATTTCCATGTTGTTGTCTAGGCACAATCGTAAATATCCCATCATCTTCTTCTTCTTCCTCGTATTCATCGTCTTCTTCGTCTTCAGGTCGATGAGGTGGTTGCTGTTGTTGATAGGTCTCATATTCTGGACTATAATTATGTCCGGAGTTATTGGTATTGGTACTACTATTATTTGACATAAATCCTCCTGATTCATCGACATTTGATCCATGGAAATCCTTCAAGAGATATGAAATGTCTAAATCGAACATATCGGACCTGATTGTCGGTGGACCAGTTGGTGGTCCACTCAGAGGAGGTGGCTGTAGTTGTTGTTGCATGAATGGAGGAGAGGCTGCGTTTCCGTGTGGAGTCATGTTGGTGAATTGATGCATTGGATGCTGTTGATGGTGGGGAACATGTTGAGGAGGTGCTGGTGGCGGGGGGGGAGATACCATTCTCATCGACATGCCTTGGTCATGTGGTTCCTGTTTCACTTGTTGTTGTTGTTGTTGGGCCTCTTGTTCTTGTCTTTCACTTTCTCTTCTTCTATATTCACTTAAATTAAGGAACCAATTATTCAAAATCTTATGTGCTCGGATTAATTTATTGATATTATTAAAGAATGGGAAATGTTTGAGTAAATTATCACTATATCTAATCAATATTTCTTGATCTTGTTGACTATTATTCCCCTCTGGAAACATTTTTGTAGTTGTTTCAACCAGTTTCATTTCTAATGCAATCTTTAACATATGTAACATAGGTTGTAATAATTGATAATTGGACATTTGCACCTTGAATACATCACAATCACCCACTTCCAATGCTTCATTCAATGCCATTATAATCTCCAACAAGACCGCCTTTGATTCCTGGAATGATAATGGATAGATTAATAACACCTTAAACAACAAAATATTCTTCACGACCGTTTCAATATGTTCCATTTCAATTCCTTGTATCGCAGTTTCAATCTCACCTCTAATCTGAGTGAAATTCTCCAAATTCATCAGAAACTCATCATTATATTCTAATAACACATTAAAATTAGATCCATTACAAATCGGTTCAATAATCAGTTCTGCAACCTTCATCAACCTATACAAAAAGCCGCCACCCCCGTTTCCACCATTCGCAACCACTCCACCTCTTCTCTTAGAATCATCCAATTGGAGAATAACATCATTATTCCGAACATAGTTTAAATTATAATTATGTGAACTAAAACAAATCCAATATCTTTCAAAAGTGAACAAGGTGATATATAATTCCCTAACCCGTTCTTCATCCTCATTATGAGTGTTTCCACTACTATAATTTCGATTGACATTTATGAGTCTGAAATAAGTAATTGCCCGATTCATATAGATTATCTTCTGGTGTTCTTGCGCTTCGTTCCCATAATTCAATTTCTGGCCCTTGTTGTTGGTCATATTGAGGGTGTTGGTTAGGTTTAGGATGTGGTAGTATGTGCAAAGATGGAGACAGGTGAGGGAAAGATTGTAGTAGATTTGATATTGGAGGAGGTGGGGGAATTGATAGGCTGCACTTGTGTTCACGGCATTATTGCTATTTGAGGAAGTTGTTGAGGTGGCGATGGTGGGGGATTTGAGTTGATGTTGAGGGACGACGGGGGGTACGATGAAGTTCTTTTCTATAAGGGAGAATATTTCGAGGATTTTGAAATGACAGAGGTTTTTGAAGGTTTTGAATTGTCGAAACATGAGTTTTTTCTTCAGATAGGAGATAAACAGTCTGAATTTTTGTTTTTTGAGTTTGATTAACACCTCGGCCACGATTTGATTTAAGGTAAGGATTATTAATAAGTTCGATAAATATAATGAATCATCATGATGATCTATAAGGTTGATTTCCAGATGGAATGGATTGGGGATATCCTTATTCGCGGATGTCATATTCGGATAGTTTGATATTAAGAAATCAACTAATTTTCGATAATCCAACATCAATGATGGAATAGTCAAAGGTTTAACCAATTCATAAATCGATGGTTCTTCACCTATCAAATTCAAATTCTCAATTAAATTATATGGAGTCACGATATAATCCTGTTGCACAACATCACTACTTTGAGGTGGCGGTGGTGCTAATTGTCGTAATTGTTGATGTTGTTGTTGGGGCATAGGACGCGTATTATATCTTCCCGGTAAAGGAGCTGAAACTGACGATGTCATCGGAATAGGTGCCGACGCTGATGCCGACATAACCGGTCCCGGTCCCATTGCTGTTGATACAACTGGCGGAGTAGTTATTGAAGATGAAACATTCGACATATAAGCAGCAGTTGAAACTGAAGGAGTACTATCATTAGAACTACTTCCCCCATCTCCACCATGACTCATGTCCTCATATGGAGCACTTACCTCTTTTGAATACAACACGGTATTCGTCGATGACGATTTCAGCAACGACGGACGACTGGAACTTGGAAAAGTATTCTTCTCAATCACTTCACTTAAACTATTGATAGAATCCAATGTTTTCTTATGTAGGGTTTTCGGTCCTGATTTCTTCCTTTCTCGTAACTGAGTACAATTTAGATGATTCGATACACAATGACTACATGGTCGAGTGGATTCACATTTGACTTTTCGTATTGCGCAGGCATCACAGGCACGAATATTGGTTTTACGGTTTTGTTTCTTCTTTTTGATGTGGGCGGACGAAAAAGGATGGGTGGAACTGGAGATGTGTTTGTTGGTTATTCTGGTGGTAGGGGCGTTGGGGTTGTTTGTGTTGGTGAAGAAGTTGCTGATGATGGATTCTGGTTGATTTTGATTGGAGGTGGTGGATGTGGTGGTAGTGGTATCGATATTATTTGGTGGTGTTGGGAATGACACTGATGAGGATGCTGAGGTCCCATCACCCTGTGTGTTTTCTGGTATATATGGATTATACATATGCGATGATCTGTCTTAGGGGGGGCGGAACCTGTCTTGATCAGATGAGTAATGACTTCTTAATTATAATTTGTAAAAGAAAGGGAAAAATAGTGGGGGATCCGTGGGGGAACGTCAAATCAAATTCTAATTTTTTGACAGGGTTTTCCTTCTACAGAAGGTTTATACTTAAGACGGTCAATCAAAGTCTATGAACTAAAAATAGCCAATAAGAAAAGGAGGTGCGTCGACGAGACAATTATTAATTAGGTACAAGTAGAAGACAAAGGAAAGAAAGAAAATGTGTGTCGAATGTACGACAGGATAATTATTGACACTTAATGAAAAAAAATTTTACTTCTTTGTCTTTAGTCTGTTGGGTTCATTGTTATCAGATATAAATTGAATTCGGAGATCTGAAAACAATGAGCGGAATTGTAGAATATTCTTTATTCTCTTTGTTTAGTTGCATACATAGTTGTGTTTTGTGTTAAGCCTATGGTCGACAGGAGTCCTCTTGGTCATCCTTTGAATTTGTCTGTGGCTAATTGGGGGTACCTGAAAAACCGCAAGGCAGAGAACAAAAAAAGCAACCAGAAAATAATTTATTTAGTCGATGACACATTTTGTGAACCCTTGACATATGTCATTCACTTCTAGAGTATCGGAAGTGTATCTTTTGAAATGAAAAGATGACAAAATCGTTAATCTGATAATGGAGATTGAGGAAAAGCGGTGCCGGAGATTGGCCAATCAAGAAGGTAAAAAAAATTCCCTCCCCCGCCTCTTGGGACAACCCTTCTCCTACAATTCATGAGCCCTCGTTTGACCTTTATAACTTTCTCAAATATTCTATCAGAATCCTTGAATAATGGAGTTAATAAGTATAGATCGAGTTCAGAATAATTCTCCCTTTTCTAGATGGTTTAACAAACAGAGGCGGTTGCAAATTATGGTTTCCGACTATTTTGCGGGGCGATCCTGTGGCACGTGATAACAATGGGGTACTCACGTGATTGAAATTTTGCAGCTTCAATTTTGGTGCTAATTGCATTTCACTTTCTTTTCAAACACAGCACAAATTTAAAAACCCAAGTTAGACTTTTCTAAGTTGAAGAATTTGGTACTGAGAAAGTAGGGATCTATTTGGTATATTTGTATATCGGATTACGAAATATATTTTTGTATGGTTGATTATTTTATCAAAATTTTGTCAACATTTTTTGAAGAATACTTTTACAGCCAGAAATATTTTTGGATGATAATAAAACTCTGATTAGTTACTATTCTCTTCCACCTTTGTCCACCTCCTAACTTATGCTTAGATGACTACTCACTATTGAATCAGATTACCAAAAACTGGATCATGTCCGGCCATCTTACGTTCATCGTTATCGTTCAGCTATAGATAAAATTACCCGCGGTAGCATTGTCTCCACCTAGTATTATCTCTCGGTCCAATTTCTGAAAGTGAAAGGTGGAATAGAGTATATTTAACCGTTGAAATATCCGAATAATAATGCATAATTTAATAATTGTAACTAAGTTTCTTTACCCCAGAATAACTACAATGGTGGGTCATGTGATTAACCTTAATTTTTCACAAGCGGATTAATAAATTTGTCACCAAAAAAAATAAATTTAACTCCGCGATCCTGTACTCACCTCGGTCATTAATTTTAGCAGTCAATAAAAAAGAGTGGCCCATTGGTACTTAGATATGTAATTACTTCAATATAAGATTTGTTAATCTAGAAGATACACAAGGTACATTACAGGTTACTCTACGAGCATATGTATAAATTGTTAAATAAGTCTCTTAAATGAAAGATATAAAGCATTCATCTTCGCATCCTCGGATATTTCTGAGTTCCCATTCTAGTTTTTATTCCATTTGCAGTTTCTTTATTTTCTCCATGAAATTTTTCCGTTATTTTTCATATGGTAAAAGAAAGATTTATTATAAATACTTTCCCCCACCCCAGATTTTTTTTAATTACAACTTTTAACTTTTTATCTTTTATCATCCCTTTCCCATAGAAACCAATCAGATTCACTTCAGAATGTCAGCTAAACAACAATACTTACAAAAGAACCCAGATGACGTTGTTATCGTCGCAGCTTATAGAACCGCTTTAACTAAAGGTGGTAAAGGGGCAATGAAAGATGTTGGTTCAGATTTCATCTTAAAACAACTCACAGCCGAATTTATTAAAAAAACCGGTATTGATGTCAATTTATTACAAGATGCTGCCATTGGTAATGTCTTAAACAAAAGAGCCGGAGATTTCGAACATAGAGGTGCTTTAATGACTGCTGGTGTTCCATATACTGTCCCATTCATTGCCGTCAATAGACAATGTTCTTCTGGTTTAATGTCTATCAGTTCTGTTGCTAACCGTATCAAGTGTGGTGAAATTGAATGTGGATTAGCTGGTGGTGTTGAATCAATGTCTAAAAATTATGGTCCTGGAGCTATTCCAAAAATTGATGAATCTTTAGTGAATCATCCTGAATTTGTTAGGAATAGTACTTCAATGGGTATAACTAATGAAAATGTCTGTTCTCAATTTAATATCCCAAGAGAAGCTCAAGATGAATTTGCCGCTGAATCTTATCAAAGAGCAGAACGTGCTCAACGTGAAGGTAAATTCAAAGATGAAATCTTACCTATCCAAGTTTTCCAAGTTGAGGAAGATGACGACGATGTTGAAGAAGAAGAAGAAAAACCACCAGTAGAAAAACTCGTTACTGTTGATACCGATGAAGGTATTCGTCCCGGTGTTACCAAGGAAAAACTCGCCAAGATCAAACCTGCCTTCAAGAAAGATGGTGTTTCTCACGCTGGTAATTCTTCCCAAGTCACAGATGGTGCAGCATTGGTCTTATTAATGAAACGTTCCTTTGCCGAACAACATGGTTACACCTCATTGGCCAAATATATCTGCTGTTCAGTCGCTGGTGTCCCACCTGAAATTATGGGTATTGGTCCAGCCGTCGCTATTCCAAAAGTCTTAAAAACAACCGGATTATCAGTTGAAGATGTAGATGTTTATGAAATCAATGAGGCATTTGCGGGACAATGTCTTTATTCTATCCAATCTTGTAAAATCCCAAGAGAAAAGGTCAATATTAACGGTGGGGCTATTGCTTTGGGTCATCCTTTGGGTTGTACTGGGGCTAGACAATATGCTACTATTTTGAGATTAATGAAACCAGGTCAATTTGGTTTGACTTCTATGTGTATTGGTACTGGTATGGGTGCTGCTTCTATTATTGTTAGAGAATAGGTTAGTTGACTTATATAGTAGTAGAGAATCAATATGATATTTGTTATTTATTGATACATTTCCTTTTTACGTGTAAATTTGCCCCGCAAAGTAGTGGATAATATGCCTTATATACTTTGTACTTGTTGGGAATTACAGATGCGGTAGACGAACTTCAAAGGATAGTTCTATTATAATAATATACAGTATAAAATAAGAAATGCTTACTTCTTCTTTGAATCAAACTTCTTCGAAGCTTCCACTCTTTCAATAATTCTTTCCAAACTCAATTTAACATCCCCTTTAGAGAAATGATCAAGATTATAATACTTTGGTGCATACTCTACCAACCAATCCGGTTTAATAGTAGTGACAGTTCTAATATAATTCTTAGAAGTCAACACAAATTCATTATAAATCATCCATTCACCTTCTTTAGAAACAACAGTAGAAGGATGAATCAAAACCTCTTGATTATCTTTAACAGTTAAATAAGTCTTTCCAGTTCCCAGCTTTTTCTTCCCCACTTGCATAAAGAACCCACCAACAAGGGCTTTCTTAATATTATCCCAATATACTCCCTCACCAATCTCACCATATTTTGAAACTAATTCCAAATCATACCTTTCCATAATTCTCCTCAATTGAGACCTAACATTCTTAGCACTAGTTAACGATCTATAAGAAAGGAAATTATCTCTACACCATTGATGAACACCACCTTTATCACTAGCAGTCATAAAACTCTCATACACATTTATCAAAGTTAAATGATCTCCCTCAGGATGAGCAAATGACAATTTTGCCTCATCGGCCCTCTTTCTCGCACTAGCAGGACGAACAAACACATTCGCAACACTCAACATTGCCACAATCGTCAATATCTCTTCTGAACATCCAAACGCCGGTGATCCAATCAACATCACAGCCAACATCGGATCCAAGGGGAAATGAGAAGCCAATCTCCCTAAAGCGGTAAGCTCCCCCTCATCGGAAAGACATTGGAGATAATTCAATTCTTCTAATGCTCTCATCATGGTTTCTGGAGCAGGAGGATCCATGAAATCGAAATGTACCAAATCATCAATTCCCAATTTTTTTAATTCTAATACAGTAGATGCAAGATTTGACCTAAGGATTTCCGGATAAGATTGTTGGATTAATTCTTTATGGAAGGCTTCTTCAGTATATAACCTAAAACATTTCCCTGGTCTCGTACGACCTGCTCTACCGGCACGTTGTTGTGCTGATGCTTTTGAAATAGGGGAGACTAATAATGATTCGACTCTAACTCTTGGATTATAGACTTTTTGTTTCGAGAAACCGGGGTCGACGACATAGACTATCCCATCGATCGTAAGGGATGTTTCGGCGATGTTTGTGGATACGATAACTTTACGACCTGGTCTAGCGTATGGTTTGGTGCTGGGGTTGATAGGGGCGGGTTCGAAGATTCGTTGTTGTTGATGGGGTGGAAGGGATCCATATAAGGGATATACTTTCAATGGACCACAATTTTGATCACGAATTAATTCATCACCTTCAAGGGAGATTTTTCGACAAGCATCTTCGATTTCTTCTTCACCGGTTAAGAAAAGAAGGATATCTCCTTGATCTTCTGTGGCGTGGATTTGTAAGACGGTACGAATGGCGGCGTCGAGGTAATCACGTTGGAATTCGGGAGTGTAGTAGATCTCGACGGGGAATGTACGTCCTGGAACGGCTAATAATGGAGCATTATGGAAATATTTTTGAAACTTTTCGGCATCTAATGTTGCAGACATGATGATGATTTTTAAATCTGGTCTTCTTAAACAAACTTGCTTGAGGAGGCCCATTAAAATATCGGTTGCTAATGTTCTTTCATGCGCTTCATCTAGGATAATACATGAATATCTTGTTAAATCATGATCTTCCATTGCTTCTCTTAACAACATACCATCAGTCATATATTTCAAAATCGTCTTATTAGATGTCTTATTTTCAAATCTAATAGAATAACCAACTTCTTCACCTAAACTAACATCCATTTCATCTGCCACTCTCGCAGCCACAGACATGGCAGCAACTCTTCTAGGTTGCGTACATGCAACTTGCATCCCAGTCAAATGAGGCATTTCATCATATAACACAAACTGAGGGATTTGAGTAGTCTTACCGGACCCTGTTTCCCCAACAAATACCATAATTTGTGAACTATGGAATATCTTCAAGAATTCGGCACGTTGAGCATGAACAGGTAAATCACGTCTTACTTTCAAAATATCAAAATATTTCTGACCCAATTGATTCCCAGTAAATGGATTAATTGGACCGTTTTCCAATTTTTCAGCTTGTTCAGATGTGGTTTCATGACGTTTTAATCCCAGAAATTCTCCAGCATCATGATGAACTAATGGTTGATCACGGTCACCATGGGGATGTTTACGAAGGGATTCTTCGGCAGCTTCTGCGACTCTTTCAGCTTCTGAATCGAGAACCTTCTGTCTCTTGGCTGATCTTATTTCTTCGTCTTCACTCATAATTGTTGTAGTTCTTATGGTGTCAATGGTTTGATGACTTTTTGATTTCTTCTTTATCTACTTAATTTTTCAATGCCCCCCCATCGCAAGAAAAAAATGAACCATAAAAAAATAAAATTCAAAAATCACGTGGGAAAAGTCACGAGGATAAAATCACGTGACAATATCACGTGCTTCCGGGACTGAATGGGATTCTGCGTGTCAACCACGTATAACCTATCTTTTAAAAACAATCCCAGAGGGGCACCCAATGAATACTCAACATTTTAGTATCTTATGCCTTTGTTGCCAGGAAAAATTGACTATTCCCCTCCGGCCACACAAACGTTTGGTTGTGAAATTTTTTTTTTGGTTTGTTGCAGAAATTTCTTAACAAAAAAGAAATGTTGCAATTCTGATCAACCAAATGGCCATTGTTTTAAGTGATGCCATGAGCTACAAATAACCAATTTGTGATATTAACTAGATTGCTAAGCTATTAGGTTGCTCTTGAAAAAGAAATAAGAATAACCTGTAAATCAAACCTATAGTACAAAATCAAAGAAAACCGGAAATCAAACCTTCCCCAAAAACGAAAAGCTAGGTTCAGTTCCTAGATTATTATTTAACTTAATTACTAATAGAATAGAATATAGCTTGGGTAGTAGAAAAGATTAGCGATGTTTCGAATATTATCAACGAATTAATTTAGTATTGTTAAAGAAATTAATTTATTTTTTTGTGGTTAATTAATAGGCAATTAATTTAGTTCATTATTTGTTGTTTCTTTTTTATTATATGCACAAAATTAAATTGGTCTAATAACGGTTATGCACCAGTACTAAATAATTGATACATTTTAACACAAAGTATATGAGTAAGATGAAAGGCTTAATAGAGGTCCAAATTGGAGTTTTCCTTTAAGGTGCCAAGACTGCTGCTGATCTCCAGACTGAAGAGACATGAACCAGCTTCTACGATGAAAAAAGAAATGAAAGCCATTTTTTTCTTCTATTGCAGTTGAGATTATAGTTGCTTGCAAGCTCCAGAGTTTCTTGGTTGTAAGGCCATACCAACAGTTGACAAGCAAGCGGAGTAGAGATCTATTCAACCGTTTGGTTCTAGATTTTGTACTGTGTCAGATGACCGTATTAGGAAAACTAATTAAATTATCGCTAGTCTTTGTGATTTTTTCAACTTTTAAATTAAATTATCAAACGATTTTTGTGCTACCATACGACAACTACGTCATTTTTTCTTTCTATCAAAAACGATGGCTTTGGCCAAGACCGATGCATCAATGCTACAATGTAGATCGGAAGACCAATTTATAATGTTCTAGAACAGGGCGATGAAGAAAGTAATGATTCAAACATTTGCTGGTTGCACAAGCCTTGCAACCAAAAAATTATCAAACACATTTATTTTCAGGTGGTACTCCGCCAGATCACGCTATAATTATCTCAAATGGGGTTCTGAGTGACCATTTTGGGTGGGAGCAGCGGTAGTACTATGCGTAGGGTATAATTACAAACACAGGATCGCCTGAGTCCCGCACGTGAACCGGAAAACATACAACGCTGTAGTAGCAGTTGCAATGCGATTTTCTGGGTGCTCATTGAGAATGTGTGTTAAACTTAACCGAGAACCATAGAACTAAATCAAAATTTCACTATACAATTTTTTCTTAGTGAAACTACACATCACATGGTAGACACTTTACAGGTCATCATATTAATATGAAATTTAATCTAAAAAGAAAAAGAAAGATCATCAATGTAAGAGGGTTACTGACTTTATGTAACATGGCAAATCATATGATTTGTTAGGGGCTATTCGTACGAAGTAACTAACTGGGACAATTACTCGTCAAATCTGGTTGCACACCAAACTGCAGCAGCTGTCAATATTTTTTCTGGTTGCGAATCCAAATCAGGAAATAACCAGTAAAGTACAATGTATAACCAGCAAAAAAACAAACCGTGTTTCGTCGTGGCATGCGTGTCAAGAAAAAAAATGGGCTTAAGAAGAGTCGGGAAAAAAATTGCTGTAAACACGTGAGCAGCACATACAAAATCATATCAAATCCGAGGGCTTAGAATAAATTAAACTCTTGAAAGGGAAAAAAAATATTAATCGAAGAAATTTTTTTTTCAAAATGTAAACAAACACACATCAAAAAAATATTATTTTTTAACACTAAAACAAATTGAAAACATTATTAGACGCAAAAAATCAAAATAATAAAAACCTCGAGAAACTCTCTCCTTTCGAAAAACTTTTCTCCCTTTCCCTTCTTCTTGTTGCTCTTTTTATAAATTTGTGTCTATTTCCCACTAAGAAGCAACAAACTTGTTAATCACTCTTTTAACACGAGTTCTTTCAAATTCAACTATATATCCAACTTATTCGTCACTCCTTTTTTATATTTATACCCGTTTAAAAACTCAGTAGAGAGAACAACCACATATTAAACTACTACAATGAAATTCTCAACTACCGCTTTACTAGCAATTTTATCATCCCTTGTATCAGTACAAGCTGCATGTTCAGTTGAAGCAGGTAACTATTACTGTTCCCCAACCACAAAAGTCATCTACGAAGGTTTAGGTTATTCCGGTACTTATCAAGATGTCATAAGTATGGATGAATCTACCGGTACTTGTGGACAACAACCATATTCCTTCAGTGGTAACTTGTCCCCTCTTGATGAAGAATTATCCGTTCATATCAGAGGTCCATTGAAATTATTACAGTTTGGTGTCTACTACCCATCTCCTCAAAACCAAAAGAGAGAAGAAGAACCAGAATGTAACACCAAACATGTCCATCATAGACATAAGAGAGCAGTTGAGATTGTCGCAGTCACCGAAACTGTCATTGTTGATGGTCAAGGAAATACCATCTCAGCACCAGCCACTCAGACATCTACTGTTGCAGATGAATTATCCACCACTTTACCCGACAATAATCAACTTTCTTCATTAGAAGGATTCCAGCAACCATCAATCTCCACTCAATCTGCCCCAACCACTACTTCTCAAGCTTCTGCTGAACCTTCTGCTGTTGCTGGTGGCGCTTGGACTAGATCTTCTTACTATACTCCAGGAAGTGCCGACAACTGTGTTTTCTTAAACTATTTCGGTGGTTCTGGATCTGGTGTTTGGTCTGCAGGTTTCGGAAACTCCCTTTCTTATGCTAATTCAGATAATTCCGGTGGTGCCTCATCTCCAGTTGCTTTAGGTGATGTTACTGTTGGTTCTAATTCCGAATATGTCATTATGTCCGGTTCTCCATGTGGAAATGATGACGGATGTGGATTCTACCGTCCAGGTACTGTTGCTCAACATGGTTTTGGTGGAGATAGTAAGATTTTCATTTTTGAATTCCAAATGCCAAGTGACCCTAGTGCTTCTGGATTGAATGCTGATATGCCTGCTGTTTGGTTATTAAATGCTAAGATTCCAAGAACTTTGCAATATGGTGATGCTAGTTGTTCATGTTGGAAGACTGGATGTGGTGAATTAGATTTATTCGAAATCTTATCCACTGGTTCTAATAAATTGATTTCTCATTTACATGATGGTCAAGGTGCTGATGGAACTAATACCGGTGGTGGTGGATCTCAAGATTATTTCGTCCGTCCAACTTCTGGTTCTATGAAGGCTGCTGTTATTTTCAGTGGTACCGAAGTACATATTGTACAAGTTGATGATAGTGTTACCTTTGGTGGTTCTTTGAGTCAAGATACCGTTAATGGTTGGTTACAACAACAAGGTTCTATTGCTACCCTTGGTTATTAAGGAGGTTAGAGATATTACTTTTGCATACATTCATCGTCACACATTTTTTTTCTTTCTTTTTTGAATGGTTGACATTTTCGGTTAATAAGTTTCTGTTTATAAAAAGATTCTTTTGTATATTTAGGTTTGTGTTTAGAATATAAGTTAATAAAATTTTGCGAATTAAAGGAGAGTTAATTATGCTGTAGAGAAATGTGTATTTGATGCAACAATTTCTAATTTGAATGTTGTATGCAAACTATCTGAAATAATTTCAGATACATTGTATACGTTCCAGAATAATCGACTACACATAGCCATCATTAACGTCTCGACCTTGAAAGTAATTATAATTTACAGACGATTAATTATACTGTACAATAGTTTTTGTAAGATTATCCAAAATGCAAAGAATATTTTTTAATGCATTAATTACGCGGACACGTAAAAATGTTTAGCCGAAAATAATTTAATTACTGCCGAAAAAAAAGCAACTTTAGAAAATAGCTAAGGAACACTATTTGAGAATTTCATTTTGGAGGACCCTTAAGTTTCAAAAATGATCATTGATTGTTTTAAACCCTCATACAACTTAAAACACTGGGGAGTAGGGGAATACAATACAGATTTTGAAACAAATCTCATTCCTGACCTTCCATTGTCTAGTCAGGGGAACTTTACATTATTTTTTTTGCTTGTTTCCTCCTATTGCAAATCTCTTACGCGACGTGTTGATAGCATCCGAGGTCAGTTCGAGATACCGATTCAATTTTCTAGTCTCTCCATTTTAGAGAGAATTTATATTTACTAGCCACATATGTTGGAATACACAAGATTACTTTTTCTGTTCGTTATAACTAGGGTCGTGTATTGAAATCTACGCAATCTTCCAACCATTGTTTAAGAAGGGGCTTCAATAATTGGATCGAAGATGATCTTTGTTGATTAGTAAGAACATAATTGGAACTACCTTCTTATGGATTGATAGTATTCCATGTTGACTACGGCTCTTGTAATAATGATACAGATATCCAACACTACGTTAGTTACTTTTGTAAGATCAAAAAAGAAAACTTCATGAGATTTGTGATTTAACCGAGTAGTTGGAGAATTAAACAATAAACAATAAAATTTAAAAACAAAGGCCAAAAAAATCTTCCACTTTTTTCAATACAAAAATTGATTTGTATTTAACACTTTCACTTTCACCGTTTCATTATTTGCTTAATTATCTTAAAAAAAACTAAAATACCACTTTAAACTAAATTTGGCTAATTAGAAAACGCCTTGATACTATTCATACGACTATCTTTTCTTTCATTCTTTTCAAAACTAATAGAACCAACAAAGATTACGTGTTTTATCAAATATCCACACATTTCAAATATACAAACAAGCAAGCCTCATAACCACATAAGAAATCAGCCATGGGTCATTTAGTTGTATGTATCTTTATCTTCAAGATCTACTCTGAATTTAAGTACTAACTTGTGTAACTTTAGTCAAAATTATTTAAAAATCGAGAAATGAGAATTCTAATGTTAGGATTAGATAATGCTGGTAAGACTACGGTATTATATAAATTAAAATTAGGTAAAACATCAAAAACAGTCCCAACTGTTGGTTTCAATGTTGAAACTGTTAAACATAAGAATGTATCATTTGCAGTTTGGGATTGTGGTGGACAAGAAAGAATTAGACCACTTTGGAGACATTATTTCACTGGAACAAATGCCCTTATTTATGTTGTTGATTCAAATGATGTTGCAAGATTAGAAGAATCAAAACAAGAATTATATAGAGTTATTACTGATAAAGAATTAGCTAATTGCTTATTAGTGGTGTTGGCTAATAAACAAGATTGTGAAGGAGCTATAAAACCAAAAGAATTGATTCAACGATTTGAATTACATAAATTGAGTGGTGAACATACTTGGTCTGTCATTCCGACAATTGCAATTGATGGAACTGGATTAGTTGAAATGTTGAATTGGATTTCATCTCATTCAAAATAGATTTACACAACCCATTCTTTTACACATTTTTATAATTATTAGTTTTTCAATTCATCTTTAGTTCATTTTCCATGTTTAATAATATACATATCATTTACAGAATAAAGGAAAGGGACACATATCGCCGCTCCGGAATCTTGCCCACTTGGATCTTATACGTTTACAAAGACACGACTTCATTTTTTCCATATTACGTATATTTAGTGTATTTATGTACAACTCTATAACCTCCCATTCATATAATCCCCTTAGTCAATGCATTCTACTTAGTCCAAACAGTAACTTCTCCAGATTCTTCACCAAAGTAAGCTTTATCAGCCATATTAATGAATAACCCAGTTTCAACAACACCAACAAGTAATTTAATTTGTTCATGTAACTTCTTTGCATCTTGAATATCCCCAAAATCAGCATCAATCAAGAAATTGTTATTATCAGTAATAACAGGACCAGCTTTGGCCTTCCCACCTTGTCTTAAATCAATCTTCTTGGCACCCAATTTCTTCAAATCATTAGTCACTTTAGCATAAGAATTTGGGACAATTTCAATTGGAACCCCTTGAGTCCATTCTCTACCTAAAATTTTGGATTCTTTTCTATAATCAGCCACAACCACAAATTTATCAGCAGCAGCAGCTACTAATTTTTCTTGAAATAAACAAGCTCCACCACCTTTAATCAAATCCAATTGCGGGTCAACTTCATCAGCACCATCAAATGCAATATCTAATTGAGGATATTGTTCAATCAGACCAAGTTTTAATCCATTATCAATGATTAATTGTTTTGATTGGAATCCAGTTGGGATACACACGAATTGATCCTTGTTGGTTAATTGTCCAATACGTTCGGCAACATAGATCACAGTAGATCCGGAACCGATACCTACGACTTTGGCATTGGTGGGGAAGTTTTCATCAACGGCTTTATAAGCTGCTAATTTCTTTGCTGTTTCAACGGTAGATGCCATTTGGAAGTTTCTTGTAAGGTATGTTCTGGGGAATTGAAGTTTGATTGAAGTGGATAGCAATCTTAGCATTCACTATTTATGTGTGTGTGCTTATCTGTGTTACCTAATTATTCAATTACGCGACAACCTTCCTCTGCGATGGGGACCTCGTTTCACGATTATTGTGTAATGTGGAAATTATCTGGGGGCATGAGGACCCTTAGGGCAGGTGCCCTAGAAGTGCCTATACGGCACGTGAGGACTACGGAGTTTATATGGTGTATACAGGAATTGAACTATTCTCACTATTTGTACATAAGTACACGACATCGACAGAAAAAAGATTTTTCTCAATGAAAAAGATAAGCCGCACTAATAATTAGTAGGTTTAATAGGGAGAATTATATTTTACAGGTTAGATACAATTAACTTGTAAAAAGCGTCAATTTGTATAGTGAATTTTTTTCAGTCTGAAAAAAGCACCAGAATAGGTTACTTTTGAAGAAGAGTTTTTCTGTTTTAATATATAGATTGTCCCATACTTAAGATGTCTGCTGCTAACAAGATCATTTCTGAAAAGCCAACTGAATTAGAATTGAAAGTTGCCCAAGCTTTCGTTGACTTAGAAGGTCAAACTGACTTAAAGGCTGATTTAAGACCATTACAATTCAAATCCGTTAAGGAAATTGATGTTAACGGGGGTAAGAAGGCTTTAGCTGTTTTCGTCCCACCACCAAGTTTACAAGGTTACAGAAAGGTTCAAACCAGATTAACCAGAGAATTGGAAAAGAAGTTCCCAGACAGACATGTTGTCTTTTTAGCTGAACGTAGAATCTTACCAAAGCCATCTAGAAAGGCTAGAAAGCAACAAAAAAGACCAAGATCAAGAACCTTAACTGCTGTTCATGACAAGATCTTAGAAGATTTAGTTTTCCCAACTGAAATCATCGGTAAGAGAGTTAGATACTTAGTCGGTGGTAACAAGATCCAAAAGGTTTTATTAGATTCTAAGGATTCCACTGCTGTTGATTACAAGTTAGATTCTTTCCAACAATTATATTCTAAGTTAACTGGTAAGCAAGTTGTCTTTGAAATTCCAAGTGAAACTCATTAAGCAATCAATCAAAATGATGCAAAGATGTGTGTGTGTGAAAAGTGTACATTTGTAAATTACTTTCTATATTATTAATAGGTTCATTTCTCCCACTCCAAAAATCAAAAGAAAATACTTATAATTAACGACTCATTGTATGATAGATAAAAGCTTTTGTAAGTTCGATTATATCTCTCTCTTTTGCAATTGCTTGCAAAATCTACAAGTACTATTCTAAATGTTTCGCGCAATTTGTAATTGAAATCTCTAACAAAATTTTTAATTGTTTTATTTAAAACTAATTTCTTTCTACACCTTTCTAACATAACTAGTAGGGAATAAACCCTTTGCCCCATTCAACTCACCTTCAGTCCATCCACTTCCATCAGTATCATCTTGTACTAGAACAATCCGATCTCCCGCACGTATACTCAATTCATCATCACCATCAGCGGTATAATCATACAACGCTTCCACATACTGAATCTTCTTCGCTCCTCGTCTAGGCATAACCATCGGACCTTTCTTTTTCTGAGCCGGGGTGTCGCCTGATGGTGGAGTATGTGGAACAGGAGCGGATATTTGGATATAGGCCGTTGGGACCAATCCTGGTCCGTTTGGTCCATTGACCATAGTCCAACCCGATCCGTTGGTATCTTCTTCGACTACTGTTAATTCGTCACCTGCGGATATACTAGTCTCATCATTCCCACCCGCAGCATAAGCATAAAGTGCCTTCGCGGTTGGTTTACCTGACCCTGAGCCAGAGGTTTTGGTGGAAGAAGAAGTTTTGTTTCTCCGAAGGTTGAAGATTCCCGTATGTGCCAACGATGCAGTATTGTTTGTTTTCACCGTATGTAATGAATGTGAATCGGAAGATGCAACATCCAGAGAAGGTGTTATGCTTTCCTTGGTGGATTTTCTTTTCAAGAACCCAAATTTGGATTTCTTACGTTCGATTGGAGCGATATATGTTAAATCCTTATCACCGGCGAAATTTTGAATTACTTCAATTTCAACCTCATTTCGAACTCTGATTGTATCTTCCTTCATAAACTTTTGTAATATTGAAAGTGAGGCTTGTAATCCTCCGTCAAATTTAAGGGTGAGGTTCTTTTCGGCTTCCTTTCTTGCTGCTGTACTTTCTTCTAGTTTTTGTTTGATATCTAAACATGATTGTTCATATGTGGCATATTCTCCCAGGGCAACGTTTAATCTCTTTTTCAAGACAGTTAATTCCGGTTCCTTTGTTACCAAACTTTCATCGTCATGCCAGATACTTGACGGAATGAAATAGAAGTCAGGAGGCTCTTTCCAGTCTAAGGAATTGTGTTTGATAAACATGGCGACATCCAATTTAGGATTGTTTTGATCAATCGTTTCATCAATCAGATGTAATTTCTCCTTGATTTTGTCATTACTGTTTCTTTCGATAATCAGCGCATTCTTTAATAACTTATTTAAAATTCCGACTCTATTTTCATTCAATTCTTGGAAATAATCTAATATTTCAGGAACATCTTGATAATAATATTTATCCTTAAGTCTATTTGCAACATTTAATTTAATCAAGTATTCATTTTTCCCAATGTTCATTTCAACTGTCTTTTTATCCAATCTTTCTTGATATTTCCCAGATTCTGATCTTTCCGTCTTCTCTCTAGCAGTTTCAGTAGCTTGACATAAAGTATCATAGTGTTTCTTGGCTTTCAACACTTCGTCTTCAACATTCTTCTTTTCTTGTGTTAAATACTCATTGATTTGTTCAACCTGACGAGAAATTCTTTCACATTTTGCTTTCAAACCCACAAGGTTGTTACATATCTTAGTCAGGAATTCCCCACCCAAATTCATCCGTTCATTAGCAATCGCTTCTGTTTGGGTCAATAAATCTGACCATAACACCAAAGATGCACATTCTAAAGATCCAGGGGTGATTTGAGGTTCATCACCAACGGATAAACTAGCAGATATTTTCAGTTTCTTATCGAAATGTTTCTTACATAAAAGAGTCAATTTCGTGGCATATTCTCTTTCGATATTGGAACGTTCACGATAGAATTCGTCGATGTCACTAAGCCAATTCGTACCATTGGCGATCCATTTAGATGTGATCTTGTATGAATCTCGTAATTCATTCCCGATCGATAAATCTTCAGCAGACATTGTTGTGTGTGTGTGTGTGTTTGAGCTGAATGGAAATCTCAGTGGACAGATCAGAATATCAATAAGGGGAACTGCCTCCACACCGTAACCTAACAAATTCAAAATCTTGATAGCGAATAATGTCGTATAATTTGGAGTTATGCCACACGACATTTTTCAGCGGTGTTGCAATTTCGATTTTAATGGGGGGAGCAGAGACATTTCCGGGTAGTTGAGGAATGTTAGGCAGGGGTTGTACGACAAGCATTGATTGGGGTCTTTAGGTTTGGGTCAATTGTGACTGCCTCCTATTTGGCGTAACCAGGTCCATTAAAATGTACTCCATCGGGTTCACCCTGTTTTATTGTTTAAACCTTGGTGCTCTAGCTTGGTACTAAAATGTGGTACTAAAATGTTTTTTTTCTGGCCGATCGTGGTGGCAGTAGATTTCTTTGTTCTCGACCGAAATCTCAGATGCCCACCAAACGATCCCGTTTAAATTTCAGTCATCTTGAACGATCGTTCTACAGCGAAATTCCAATCACGTTTATATTATAAATTAAATTGAAAATTATTGACAACCACTTTACAACCACATTGAAATATATTATAACGTGTGCCAATCAAACATCTCCTCAAAGCAATAGTCACGTTTCTAACACGTCCTTTTTGAAATAGCTAACTTGGCTTTATTTCTTCAATCCCATTTAATCCATTTTTCTCCATTCTTCACGTTGGTTGGTAAGAATAATTTCATCAAGTTCGCTTCAGCGTTTCTATCAAAGCGATTAGCACCAATTTATCAAGTTCCGGTTGCTACAAAATATTCAACCAAGAATTCTACCACTCAATTCCGTTTATTAAAAGAAATTTATAGAGATTATAAACAACTCAAGAGAGCCTATCCACTATTAAAATCCAAACGAAGAAGGATTTTGATGAGAATGGACCCGAATTACCAAAATCGACGTTCACCACCACCTCATCCTCCTCAATCAGAAGAGATAACTACAGCAACGGCTGGTCCGAACTCGTCTGCTCCTCAACCATTATCAAGAAGACAGAGATTGTTAGGGTTGGCAAGAGCTACTAGAGATAATTATATCCCCCGACTAACTGGACAAGTATCACAATTGGCAAATGGGGCATCTAGAGCATTGATGACCAGCAACGTGGCTGATGTGTATGATGATCAGGGGAAATTAATCTTACCTAAAGATACTTCAATTCAATTGTTTCCTTCCTATACAAGATATCAAGAAGGGAAATTTTTTGTTGATGTTAAAGGTTGGGTATCATGTCCTGGGTTGATGACAAGAAAGAATAGATTGATCTTATCATTAATGCGACAATTGACAAGATATAATACAACTAGTGCAAATTCCACTCAAGCAATTAATCAATTGGAAAGTGATAACATGAAACCTGATATTTTAAATAATGATCAAAGCTTATCGGATTCAGAATCAATCATATCTCAAGGATCAGCCAGTGAGCAATTGTCAGTCCTGTCGTCTTCAGGCAGTTCAGCTTCGAATGCAGACGATTTAATAAAAGAAAGGCTTGCTTGCTTTATTGCAAGGTCAATACCCAATGCTGAATTGATCATTGTAGTAGGGGCTGAACATAACTATAATCAACAACTTGTCACGCATTCAGTATTTACCGATACCAATGGCCATTTTGAAGTGACACTAGAGGTTCCATATAGGCCATCAGTAGTACAGGTTAAATCTGCCAACACCGAAACTATATTTGCATTTCAAGATGTCATGATGCTTCCAAATGAAGGAGTAGGTATCATTAGTGATATCGATGATACCATTAAACTTACAGGAGTTATTGGAGATAAGAGGGAATTGATGACCAATCTTTTATTGAACGAGATTAGTCTGTGGAGTATTCCTTCAGTTATTAAATGGTATGGCGAAATGCATAAGCATGAACAAGTGAGTTTCCATTATGTATCCAATTCCCCTTGGCAATTGTTTTCTACAATTCAGCAATATTTTAGAATAGCCAATCTACCACCAGGATCTGTTCATTTAAAACAATATACAGGAAATATCATATCTTCGTTGTTGGAACCTTCCTCCTCAAGAAAGAAGAGGGCATTGTATAAGATTTTGGATGATTTTCCTGACAAAAGATTCATATGTGTCGGAGATTCGGGAGAATATGATTTGGAAGCATATGTTGATCTTGCACAAAGATACCCCGGAAAAATATTATCAATCAATATAAGATATGTGAAAGATTCCCTTTCAGATTATGATGATTTAAATATTCTAAATGAATTGATAAGATTATTGTCCACAAAGAGAAGAAAAGTCCCCTTTAATCAATCGATGGAAACACTAACTGATAAAACAAATATACTACCACCTCCACCTCCCCCGGAAATGGAAGATTTGATTGACCTATCTGACTCTCCACCCCCATTCGTACCTGCATCTACACATTTATCCAGATCACCTGTCCCCAAATCTTCATCCGACCCTTCTATTGAATCTAGACGGAAATTACCACCCATGGTTCCCAAGAAACCAACAACCTTGAAGGGAAGTCCACTAGAAAGAAAACCTCCATTACCTAATCGAGACTATCTTCATCATGCCCAAACCGATTCAGTATTGACAATATCCTCGGCCCCGGCAACACGTGTCACCACCCCTCCAGTTTCGTCAAATGTTGCTTCTGATGGAAGTAGTATTAATCAAGATGACGATCTCTTACCTCCAATGCCCAAAAGACCTCCTTTACCTGCTCGAACAACTGAAATGTTTGAATCGAATACTAATAGACTTGACGATTTGGATAGTATTTTCGATTTACCTAGTTTTTATGAATTAGAAGAGATGGATAAGAAAGGAGCTGGATGGATTAGAAGATTAGTGGCTGCAATGCATGCTTTGGCACCTACTGGTACAAAGCTTGATATATTTGTTGATGATGATGACAAATTCTTTCAGAAAAATTGCTTTGAATTGAATGAAATTATGACTAAGTAGTGAAAAGTGTGAGAGGAATACATGCTGAACAACGATGGATAAATCTACTTGTATATATACAAATTCGCCCGTTTATTTAGTGTGTGTCCTTTTTACACCCTATAAATGTACAAAACTAAAAAAAAAAAATCCAAAATCTATTCATTAACTGTATGCATGCAAAGGTTTTAGGTGGATATAGCTTCACCTTGGTTTGTAGAATCAACAACTGATTCTGGCTTATTTTCAACATCTTGTTGATAATATTCTTGAGCATTAGAACCATCTCCGTAATCTTTAATGACTTCATCTGTTTCCTCAGGCAATTCAGTTTTGAACTGTGATAAATCCCAAGTTTCTCCACCATCGTCTTCTTCGGCATAATATTTGTCGGCAAACTTTTGCAAGATGACTTCTCTACCTGTAAGAGGTCTCTTAATACCTCTCTTTTCATCTTCTCTTCTTTGATTTTCTTTCTTTGAATTTTGTTCAATTTTCCATTCTTGGAAAGTTTGGGCTGTTATTGGGGTGAATTGACTCTTATCCAATTTACTTCTTTCTAACTCAAGGAATTCTTCTAATGTGATGGTTGGTTCAGCTTCAGCCGCGAGTCTTTCTAATCTCTTTTGTTCTTTAGTCTTCAATACGAAACCAGCAGGCAATGAATGTCTATACTTACAGTCATTACCACCATTTGGACAGACCCAGAACCAACCATATTTCCCATTCTCCACGGCATCGATGAAATATTTACAAACAATATCAGTGGTAGTTTTTGGATTACCATGCTTCGATGAAATGACTTTTCTTAATTTTTCTTCATCCCAATTATCCATCGTATCTTCTTCCTTTGAAGTTTCTCTATTATCAGTATATAAATCCCTCTTGGCATCTTTTCTTCCCACATTAGGATCATGCGAGAATTTACATTTATTACCCTTTGTACAAAGACCCTGCTTGAAAAATTCACAAAGAATCGATTTGGGATCAACTCCAAATGGAACTTTTTGTTGTTGGATACCGAATAAGGCAGCGGCTTCCTTCTTGGCCTGCTCAGCAGCTCGCTTCTCTTCAGCTTTCCTCTTGGCTTCTGCTTCTTTCTTTTTAGCTAATCCTCCATCGATCCCAGCTTGCATCTGATTGATTTGTTGCTGGACCTTTTTAGATTTGTTCTTGTTTTTTAAACCGAAGGCCTTGTCTTCAGCTGATTTTGCCTTGGCTTTGACCTTGTTCTTGTCTGGTTGATTCTTCTTTGGAGGCATCTTTAGTTTACTTCTAATAAGGTAATGAGAGTATAAGTTTAGAATTACTGGGAATATCAAATGTAGACAATTCAGCCGTAAAATAAATCTTTTTATAAAAAGAAAAAGAAAAAAAAAATTTTAACGGGTAGTGTGACATTCCCAAAAAAAAAGCAATGTGGAGACTGGTAGCGCCATTGATTGCAAAATTAGTCAATTATCGCATCAAGTGTTGCATAGAGTATAGCTAGGTTAAGCACATTATCTTACAAAGATTCAAAAGCAGAGGGTAAAGGAACGAATCCAAACAGCCAATATAATTATTGCTTCTTAGACAAAGAAGTTATGATATTACACTGAAAAGAATTGTAACTTAAAGAGAAATTAAAGCTCTAAACTTTCAAACGCATTTAAAAATAAATACCCTAATATAACTAACTATAATCTAAATATTGTTGTATAATAAAATATTCTAACGGAATTTTTGAGAAGCCTTTCTTTTATCTTTTGAAGAATTGGATGACAATGACGGAGTTTGTTGTTCTGGAGTAGTATTCAACGCTGATGATAATATATTTGGACTTCTAAAGTTGGTATTCATCAATTCCAGTGGTGAAATATTCAGACCTGACGAAGAAGGAATTGGCGAGTTCTTAGCTACAGTTCTTTTCGACCTCTTCTTCCCTCCTAGAAGACCTTCGAATCTAGTTGGGTTCTCAAATGAAAATTCTGGAATTACACTCGATGGAGTTGCAGACATAGTAAATGTTCCAGGTGTTGTCACAGTCGGAGTTTTGAGATCAGTAAGTGTTTGCTGATCAAATACTGGCGTTAGCGGCATAATTGGCGTTGAAAATTGATCAACTCTAGACTTTGGAGTATTTCTATTTCTAAATGGAATATAGGACCTTTTGGCAATTGAAGCATTATTAGTATTCACGTAATTATTACTTCCAATAGAGTCAGCCAAGGTAGTCTTAAACGACGCGTTGGATTGCGTCCTTGCCAAACTTCTATTCAAAATAACCGAGACTTTCTTATCATAAACATTAGGAGCAGATTCCATGGGCAGCAGGACATCACTGGTAGCACTATACTTCGTATCAACAGATGCACTATGAATGTGACTAGATAATGGATGAGGACCAATATGACGACCTCCGGAAATATTGGGTTCAGTATCCTTAGTGAAAAATGAATCAAAATCATCTAAAGCTGCCCAAACATTACTTAATGAAGCCTCTTTTTCTTCAACACTTACCGATACGGCATCTCCATAATCAGTTGGCCCAGCAGCATGCGAGTAATAATCTTCCATGTGGAATTGAATTTCTTCATTATTAACCTGGTCGTCATTCTCATCGTCAACCACAGTAGTAACAACACATGTAGAAAATACTGCGTGAACATTGTTTCGAGTGCTTGCTGCAGTTACAGCAGGCATAGGTATTGACCACCCACTCTCATCAGGAATACCAAATAAAGTTGCTGTATTTTCATATTCTTTCTTCATAGCAGTACTACCCAAACTCATTCTCAAAACATCTCGATCAAGTTGGGACCCAGAAATAATAACTGCTTCATCTAACACTTCAAGCGCAGGCTCTGCAAAATCAGTTAATAATAACCTTAACAACGGAGAAATTAAATCTGCACCAACACCAACAAACTCGTCTCTTTGCAAATCAACTAATGGGAAAACATGTTTCAATATACTCATGGTTTCCAAAGTAACCCAAGGAATCTTGTTCGATAATAATCCTAATAATAATACTAACGTTTGGGCTTCAAATTCTGGGAAAAATGAATTCTTAATGGTAGAAACTGTCTGAACTAAGAAATCTTTCTTTGACCTAAATCTATTCTTCGACAACGAAACTAAAATCTTTGAAAGACCTACTTTATTCGCATTATCTGCCAATTTACTAATTGCTAAAGCCGCATTTTGAATTTCAACACTAATTGCCTTCTTATCCAACTCATGTAAGAAACGAGGTAAATTTGCCAAAACAGACATTAGAAGTCTGGAATCTCCTTTGCCAATGATTTCACTATCCTTTAAGTAAATCAATTTATCCAAAAACTTCAACGAAGGTTCCCATGAAGTGGCAGAACGTAAACCCACCAATACGATTTGTTGCAATCCTTCAAATTTTCCTTCCCATTTTGGTGGAAACGTAGAAATCAAACATGATACGGTATCAGGTGCATCTAAATCGATCTTCGAAACAAACTTATTCATAGTTGATAATACCTCAATAAATTCTTGTTCATGGATAGTACTAAGACAAGCAACACTCGACCAAAATAATTGTGGAAAATCAATCAATTTTTCTGAATCCAATTCTGCGGTAATAGCATTCAATGTCATCAAAATTTGCATAGCGAATCCTTGGATATCCACAGTCTCATCTGAAATCGTATTAGATAAACGATGCAACATATCTTTCAACATACCTTGATCCAAAAATGACAACAACGATCTGAACAACTGGAAGGATCTACAAGCAATATGCCTTACAGCACAAGTTGTAGCCCAATGCAAAGATACTCGACTCCAATCATCCTGAAGCGTAGGTGTTACTTTCGCAAACACTTTCAATACATTTCGAACTAGCAAATCCATATTCTTTGGAGTTCTAGCCCCTTTCTTGTCGTTGTTTAAATCGTCATATACCCATAAATTCTTAACCTGATCCTTCAGTCTCAAAATATCAATAGTCTCTTGTGCCTTAGGCTCGTCTATTGCCAATGCATGTATCAAATGAATTAATAATGAACATGCTTGTTCTTGAACAACAGGCAAATAATGATCCAATAATGAAAATGCAATGTGTAGCAACAATGGAAGTTTCTCAACCATGATGTCACGTTTTGTAGTAAATAAATCAACCAAGAATATCATCGATAACTGTCCCAATGAGAATACAGAATCCTTTTCAGCTTTTGGTATAACGCTTGACAAATCTGCCACATATGCAAAATCATGATTAGCGTCAGAAAGTGAAACCCTGATCACCAGCGAATGTGGCGGAACCATCATTTTAGGCTGTAAATTGTTGACAAACTTTTCAATCACATATAACGGATCTGACCTGGAATAAGTCAAGTAGTCTATTATCTGTCTACTATATTGCACAAAGGTTGGATTCTTTCTCTCAATACAATTCTTCATAATGAAATCAATAATTTTATCAAAGTTTGCTGCATTGCTTCCAAGTGAAACCCATAATGCTTCAACTTCATTTGAGATCTTAGAACCGAACTTGACTGTAATTTCAAATAAATTGCTTAGTACCATTAACGAAGGCGTATCCAATTTGGGATCAACTGGGGGGTTCTTCTCCGTGACTATACCTTCTGGGGCCTCTTCATACTTCAACACCACATTTTGAACTAATGGAAGCAAGCAAGCTAATATATCTCGTCTTGACGCATTTCCAACTATACTGAAGTACATTGTCATGTAGCTAATTCTAATAAATGAAGATTTTTCTGTTTGCGCCAAAGTTCTCAAATGGCTGGATATATCAAACATCGCCTTCTTGTAAACAACTTGGGTTCGACTGATCACCGCTTCAGAAAATCTCCCTAATGAACTGGATTTAAGGTATAACTCTTCCAAATATTTCAACAACTCAATTGCAGCAGATCTGACCTCAATATTATTATGACCAACTAAGAAACTAGCTAAGCTGACTAAATCATTTGGAAGCTCCTCTTCAATGCTTTTATGCTTTCTCATAAATATGTCCACAAATATACAAAAGTAACTTTCAGTTGTCTTACATCCATCATTTCCGGAAGAGCAATAATAACATTCCTTAACTACCTCATTGTATATATCTTCATTGTCAAAATTATTCTCCAAAATATTTCTCAATGCAACTTTCCCATATTCATTAATCTTCTTCTCAGGTCGTTCAGATTCAAGTAATTTATGAATCCACAGTAATATACCAGGTATATCAAATGATACAACTCCTAAATTAACCCCCGGAGAGACTTCAATTTGTTGCTTTATTTCACCAGAACACAAAACTGCCATACAACTTAAAGTTTGAAGCTGAAGCTTTTTCTTTTCAAGGTCTAAAATGGCGACGTCAACAGCTACATCTTTGTTTTGCTGATTAATATTCCTGACAATCATCTTATATCTATCCTCAGTTATCGCCTTTGATTCTCCTATACCACACCATTCTTTCAAATAATTGAAACAACCCAATCTTGCTTCAAATGGTAGCCATCTATCAACATTCGATCTTGATTTATCCCGCAAACCAACATACACATTTTCTAAAAACCCACAGAAATAACGACGAAGGCGTTGAAAACCAATATCCACTTGAACATTTGGCATTGACAAGAATGTCTTCACACATTTAACAATAGCTACTAAATTTTCAACAATCCATTGATCGGAATATATAGAATTATCACTTGAGAACTTACTTGTTAAATCCATTAGAATGTGTACAATTTCAATTCTTAATCTATCTTCCACTATATCCCGCTTCTTGTCATTACAATTCCAATCACTCATAGACAATGGAATACTTTCTAAAAACGTCTTAAAAATATTAATGTTCATATGGCTTAGTGCGGATATTATTGCTTCCCTAATCATTACTTGTTGTGATTTCAATAATGGCACCACCATTCTAAATACAGATTTTGCACTCGTGATTTTTTGATGTTGGATATACATTTGTAGTGATCTTTTCCTTCCGTGAATAGGTTGAGTGGGAAATGAAATCTTTTGTTCCTGAGTAGCTGTTAATGTACTACATGCAAATATCAAATATAGTTTCCATTGAATTACCAATAGTTCAGGAGGCACAGAGGTGCTTGTCACATTTTGTTGATTCAGTTTCGAGGAGGAAAATAACGAACTTGTAATGGTGTTTGCTTTAAAGCTTTCGGAATATTCAAAGATTGCTTCATGCATTTGAACTAAACTGACACATACCATATTTCGACATAAAGCCACAGACATTGGACATCTTTGGAAAAATATCTCTAACATTCGAGGAAATACTCTAAACCAAATAGTTGAATCGATTCCATAATCGGATTCGGCTAATCTTATCAAAATATTCTTCTTGTTTTTAATCTTTGCCAACCGTTGACGTTCAGGTAAACTTAATTCCTTTCTGAATGGTTTAATCAATTCCATAAAATCAGTATCTTCTAAAACATGAATTAATCTGGTTCCAAAATCAGCAGCGAATTTCGAAGAAGTTCTAGAATGCTTTCTTGATGCTTTTGGTGACGACGAGTCTGTAAGGTTATAAATTGCTTGATCAAATTGGTCCACTAATTTCAAAATTGAACTACCATAAAACCTAATCTTCGGATCCTGTGAACATAAAAAGAATAACCCATTACCTTCAATCTCTTCCACTAGTGTGATAATAATCTGCCATTCTAAATCTTCACCTGTCGACATTTTGTTGTTGATTGCGTCATTACTTGATAATTCTTCACTCTTATGATTAATTTGATATAAGTCATTTAACACGTCTTTATTCATCAATTGATCATTATCATCATCATCCATATTATCTCTTCTATTTTTGTTCAGCTTTTCCGCTTTGGCCATTATTTGATACAGGCTTAGCCAACAAGACAACAACTCTGTATATAATCTTAATAATCGGATATACTCTCTAGAGTTCAAATATTCGGCATTGTATCCAGATCCATCTGTCTTTTCATATAACTGAAATGAATTTTTGGCAAACACAGATAACAAACAAGTTGGATTTTTTCTAGCTGCCAACATTTTCAACGAAAAAACCGCTGAATTAGAGATTCTTGGATTTGAATGAATTGAATTCCTAGTTAAAATTTCCACAATCTGTTTAAATGGTAAACCGCACAACGATTTTGATTCCCCTTGAATTGGAGCCATAGTCCATGGAATTGCTTCAATGATAGTGGAAAACAACTCAATTTGTAAATATCTACTTGCCTTCTCAGTTGATGAAGTGAAATCGTAACCAAAGTGGAAATTAAATGCTGATTGAGACTTGGCGGATAATCCTCCATTCGCAGACGAGGGTGCACCTCCACTAGCACATCCGTATTGTTGATCCAATAATAATAATAATGCCGCAATATTACGACATATTTCTTCATGGGAAGCCGCATTAGTTGTATTTTTGGCAATAAACATAAATTCATTCATTCTTGTCAACATGACTTTTTCTATTCCAAATTCTTGATTGCTATTATCTTCGGTGGGGAATTTTGGTTTTTGGCCCAATTCATAGGTTTTTAATATTGATAAATAACTCTTCGTAACCAAAATTAACTTCTCGGGCGATGAATTTTCCAAAGTTGAACCACTAAAGCTCAATTTCAAGAGTTTGAGTAAAACATTGTCCAATGTATAATTCAAGTGATTGTAGCCCACAATTTTAATCAATTCAGCCAACGAATTAATCAACCGAATATCAGAAGTCAACCATTGGTATTTCTTGTTACTGGAGGACGGAAGATTGAAAAGTAACAAGTCAAAAACTGAATCAAGTTTCTTGATGGTATTATTCAATGAATCCGGTAAGCGATTAATATAAACCCAAAGTAATCTAGTAATGCACTCGATATAAGTTATTTTATCGTACAACGTTTCATCCTTTCCTTTCAATTTGAAATGATTCTCTTCAATGATATCATACCAGACTTCTGAAAATAATTCTTTTCTTGAAACAGACAATGCGGCAACCATTAACGTTAAAGAGTGAGCCCAAGCATTGTCACACGAGTCCATGCATATGGCTGGGAACGCAGTGGGTGTTGTTGTTGTACTTGGAGATGCACTGGTTGGTCCATATGTATTTGTGATCATTGATAGTCTCCATATTCTTCTACTCTTCTCATAAATTCTCTCAATACCTTCTACCCAAGTTGGATGATTCGTTTCTGCAGTCAAGATATTCCCCAATGGTAATAACAAGCTAGTTAATACTTCACAATATGCACAAAGAATAACCTCATTAATTGATTGATCAAAAAATTTAGCCAATGATTTAATGAATTCAGCAGTTTCTTCAAATGCTTCAAGGGGATAATTAGTTAGTTTTAAATATCTCATTCCATTGATTAACAATCGCAACTTTTGTTCTTCTTGATGTATTGTCTTTTTTCCATCATCAACTTTCTCTAAATCCGCAATAAACCGATCACTAACACCAAGAAATCTCCTTTCCGACATAAATCCAAGTAACTCTGCAAATAAACTCCAATTTGCTGCTCTGACCAATGATTGACTTGTACTTACTGGATCCGTGGTCTTCAATTGAGTATAGACAATTTCTTCCAATTTATCGCCAAGATCTTCACCCATGACTTCAAATGATGTTTGCTTTACAACTTCAATTAAAACTCTGCATAGGATATATATGGATGCCAATGACTTTCGATCTGCTTGAATCGCCGTCTCCCTTGCTTGATTAATTTGTTCGTCAAAATAGTTCTTCTGTTTAATAAATTCATTGTTATTCTCATTGCCAATATCTTCTGGTGATTTCTGTGGGACTGCTGATGATGCGGATTGATTTCGGCGATGTACACCAACTTTGGAAAAACTTTTACTCCTCATTAGACTCAAACTGCGCTTTGATTTTCCTTTTGGATTTACATTCTTGGCTATTCCAGGATTTGCAGGTGATATAACAATTGATGATGTTTGTGTTGACATTGAATCTAACGATGAAGGTGGGAAATTCACATTTGAAACTTTCATTAAGCCGGATTTTGCTAATTCTATTGTACGTTCAACTTCATTGGCAGCCATGGTTGCAACTTCACTTTTTGATTTCCTCCAAAACATAACACTATCAATTACTGGCTTTGGCTTTCGGCGAGCAATATATCCTAATGAACTTACGATTTTATCAAATTGTTTGTCAGCTCCTTCTGCAATTAAATCAACTATTGGTGGTTCTTCATTCAATGGATATTCTAAGCATTGATTCAATTTACGTTCTGCATGTCTTACAAATTGAGTGAATACTATATGCAAAGTATATTCTGCTGGGGTTTTCGCGTCAGTTGCTAATTCTCTTCGTATTGATCCAAACTCTTCCCCGTTATTGAATGTAAGCTTCTGTAACGAACTTGATGTTAATGGAGGTGGCAATTGTGGTGATGGTTCCGTGTGGTCACGTGGAATAACTGAGATTGGAGAGGCTAATTGTTGTGATATTTGTAATCTGGTGCCTTTTACTGTATGTGATGCAGGATTTGGTGTATCAATCAATTGTCCGAGTTGATCATTGTTTTCCCCGAATTCATTTTCTAAATCATCTGATAATGTCTCATCTTCTTGCAGGGGATGCCCTCTTGATATAGCAGTTGCTTTGATGTTTGGAGGATCTTGCAATCTAAAACTGGTTGTATGCTCATTGATCCGGTTTGAAATAAATGAAAATCCAGAGGGTGGGGCATGTCCATCAAATGAATCTGTAGGACCGTTAAAATATTGCATTCTGGGAGCTGCTTGTAAAGTTTGGGTAGTTATATGTCCCTCACTACTACGTTGGGACTGTGACCTGCTATGGTTTACTGAATCAGATATTGTCATCGTGTCGTTTACATTTTCAGTACCAAAATCTTGAAGTGTACGATATTCTATCTTTTCAAATGATACATCTTGGATTTCAGGAGCTCGATCTATATTATTTAAAGATGGACTAGAAGCTTTATTATAAAGTGCAATCGTGTCATTTAATGGATCAGATGTGAGCCGTGAACCTACCTCTGGAATCGACACAAATGATGGTCCCATTGATGAATTTTCTTGTTTACTAGGAGCATTTGAGTATGCGTGGTGGTACTCTCGTTCTTCTTGTATGGAATCTGAATTTATTTGATCATCCTGATTTTGTATTCCATTGACGTACTGCTGATGATCTATTTGGTGGTGTTGATTTTGTTGTTGTTGATACTGAACACCGGTAGAAGTGTCGTCGATATTAGAAGTGGACTCTAGAGATAGTTCGTCTAAATCAGGTATTTCAATCATCCTAGGAATGATATAATATGAGTTATTATGAATCTAACCTAAACCTTTTTGATTTTGATTATTGAAAAGTGGTTGGTTGTAAAATTAGAAAGTTTGGTTGTAAAAAAAAAATCAGTTTATTTATTTTTTGTTTGTTTTCTTTTTTTTTTTTTTGGGAATCTTACTTTCTTTTTGGACACGAAAGGGGAGGTAACCGTGGCTTTTACGAATAGAGCCATTTTGAATGATTGATCAACTTCTGACAAGAACCATTAGTTCAGCCTTGGTCTTTTGAGGCTTTCGTTAGTTTTAGTCGTATGCATTAATTCATATGCGAGTTTCTATGTCCTCACAAATGACAAAGTGCATAATGCAGCCAGCAAGAGCACCTTTGAACAATTTGTCAAAAGCAAATAGTTCAAATTATTACCTATAGATAATCAGATCCAGTGCTAAACGGACCTGATAACAATATACTTGCATGTAGGCTTACAAACGATCCAAGATCTGGGACAAAGTAAAAAGTCTCAAAGATCTTCCGAAAATCGGGGAGAGGGTGACGGTGATGGTTACCTCAGATTGTGAAACATTTGGGTTCTATTCTATAGATATTGTTAAAAGCGATCGATCGTAGATAGTCTTTGAACACACTGACCAACTAACTACTAGAATCAATTTTAACTGAATCATTTGTTTATGACTCAATTCACCGATTAACAAAACACCCAGCTGCAGAGATGCTAGGGGCTAGATTACTTAGTGAACATTGAGACTCCTTGTAGGAGTGGGCGAAAATGACAGTAAAAAATATTCATTCAACTTACTAACTATAAAACAACCAGTACAAGACTATGTTAATTATACCTTCCCAAAATCTGGATATTCCATCCCCATTAAGTTATAATAGTCGATCCATGGTTTTGGGCCCCCGACCCTATAATCAGACCTAGGGTCGCACGAGCATTTCTGTTTAAGCCTATGTTTTTCACTTATGGGACATGTCTCCCAAGCTTCATGCTTATATCCAATATCATCGAAGAAATGAAGTTTGTCTCTAGGGATGAACGTAGATGCTGCGAATGTATGAAGTGGCCCATCGCCCCAACGCTCATAATAGAACCCACCTGCTCTATCCATATAATCAAAATATTTCATATATGCATTAGATCTGAAAAAATTCAAGTCGCCAACTTCGAAATTTGACCAATAATGATTTCCATTATATGTCTTCCCATTATCATCGGTTAAAAATTCGAAGAAGCTTTCTTTGTCTTTAGCATCGGGGTGCTTTTTTAGGAATTCCATGCTTGAATCCCAGAATGTCTCCACGGTTTCCATCATTTCACTAAATGCGATTGAGAATCCATATAACTTATTATTCTTCTCCATGAATTCGAATACATCATAGTCAATATTACAAGTAAAATCAACTCTGGGTTCAACTAACCAATACCAATCGTACTCTTTTAGCTCCTCCATCTGGAACATAAGCCCAGCTTTGAAGCGACACATATGACGATATGATTCTAGATCCCCATATCTGATACCCTGTTCTCCCATTTTCTTTCTGGTCTCTGCAGCTTTGTCTTGATCAATCCAATCAGGATAGGACCAGAATTTTTTGGGTATAACGCCAAATTTCACTTTTCCAGATGCCATTGCACTAGTTAAGTTCTTAAATTGAGGAGTGAATTCTTCATTGTTGAAAAAGACCCAATCATATTGAAACTTCCCATTGAATCTGTCTTCAATCTGTTCCATCGTGCGTGCAATTTGGTATATTTCATCATTTTTAGATAATGCAACAATTGCAGCTCTTGTTTTCTTAGCATGGGAGTTTATTTTTAGACCGTTGTATTCGAAGTTAAGTTCCTTCATAACAAATGGAAAGATATAGAATACTGCTAATATTGTAATGGCTATTGTGGCTACCACAAAGCGGTTTCTCTTGATCATAATCATTAGGCTTAGAAATACAGAAGAAAGAAGTAGAGCCGTTGAAGGGAGAACAAATTGAAAAGTGAGAAATCTGGCTTATACGGTTCGATTTAAATACTTTATAGATGTTCTACCAATGTTAATAGAAAAAATAATGTGAAATATGTGGGGGGTTCTTTGAACCTCTGTTTGTTGCATTGTTGCTATATTGTCATCCTAGTATAATGGGATTTATCTCTCCCGTATAAAAGAAAAGTCTCCTTAAAATATCTTTTTTTAGCAAAGACTAAATTAAAATATTTTTTGCAATTTAAAACAGTGATTTGGCTTTCCCCGTATTTTTGTTGGAAGGCGGTTCATTTCCACGGTTGTCGCACCATTTTTTTAAAGGGCTTACTATTTGAATCAATCTCGAAGAAAATCCCAATATTGATTGGGACTTCCGTATCCGTGGCAGCTTGTCTCTAATACCACTTGGAACAATATAGCACTTCTTGACTCCATATCTGTATTCTGTACGGCGCCTAACCGGGAGAAAGAACACGTCACATCTCTTAAAAAAATATCGGTGGTGGGGAGATAAGTGGTTTAAGCCCCACAATAACTTCAACCTTTTAAATTCTTCTATGTGGTATTGTCAAACAGAACTCTCCACTGCCGCTCTAGTGTTGTGGTAAAGTGATGGCGACGTAGCTAGAGGGAGGTATTGTCGTCAGGGTGTCTGTACATTATAAAGCCATTTATGCTCTTTGCGTTATAACGAAAACCAAAATAGGATCCATTTTTTTTTTTTTACGATACTATCTGCTTGATATTTTTTTCAAGATGGGGAAGGTTTTATTTGTTTTACGAGTTGTTATTTTTAAAATTCTACAAAATAAACAAGAACATGTGGACAATACTTCTATAATTAGTTTCTATATTTATATAGTTTCAACATGACCGATTACTAATATTCAAAATGCAAACGCAATCCGAAATATCTTGAAATAAGCCACCATGAATTCAAAACCGTACATTAGGTGTACCAGCCTTTAGTCCTAACAATCTAGATTTGAACCTGCCCATGCGTCTATCGCACTCAAATTCTTTATGTGAATATAATTTTTTCTGTCTTCATTCGGTTACAGGTCTATTAGCTCCATCTTGATAGATCTATTCTGGGTAAAACCACAATTCTTTTGGTATCAAGCCATATATTTCACATTTCCGGGAGTCATTGAAATGACCATCTTATAAATTCAGGGATTACATCATTGTAAGACACCCAATCATAAATTATACCAGATATTTAATTAATCTTACAGCTTTTCTGTTGAGCGGGCCATTTCGTACAGTTCTTCGTTTTAGGATAAGGCTATGAATGCGTCCCTGAGAACTTTTGCATGGGCGTCCTTTTCGTTAGTAAATTCTTTATTTAGGACGAAAAGTGTATATATTAAGGTTATTAAGATAATGACAAAGACGAGCACCATAGAGTCCTCTCTATTGAGATTGGCAGGAATCATTGTTCTGGATCAGACGGAAGAAATGTGCAAAGGAATAAAAAACAGATTAGAATACTAAGAAGGAATTAAAATGTGTGTGTCAGGAAGGATGGGAGTCACTTCGTCGTTTAAGCGCAATACAAAATGTTGATTGTAAAGCTTGTTTGTATGTAGAATAAATGAAATGGCTGATTTTCCTTCAAACTGTAGACCTTTCTAAATCTACATCACTAGAGACATATAGGGAACCTGCATTCCAAAGTTCCATGAAATCTTGAGAGGACTGTGGCACTATCAATCGTGTGAGCTTAAACATCGCAATTGTGTGCTAGCAATCTTGATAATCACTTATTTTGAAATTAAAACTTGATGACCCTGATTTCAGAAAAATGTGTATGTTCGCCCTCTTAAAGAAACGATTTATTTCTTCGTCTCCCACAAACTTTAATTTTTTGCATTCTTCGGCTCAAGCACCCCATGATCTTCTTAAACAATCCATTATGTTACATTTCTCTTGGTCTCGTGCCTTATCGATTAGGTTTCCCCATATCATTGTTTCTAAGAAAATTAATTGTGTCCTTGATTTTTACAAGAATGGAAAAACATCAATTTAGATAACGAAGTTGGGGTGCGCTACCAATCTTCGTTTCAACGGCTTGTCATCAGCTCAATAGTTTGTCTGAACCATATTGTATTGTAATTATAGTTTGTTAGCGTGGAGTGTTATACTTTTGTTTAGTAAGCATACTGTTGATTGAGGTACATCATTATCTCCAAGGGGTTTTATTTTCCAAATCCTCCGCCGCCCCTCTGTGTACAACTCTTGCAAATAACTAAAGTAAGAAAATTGCGAAGAAAAAAATTTCCATTGATTTATAAGGTGTTGCCAAATTTATCAGACCACGAAGAGGAGCCCTTTCAAAACTGTAGAAATGTCCGAGCATAACATTCCTACTCTTATCAATCAATATATTGCATCTGTTGGTAGTGATAGTGATACCACTTCATTATACGTTGACGAATTGGTTCAGTTAATTGAATCAGATCAATTGACATTATTACAATTCATTTCTAATTTGGGACCAACTTTAACTTCTGATTTAGATTTAATTAGATCTAAAGGAATCCAATGTTTGAATTCTACATTAAGTAAGGTTAATCGAGGGAAATTATCAAAGCAGGATATTAATGTTTTGATTGAATTCTTGTTGAATAAATTTGATGACAAATTAAGTTTGCAATATACTTTAAATACTATAAGTATATTGATTAGTATGAACAATTTTATTGCCAGTGTGAATTTATTAAAAATCTTGAATCATTTATTAGACAAGTATGACCCAAAGAAGAATTTAGCTAAAGTGAGATATGAATCTTTTCAAATTTTGAACAATTTATTATCTAATCCAACATTCTTATTATCAAGACAGTCAGTTTGCGAGAAATTCACTCAAACTTTCATTCATTTAGCAAGTGGTGAAAAGGATCCAAGAAACTTATTAATATCTTTCCAATTGAATCAATCCATAAATACTCAGTTTCAATTCGAGACTTCCAATGAATTACACAAACAATTCATCGATGATTTGTTCGATGTTTGCTTCTGCTATTTTCCAATCTCATTCAAGCCACCTCCTAATGATCCTTATAAGATCACTGCTGATGACTTGAAGCAGGGCTTACGAAACACTATTGCTTCTCAATCGTTATTTGCTCTGGAATCAATCCCAGCCCTAATTGAAAAATTGTCTTCCACCAACAATGTGATCAGATGTGACGTTCTAACCACGTTGGAAGCTGTAGTAGATTCATATACCCGGGAAACAATTGAGCAATATTGGCTTACTCTTTGGGATGCCTTGAAGTTTGAGATTTTGCATAGTACTGAAATTTCTTCAGTAATCAAACTGACTGACTCAAGTATAATTCCAGAGGATGTTGAAATGATAGATGATAATGATGGAAATAAACCTTTGATTCTAACTTTGATGGTTATTGAGAAGATTCACACAAAGGTTAATTCCGAAACAATGTTGCAGACAATTATAGACGAATTAAAACCAAATATTATGGAATTAAAATCGAAATCTAAACAATCAATCATTATCTTGAGTCAACTTGCAAGTTTATCAATTAAGAATTTCAATGCCGTGGTTTGTTTCTTGTTCCAATACGAAATATGGGGAAAATATTTTAATGTTGAACCCGTCCATGATATTGAGGAGCCGGTTGAACTTGATATTAATGATGATATTGTATTGAATATAGACAAGCAGTGTGATTTGATTGATGATTTAGGGTATTTATTAATTGGCTATCAAGTATTGGGTACACATGAGAATAACAAGTTGGTCGAATACAAGGATCATTTATTGATCTTTTTAGGACAGATATTGATCAATTCTACCAACAGCTCATTGCAGTGCAAGTCTATCCAACAATTGACCAAATTGATTGAACTAGCCGATTTCTTACAGAAAGAGGAGATTAAATTAGTATTGGGATATTTTGAACAAATCTTTATCACTCGTATTGAGCAAGATACTGATGATGTTGTGTTACATGAATGTATGAATGGCTTGGTTACAATCTTGCATGATGATCTGATTGTTCGCTCGTTCACAATTGAATTAATAATAATCCCCATCTTGGGCTATTTACAACCGGAAACATCCGTTGAAAAGTTCAAACAAGTCACGTCCATTCTTGAACAATTGTGCATTAGCGGAGAAATCCTCGAGTTTTTATCCATAAAATTATTGAATAAATTATTGGTACTTAAGGGACAAGTTGATAAGGTCCAGAATATACTTGACGTCTTGATTAAATTAATTGAAACTATTGAAGGTCACTCACAATTCTTGACTAATTCGTGGTATAAAAATTTCTTGCCCCAATTTACCCAGCATATCTTACCAATTATATTATCCAACCAAACTGATTATATATTGATTGAATCTATGGGTGATTTAATCGGTCTAATAATTCGCTTCGTAGATGTTTCAAGACATCAAGAGATCTTGAATGTCATGCTGGTAGCTTTTTTGACAAATGATAAGAATGATTTGGGAATTGATGAGAATTTGTTAAAGGCAGGTTGTGTTTATGCTTCTGTGTTCAATAAGATTTTGGCTAATTTGGATAAGAAATGTTTATTTGAAAACGTTGACTTCATTATTGAAAATATTATTGAGGTGGTGTATAAACTCGAGAATCCATATTTGCGTGTGCAATATTTACAAGCATTATCTTTGTTGGTTAACAAGTTTACTAATGACAACTTCCAAGAGTTATTGGAAGAGAAGTTGAAAGAATTTACGTCTGGGAATTTGATTTCTTTTGAAATTTTTATATGGATGCTAAAAGGTTTGTTACTTAAATTGAACCCGGTGGGTCTTCAATTCTACAATAAGCTTATTGAATTATTCATAAAAGATCCAAAGAAAATCATTGCCAAATCATTGCAGGCTCTATTCATTGATTTGAAAATATATACCAATTCGACAATGAAACCAATATCAAAGGTTAAAAATCTAAATGTCAAATTGTTATACAAGCAGCAATTATTTGAGATTATATTACCATATTTACAAAACGATGAATCAAACGAGATTTATCTTTATGCATTATCATTGATTATCGAGAACCTTTCCTCAAAGATTTTGTTGGGACATTTGGATTCAATCTTGCCATTAACTATCACCAGTTTAAAATTATCTAAACCCAGTCCAATTATTTTGAAATCCTCATTGCTGACGTTGAATATTATCTTGAACAGTAACAAGACATTAGTGGAGAGTAACGTACCTGAGTTGATTCCTATTCTAGTTAACTTATCACAATCAAATACAGAAGACGTTAGAATATTAGCCTTGAAGAACTTAATATCCATATTCACTCAGATCGACGACTCTGTCAAGTTTAAGTCAAAAGTTATAAGTGAATTATCACCTTGCTTGGATGATAAGAAGAGACAAGTTAGAAAATTGGCCATTGACTTAAGGCAAATATTATATGAATTGAAATAGATCTATAAATCCTAATATACATTAATTACTCACATCTTTCTATACCCTATCTATTCCGAGTCAGATTCGTTATAATCTACAGGTGCCAATCCTGGCGTTAAACCAGGGGTGTTCTTTCCCTTACCAGTAATATCAAAATCATCAAAGTCCTTGGACTTATGTACGATTCTCTTCTTTCTTAATCGTTTATGAGCCGGCTTGTGTAAATTCTCCAATAGACCCAGTTTCACTTCTGCTAATTCATCTTCAATCTCAAGATCATCTACTTTTGAAAATTGTTGAAGATGGTTTATGTTCTTTTTTACCAATTTCTTCAAGTATTTCTTTTCTTCAGGGGTATGCTCTTTTCTCTCTTTGATCATTGTATATTTTATGAATTTTTTAAACTTCTTATCCGTCTCGCTTGCCTTTTTTATCCTACCGCTGGTCTTTCTCTTCTTTTTTATGTCCTTTGTGTTATCATGGTTGAATTGTTGTGAAAGGATCTGAGTGGTGGAAAGCGATGAGCTAGAGGTCGACGATGACGATTGGATCTGGGAAGGGGTGGTTTGTAGGATATTTGCAAATAATTTATTTACAGTCGATTCCGCTTGGAATTTAGATGAGTTTGATTTGAATGACATTTTTGTCTATGTATTTATCTATTAGAGATTAGCCCGATCCTCATCTATATAAATTCTACAGTAAGAACGTTAAAAAAAAATTATGAGATGCCAGTTGATGATGTCGTAAAAGAAGCGACATTTTGAAAAGTAAATGTCGCGAAACTTTAACATTATCAGAATAAGTTAGAATGAGGATAGCGCTAATTACATTAGAGCGGAGACGAATAGGTAAATTCTAGTTGTCAAATGCCTTCTTAAGTGTACAACCAGGATACATTTCAGTTCAGTTTACCAGCTATCAGCGGGGAGGATTTGGGTGTTCACCACAAACGGGGAAGGGTGGGGGAGGCAAATGCGAAGTTATTCACATGAAATGTTGGCAAAACTCAACAGAAATCAATTTACTCCTTTGTAATGTATATTTCAAGGGAGCCCTAGTAAATGAATATGATTCTCAACTACCCATCAAAAATATTTAAGATGACAGAAAGCATTGTTTAATAAAGGAATCAGGGAGCTTTTATAACCTTGTTGCTGTTGTCCCTCAGCGGAGATAACTAAATTTTATTTTTTAACATATTTTTTGCAACGGATTTTGGCGGACTTAACAATACAAAGACCAATAAAAATATTGACCACCATATTTTATTATATTGGTCACTTCCTGATCACAAGAAGTGTTGTATGATATTTCCTAACTCTAATATGGTACAGAATTGGGCTTGGGTCATTCAATCGTGTATAAACCTAATTTTCTATGAATTCCAGTGTCAAAATAATACTCTCTAATTTATAATTCCGGATCGATTCGGAGTTGTCAAGCATATGAAACTTCCGCTGGACAAGAACACTCTAGGAAATCTGTCTTTAGGTCGTTAACGCAATTAACAGTCGCCTATTTGTAAGTCCGGGGTAAGAAGGTCTATTCAAACCTGAAATGTTGTTCTTTTTAGAAATGTTGGCTACCGAGGTTTAATGAGAAATTTCCCAATTAGGAAACCATCGTAAAATGACGTAGTGTAAATTTACTCGGTGGAATACTCAATACAAAGAGAAGTTGTCACATGAGATTGTTCGCGAAAGTAAACACTATCGAAGATACTAAGAAAATAATGATGAATTTGTGTTTTTATTTAACAATGAATCAATCAAAGGGATTATCTTGAAAGGAAAAAGACTAAGAGAGCGGAAACAAAAAAAAATAACGGTCAAAATATTCATATGCAAAATTTACACCTCTTGAAAAATTTCCCCAATCTTATGCAACTGTCCTCAGCTTTTATCGAAAACTTCTACAAATATAAAAAGCGATCATAATCTTTATATTTTTATAATTCAAAAAAAAGCTTTTACTTATTTACTTTTCCTCAAGAATAGTTTCCCAATAGAACACCTACTCTACCAATTACTAATAATAATAATCCAATAATGTCTGCAGTCGAAGTTGATGGTTTTAATGCTTCCCCTTTATTAAGCATGTTATATGAAGGTTTACAAAACAAAGAATTAGCTAGTGAAGCTATGAAACAAGTCAAAGCTGTTATTGTCATTACTTTAAAGAATAAAGAAGGTAAACAACAATCATGGGTCCTTGATTTAAAGAACAAGGGTGAAGTCATTAAATGTGACGCTTCTCCACCAAAATCAGATGTTCAATTAATTTTAAAGGATGCGGACTTTGTGAAATTAGCAAATGGTAAAGCTAACGGCCAAAAGTTATTCATGAATGGTAAATTAAAGATCAAGGGTAACTTGATGAAAGCTGCTTCTATAGAAACTGTCTTCAAGCAATTTGATCCAAGACCAAAGCTTTAGATGTGTTTTATCATGTTTATATACGAATATTAATGAAAAAGGGTATATTGAATATATGATTATCTATTTACTTATTTGACTGCTGTCGTCTCGTACTAGCTCTTTGTCTCTGTCTTTATCACTCTCTGTCTCTCTCTTTCGTTCAGAATTTGTTGTTGAGTGTTGATGTAACATGACAAGCAGCTCAGCGGAAACAAGAAAAAAAATAAAGCAATCGGCAGAATGCGGGGGAGGAGTAAACTTTAATTCTTGTAACATGTGACAGTACAAACCGTTTCAAGCATCATCGTGAAATTGACATGACCAACCATGCGGATAGTATGTTATAGATGGCGGTTTTGAACAATATTATTGTACTTGATTTTAGAGACATATCACAGCCTTTACTCCTGAAAATACAAGCCCGTATTGTTGGATGCGAGGGGCAGTCATGTGATGCATGTAATCAAGTTCTAAGGGAGAATCTCCTTCTCGGACCACACTCCAGAAGAGACAATATTAGCATCAATAGTAATTTACATCTTCAGTGAGAAGTTATAAATATTCAGTAGTATAAGATCGATCTTTAAAAAATTAAGGTAATCTTATGTATTTAGAGCTCCAAGAAAGAAATTATGATTGACTTCTCACTCATTTTGTACGGATTCTACAAACACGATATTTGAAAAGGTGCTTCTAATTGGTGATTATACAGTTAACTACTTATATTGCAATTGAGTTATCGATTGATAAATTTCTAAAAGTTGAATTGCTACATCCATTTCCAATTTCGCTATTTTAATATTTGGTCGGTTTTACTTTACTGTTAGTTGCAGCCATATGAATCATGCCTATAAACCTCCGAAAGGACTTTCAACTGACAATAATCAAGGATTTAAGGAGATGGTTTTCCACTTAGAGCGAGCCTTGAATATCGTTAAATCTTCTCTAAGTCTAAGACCACCCCTAGTTAACCTTAGCCCGGGTTTAAAGTGGGCCGGCCATTTGATTTCCTTTTTCCAATCGTTTATTGTAGTCACCGAAGCGTTCTAAAGAATGGAGCAAGTGCCTTTTTCATTAGTCTAATATTTAAAACTATTCTGTACCTACCCTTTCTAATAAAATTCCAAAATAGCCTCATTTGTCTTCAATCTCAGCTTCATCCCCAATGTGATTCCCCTTCTTCTTCTATATCTCCATTTTAGATTATTTATAATTCTCCCTGGAAAATTCTTAGTTTTCGATCCTAGACTTTGGATTTTCAATTTGATTCTAGTAGTGAGATTCTTTATTGCTGACCATGGACGCAGGATTATGGAATTGTTATTTGAAATTATAACCATTCGCTTAACTTTCTCTCAATGGTATCGTTAGTCTTAAAGAAAGTACTTTAAGTCTATGTGGCATAGCTGGGGATCCTATTTAATTATACTTTGTCAAATGTAAATCGATGTCCTACAGACGAAAATTGCTTATGATAATTTATTTACCTGAGTGATATTTTGTTGGATGGGAATGTTGGGTATAATAACGCCATTCATTATTAAAAAGAAAATCGGAAGCTTTAACCAAAAGATTTAGTGATATCACACAAAGAATTGATGAAGCTAATCGGAAAATGGGTAGAGTTACGCGAACTGCTGCATTTTCATTAGCAGAAGTTGAATATGCTACTGGTGATAATATTGGTTATCAAGTTCAAGAATAAGTTCAAACCGCAAGATTTCAAGTTAAAACAAAGCATTTAATAAACAATTTAATTCAGACAAAAATATTATTCGAAAATTAAGTTGGGAATCTAATATCCCGAATCATTTACAATTTCAATTTTTCATGAAGATATTATCAAGTAATCAAAATTCACAAGATTCTGTTAATACCATTAAGAAATCTTATCAATTATTTGAACAAAAATATGAAAATTTATCTAATCTGATTAGAAATGCAAAAGATATTGAATTTAATAAAATCATTGAATCAGTTTTAAATCGTCCATTAATTCAAGCAAGTAAACCAAATGTCGATGAAAATTTTAAACAATCATTCAAATATTTATTATATATAAAATCATTATCAGAATTTGGATTACATAATCATGATGGAAATTTCTTAATTCCAATTTTATTGCTTATCTTCCCTCAAGAATCATTAATGGAAATATATTGTTTATTAGAATTAATTAATCAAGAAGTATTTCAACGTGATTTCTTGCATGAATTAAATTGTAAATTAAATCAATGGGGAGCTTCAAAAACAATTCCAAAATCATTATCATCAAGAAATTTCACTGCTTCTGAATTTGAAGGATTGAATTACAATTGGATCTTGGAAATGATTTTACAATTTAGTGATCAATTACCATTGAGTTTAAGTGCACCATCAACCCCAATCCTCGACCAACCCCGTCAATGGGAATCCCAACACCAACAGGCACAACAACAACAACCAGAATCACAAGAACCCCAAATACCCGAAGAAGAACCATCACCAGCATGTCTCCAACTCATATCCAAATTATTCACTCTTTTGATAGTATATTCAAATTCAATCAAAACTAAAACCAAAAATAATTTAAAAGTTTGGGAAAGTTTTATAATTGCAATATTTGTTTATTATCATTTAAATTGGAATGATTATCAAGAATTGATTAAGAAAAATATTCCAATTCGGTTAAATAACTCTCATGATTCAAGAGAGAATTTGGATTGTTTCGTTAGGAAATGGAAAGACTTATTTAAGAAGTAATTAGTTAGTGTTGAAAGAGATGGGGTTTCTGTTTTTGCTAGATTTTTTTGGGGGAGTTTTGCTTTGCTAGGTAATTTTATAGATATATATATATTCTATTGTATATTATTATTTTCATTAATATAATTTGTCATTCGTTTATTGAGTTGAAAATCTCTCTTGCATTAATTCACTATGTGTTCGTTTGATACCTATCAAAAGATATACTTGATTAATGATATGAGCCAACTTGGGTGCCAAAAAGCAATATAAAAACAAACAATTCAAGGGTTTACATCAAGATCGGGATCTAATTTAACTTCCAAAGAAGATAATTATACAATTCGGAATACATCCAAGTTTTCCGGCTGGGATAATGATGAAATGGTTGCAAAAAAAGAAAAAAAACGAGATTTCGTGTTAATTATT